CCCTTTTTTTTTTTTTTTTTTTTTTTTTTCCTCCTTTAATGCGCCTTCACCACACCCGCAGCATCCGCCTGCGCCGTGATCCTCTTCTTGTACGCCTGGACATCGCCGGGGAACTTCCAGACGGTTCCGTTTTCGCAAACCCACAAGCTCGTACATACGGTCTGCAACATAGTCACGTCGTGGGAAACCATAAGCACACCTCCCTGGAACTCGCGCAGCGCATCGGACAAGGCGTCCATGGCCTCGATATCGAGATGGTTAGACGGCTCGTCCAGAACTAAGATGTGCGGCTGCGTGAGGGCCAGGCACGCGAACGCGACCCTAGACTTCTGACCTCCGGATAGGACTGACATCTTCTGTAGACCCGTTGTGCCCGTGATGCCAAACGCGCCAAGTTGACGGCGATACTCCTCGTCCGTGCGACCAGGGTACGTCTTAGCCATGAAGCTAACGGCGCTCATGGTCAGGTCGAGCGCGTCGACGTGGTGCTGCGCGAAGAAGCCGATACGCAGGCGCGAGTTCTGTTGGATGATACCCTTGGTCGGCGATAGCTTGCCGATGAGCAGCTTAAGGATAGTAGTTTTACCCGCACCGTTGGGTCCTACAATACCAATTCGTGAATCTAACTGTACATCTAGATCCACGTTTCGCAATAGAATGTTGTCTTCGGTATATCCGAATGTGACTCCTGACATCTGAACAATCGGAGGTGACAACTTCTCCACTTCTGGGAATTTGAACTTGACACTATATTCTGTCTCTGGAGGCTCCAGAATAGGCATACGCTCCAGCTTTTTGATACGCGACTGTGCTTCGGCAGCCTTGCCAGCATTGTATCGGAACTTGTCGATGAAAGCCTGCAAGTGAGCGCGCTGCGCCACGTTATTTTCGTACTCTCGCTTCGCAGTCTTCTTACGCTCCTCTCGGGTGGCGTAGAAGGACTCGAAGTTAGCTCCCCTGTAGTAATCGAGCCTCATCGAGTGCTGATGTATGATATCTGTCGCCACTTCGTTTAGGAAAGCTCTGTCGTGACTGACTACCAGGACAGTGCTCGGATATGTGAGAAGGTAGTTGGAAAGGAAAGTGATTGAAGGAACATCCAACATGTTAGACGGTTCGTCGAGAAGTAGTAGATCAGGCTCGCAGAAAAGCGCCCTAGCTAGAGCCAGACGCATACGCCAACCACCAGAAAATGTCTTGGTTGCGAATTGCTGGCGCTCAGGGGAGAAACCTAAACCTGCCAAGATACTAGCAGCTCTGGATTCTGCCTTGTCTGATTCCATCTCGGCCAACTTGGCCTGGATTTCTCCCAATTTCTGGTCAAGAGCTTCACGGTCATGATCCAACTTCGCAGCATCTGCCGAAGTATCTGCCATAGACGATCGTTGTGACTCAATATCGGCAAGACGAGCTGTTATTTCCTATAAAAAAAAGTATATTAGCGAAAGTGGATGAGACGGGAAAAGATACATACCGTTTGCTCTTTGAGTAACACCTTTCGCCAAACATCGGCATCCAAGACGGCCTGTAAGGCGGTTGTGTCATCACCGGTAATCTGGCGTATGTTAGTATATGGGACGTATTATTCAACTTAGTTGAGTGGCGTACCTCTTGTTCGACGTGAAGAATGGAGATATGAGTAGGTACTGGTAACTCTCGCCTCGAGAGCGCCCTGAGTAGCGTAGATTTACCAACACCGTTGTGACCAACCAGACCATATCGGTGTCCATATGCCAGCGTCAAATCCGTGTCCGTTAGGATACGGGTACCACCAATACCAACATCAATATTTTCAAGTTTGATATCCTTGGTCTTGCCGGCACCGCTGCCAGAGCCAAGCTGTAAGGGGTTAACAGCCATGTAAAACTCTTCATAGCTCTGAGCGTCCTCGGGCTGGTTGAGCAGTCTAGAAGCTTCATACTCAACCGTCTTGAACTGCTTCTTGCTCTGCTTGGCGGCGATTTTACGCTCGGCTTTCTCGAGCTTCTTTCGATCAACCTTAGATTCTACCTTACGACTGTTGGCAGATTCTAGATCAATGCTGCCGGTAGCTACGGCTAGGGTGGAGGACATATTTCGTTGGGCGCCGACCTGGATAGCCTGGTCTAGTCGCCTCACAGCGGACGGCCCTCGTCTTTCACCATTGCCGCTGTTAGCTTCCTCATACTTGTCAACCCACTTCGAGACTAGGGAACGAATCTTTTCCTGGTTGGACCCAGCCTCATCACCGGAAGCGGACAGAAGGAGCTCAGTGATAGCAGCAGCAGCCTCGGCAAGCGGCGACAGACCTGAGGATTCCTCATCGCCGACCCACGCGGTGGATGCATGTCTAAGATAGCCTACCGAATATTCGGAGACAACAGGATCGATATCCGGAATAGCGGCTCTGATATCGGCCTCCATGTTAGGGGCGCGGGATGGGGAGAGATTATCGAGGAATTATCGATCCCAGTAAATAGTGATCCTTGGGGCTTCTCGAAACGGGACTCAATTTGCGAAGACCTCAGCGGCTCAGCCTTGGTTGGTTCGTTGTTCGCCCCCCTTGGAATCAGCAATGGTGAGAAAACACGGGCCCTTCGAGCAACGTGGATCCCCTAAGTTTTCTAAGAAATTTAATTTCCAAGGTACACTACGGACCGTCCGATCCAATATCAAGGTGCGGGATGTTCCTTTTGCTGGTCCGAGCGGTGGTTTTACTGATTTGGATTTGGATTTGGATAGGCACAGTTACACCAAAAAAATGAAGCCTGAAAGAGGTACGGATGGAAAAATAGTGGAACCAAGATACTACAGAATCACAGTAAGCAAACAGTTTTTTGATTTTAGCGACACTGTATTGCGTTTCAGCATGTATGTTATGTAATTGGTTTTAGTCGGTTCATCCTCGGTCTATTTGACACATAGAAAAGAATACAAGGTACATGAGGTACCTAGGTACCTCTTAAGTACATCCATGTAGAAGTGACCTCTGTCATTGCAGGTGGTTTTGGAACACGTCCGTGTCGTGTTCGTGAACTTATTATGTTAATGAATATATAAGAAGAAAAGAATGTCGATCAATAACAATATTCGACTTAGCGTCGGCCAAGTTGAATCAACCGGCGTTGCCGTGTTGACATTCGAGATCGCAACGCTTTAGTTAGGTAAATATCAAGTAAACAACAAGCAAAGGTTCTTCAGGGGTAGGTAATTCCTACATACTACTACTACTAGTATGTACATAGTTCTTCCCCCTCCTGTCGACGATTAGGTCCGATTGATATATATATAAGCTGGGATATCATGATATGATAGGATACCGATAGGAAGGGGATAGACTTAGCTCCATCTTAAAGAGGGCTTAATCAAGAAACCCCAACCAATAAATCAACACCATCTAGCGATGAGACGAAGGTTGAGAGAACGCAAGGCTAGCCCTAAAGGCTCGGAATCAAAACAAACCTAAGAAGGAAAGAGGGGAAAATAACAACTAGTTAGAGGTAACTAACAAAAGTCCAACGAACTCTTTCGGAGTTTTTCCATGCTGAGATATTTGTATGCGACGTGATATTGCCCAAAGCGCCACAGTGATCGGCGAAGTTCCTACTTGTACCCAGCGTCGCAACTGGGATTCGGATCGATCCTCGTCGAAATAACAATTAGTTTAGGTACGCGCGCGTAAACCAATAGGATAGATATTCTGCTGTCCCGTTCCCGGTTGCCGTGCGGGAATGAAGCGAAAGCGCGTGGGAAGATGACGCGACGGCACCAACCGCGGACGCGCTCTGGAAATCTCCCATTGCTACCTTTCGACGTATTTTTACATACCAACTACCTAGTACCTTACCCTAGGAGGTAGGTAGGTAGTGTACATACCTAATGCTCTTACGAGGATGTAGGTAATGCCTAGAAGGTTTTGAAACGCAGGCGCCATTCCGTCGCGACCCCCCAGTATCCCGATCTTGATTGGTCGTTCTACGCACCTGCAACCCTTTTCTGGCTCTCGCAAGCCACGGGGGGTGGGATTTCTTCAGCCAGCCAATGTCTCGCCGGGAGCTGTCGCTTCCGTTGCGGACAGTTGCCAACAGCATTCGAAGGTCTTATTCGGGTATTATAAATAATGTAATGTAATGTAATCGATGTAATAGCCCGAGATGCGACAGGTATGCTCGGTCCGTGTTAGGCTAAGGTAGGTAGGTATCTAGAGTAAGACGTTGGTACGTAACAATACTATGTTAGTTGGAATTATTATGTCTATGTTAGTAACAAATGTAATAGGTATTCCTTTCGCAACCCTTCACTGAGTTGTAAGCGCCCGCGATGCGAGGTATGGCCCATCTACAAGAAAAGGAGCTTGCCGCTGTACATGACTGACGTACAACAACAGCAACATGAATCATTATAGTCGTATTGTACGATTCTGACCACACATAGGTAGGTAGCTGGTCTTGTGCTTTTTAATCTATCTCCCGAACACGTCTGCTCATGTGGGGGTTACATTTCGCCTCTTGAGGGGGAATCCAACGTCATATCATCAGGTTATAATTGGTTTGAAACGTATCCGTAAGTCAAGCTTTGAGCACTCGGCTCGTCTTGTCTTTGCTTTAGGCATGTGAGGCTTGTGTTAGTGTGTTTGCTGTAGGTATTGTACAATACCTACCTAGGTATGTAGGAAACGAGTACGAGCTGTGGCGGTTCACAGCCAATAAGTTGAGCGGTTGGCAGTTAGGCGTATCAACTTATCAAGATAGCAAACCGTCTTCTTAAGTCATGTCGCAGTCATAATTCTATCGTGGCGGCATGATAAAGGGGAAACTTGCTGCTGCTCACCGTCTCCTCGCCTCTTGTCCGACTGCCACCAACCTATTAGTAGTATGATCTCCGGGCCGCGCCTTGATGACGGGCCTCAACACGGCATGATGCCGCCGCCCCTGGGAGGATCTAGTTTCACTTTCGCTCTGTTGGGTGGCTTGTAGGTGACGCGACGCTACGGAGAACTATCCATGAATTTTGATTAATCGGCATCGGTACGCCGCCCGGTTACATTTGTTAGGAAGAGTTAGGCCACAGCTGAGCTCGGCCGTGGGTCGCCGAAAGCGAGCTATATTCTACTAGGATAAGCTGAGGGATAGGTATTAGAGCGTTTCTTGATCCGTCGTCCTGTGCATGTGACTCGATAGGTATTCCTACACCGAGGGAATATGGAGGTCATAGCCGGACTTCCATGGCGCTGAGTGATAAATTTTGATTCAAGGATCTCCCAGCGAGAGACGTCTCGATACCCTCAGAGATAATTTCCGAGAAAAAACTACTGGTCACTTAGCACTCCGCCGACTACCGTAAGCCGTTGATAATCGGAATTTTTACCGAGCATTATGGACTAGGCAATTATTAACGAACTGAAATACTCGTTTCTCGTTTGTTTGACTTTAAGGTCTGGTTTCCGTTTACATGATTTCCCAATACAATCGTATTGTATTCCGTACCTAGGTATGAAAAAGTAAATCAAGAGGAATAGGACATTCGCGTTGGGTCAGGCTATTTGTCAGGCGATATTTATTACTTGCCTTAACTGATCAAGTCAGTCCATTGTTAGCATTGTCGTTGTTCTTGTTCTTGGTTTCGGCCCCCGGCTTGTGGGGAATATGTGGCTCGACTGGCTTCTGTTGGTCGATCCTAAGCTCGTAGTCGCCGGCGGTGTTTTCGTCAAGCTAGCCCACATACTATGTAATGCGGCACTACCTAGTCCCTAGGACCACGATTATGACCCGGCAGTTCCGTTAGGGGCGGCATAAGTGATATGGATGGATATGGATATCATGCTATGCTTTGTTCGAAACACCTTTCTATTTTGCCGACTTTCTCAGTCTCGAATCGCATTTTTACGCAATGGAGTTGAGCAGGTTTCTGTTTCACTTTATAAGCCACATCACGTCAAGATGTCTTTAGTGTGTCCAGGCACAGCGCCTCCAAAAGATCCCCTCCCCCATTGAACAATGACATTGATAGGAGTGAGGGGTTCTGACTCCTGAGGGGTAACACCAAAGACCGGGTACCCATAGCTATTTTTAAGGAGGAATCGATCTCCACATCTCCAGCTTCCATTGTCACACGGTCGATGTATATATCGCTGTATGGATTTACCTAGTATTTACATACATACAAATTCGGCTAAGGGATCGTATTGTACAATACGTTCGATATGGTAGTACCTGGACTTGCCTACCTAATTCGTTACCCAGGTTTAGTCTGTTGCGAACAGCTTCAATCCTTGCCCGTTGATAGGTTATTCCATGCGCTTAGCAGTATACTAGTCAAGCTGATACCTAATATTTCCTTGGAAGAAGTTGAGCAAGGAAAGGCGAGCCACATCATAACTTGCCGTGATTCGGGTGTCAAATGTTTGCATCCGTTCCGTTGTGATCTGAACAATTTAGACGGATTCGAGGCTCCCACTTGCTATCACTATCAATCACTCTTGTACCCTCAAGTGGAAAAACGCGGACTTTGAAGTTTGTATGGTTAGTAGGCCGAGGTAAAGGGGCAGACGACAGTATGAACACTACATAGGGCACCGCATAGACATAATGAGACGGCTGTGATTCGTAATAGGAGCCGTCGGATCGTGACGGCACGGCAAGACGCCTTATCCATGACAATCAGGCAAGGCCTTGTCTCGTATTTCGACCTCGATTGGTCGGAATGCTTGATGGGTTCTGCATTGTATTATTCTATAATACACAACTGGGATGCGCCGCAATCTACTTTGGTAACACTCGCATGCGTGTCTCGCCATCTAGCAGTCTTTTCGGTTGATGCTAGGTGGTCCTTATGATAAGTCATAGCCACAAGAAGAATCTAGTTGTGTAAGAGGTGGATAAAATAGCATTTCCGCGTTTGTCTTTATCCCCAAACTCTAACAAGAGTTTTTTTTTTTCTTTTTTTTTCTCGGGAGTAGGAATACGTGACTCGCAGATCGGAGAATTTAGGATAAGGCGAACCACGAGAAAAAAAATCTTTTTCCCAGGCGGACGGATACACGAAAAAAAGGTGATGCTAATTAGATCAAATATGAGTTGTATATATGATGTGTAATCTGTAATGTACAATTATGGGATGACGGGATGTGCCAGACGCTACTGATAATTGGTGGTACGACCTACTTGTTCCCCATGGGCACAGCTTGCTCATGTTGTGATTCGTGGCAGCAGGCGACGGTAGATGGCCAATGGTTGGGTAGGGGGCACAGGAATTTTTATACTGAAGCGGTAAATATTCAGTAGGCTAGTACTGCACCGACACTAAATATCGCTATTTTGATACAAGTATGACGGCAAGGCCTAATTGATGAGATTGTTTGCGTTTGGTGCTCGTCAACTTACACCGTAGTGTTATGAGCAAAGGAATGCGAGAGATCCCGCGAGGCTTTGTTTTCGTTCCCGGACTTAATGTACGCCGGACGTACAAAACCGGAAGAAGGTATTTAGGGAGATACCTTATTAGTCATAGAATTATATCCTGACAAGTATAATTATGAGCCTGCCTTCCTCGTAAGACTTGGAATAAGCACTTGCGCAACTAGAGTCCAATTTTGGATATTAATATATGTATATTGTATAGTTGTATGCTTTCCTATATGCACAAACGGTAGCTGCCTGCTTGAGGTATATACCTTCGATACCGCTGTAGTTTTGCTTTTTTCTTAAAAGATCCATTATTTTAACGAGCTTAGATGCTAGGTAAGTTCCAGAACCTCTCATATATGGGTATATACCTAGAGTGTGTTGGCGAAATACGAGGAATCTTGCCAGTGTAATGTATCTCGAACCATGGGCAGAGCAGTTCGAAGCACAGGATGTATCTAGTTGTTATGGCATCTGTTAGGTAGCACCTGTCGCATAAATCAAGAAAAGTGTCGTAAACTTGCAGTAGTTTGCACAACTAGCGGCGTCTAAAGAGAACTGGTTATACACGAACCGAATATCTGGAACTACCGTACCTAAATACAAGGGTTATAAAGATAACTAATAATGCATTAACATATAAGGCTGTAATTTTTAATCGTGGAGTGCTTACATGGTGTATATAGTTGCAATTATATAGCAATTATCGTTCTTCGTTCGATATCCCGAGTTCCAACGTGCCGGTTGATGCGAGATATACAACGTGGAGGGAGGGACATCAGAGGTTTAATTAGGAGGCTTTTTCTTTTCTCCCCCAAAGAAACCGATCGACGCCGAAGCCTGCTTAGGAATTGGCCAGCTAGGACTGGCATGTAAGCTTAGCTTGGAAGCTGTCCAGTTACCGCCGCACGTTTCGTCGTTCAGGAATCGGGCACTCTAACTAAAGCCAATGAGAAACGACAATAGGTCTCGGATAGCGAAATGGCGCTAGTAAGTTGCATCGGTCCCCAATCTCTGCTAAACAACAAGACAGTTAATAAGAACAATAATAAGAATATCATCATCATCAGCAGCATGCGGAGTGCACGTCCGAAGGAAAAAGTGGGAAAAGCGGGTAAGGCAAAAGTCCACTTTCGATAGAGTCCAAGGTTAGTGTATGCTCTTTGCTCTTTTTACTGTTGAGGAGATATGATTTTGATACAGCAGAACAAATATATTGTAACTTATGATCTTAATATCTTCAATATTTCTTAAACTCGGGCATAATTGAATAGTATCCACGGAGACGACTTGCAGCTAATGTCTTTTGTAGAAAAGAAGAAAAGTCAAAAGAGAAAGCCAAGGAGAATTAAGTTAAGCATAAATCGATCTAAGTCAAAGTCATCTTACATACAAGGTACCTGTCTCCAATACTCTTATGTATGGCATATGCAAGTCTTTTGTTCTATTTAAGCGTTTGTTAAATTCGAACACAGGTACCTAATGAATAGCATTAAAGGTACCTTAAAACACTTAAAACATACCTAAGGTACCTACCTTATTTTTCCTTTACTTCTAGCTTCGATCATTCCAAATAATACGGTATGCATACACTATTGGCTAGGCCATGCATTGTACATATAATACTGGTTGAGGTACGTGAATAGGTACTGTGCGTGTTAGGGAACCCGCATTTGCATATTGCAGGACAGACACTTACCAATCCTTGCCCTTGCCACACGGTATCGCCGTCCGTTTTGGTAGGCGTCTCAGACTCTCAGACGATTGGCAGCACTGTCTCGCACGGTATGCACTGTACGAACTGAGGTACCTACTATGATATAATCCGTAATGATAGGTACAACTAACATATTATTGCGTGTCATGTAACCGGTACTTGGATGCGCGCGTTCTTTCAAAGACTTCCAACTTAATAGCGGCCTGCGTTTTTATAGCCTGGAGAAATCTGGGTTCTCGGCTTCCATGGTTGCTATACTGGTTGCTATGCTGTAATGTCCATGAGATCGTGTCTAGGTAAGTCTGAGTACGTGCATTGTTACATGCAATGATGTACCTAGTACACAGATAACCTAATTAGGTAAAATATATACATGGGAGGGTATCTGGGGATACCTTATGTAAGGTACTCGACAAGGGACGGGATGCATACCTATGTTATGTACCTAGGTACTTTGGACTTTGGCTCATTTTACTGGGGAATCTGTGGCTTTTAATCTTAGATCGTCGAGTGTATTGTACCCATTATACCCTATGTACATACTAGCGTACTTCTAACCATGTTCTAACCATGTTCCAAGCAGCGAGATGATGTTTACATACCTAGTAGGTACTTTCGAAAGCCGGGGGTCGCTCCCATGTACATACCTGTACTAGGTAGTATCCAGCTCCGTAAATATCCCAGGGACTTTATTTTTTTTATATTTTTATATTTTTTATTTTCGGTAATCAAAAGAAAACCAAATCCTCTCTCACCAAATGTCTACATAGTAATGCTCTTTTTTTCTCCATCCCCAAGCAAGATTCAGGTTTAGTCCCCATAATAATTATTACAACAGCAGCAACCTTGCTATGCCAATACCTTGTATGTTTCTGTTGCTGCAGCTTACCTCCTCCCGGGATTAAGAGGTTTTCTTATGCTTTCTTCTTCCTTATTATTCCTGTCGTAGCTTGGGAGGTCCTTTCTTCCTTTTTTGTTTTACATAGCATAGGGAGGGAAGAGAGATAGGCTATGCATGAGGAGTTATAGCAATAACGACGACTACGACCACAACTACGACCACAACTACGACCACGACTACCTACGACTAATTCCCGAATTAGCAACAGCAATAGGAGCAGCAATAGGAGCAACAGTAGCCAGCGTCTTTACTGCCTTAATTTATTCCGTTCACCATATTTTTCTTTTTTTTGTTTGTTTGGTGTTTTTTTCCTTCGAGGGAGGAGAAGAGGTTCCATACGGTCTTGACTCTTGAGACCCTTATATCAGAATTATATAATTTGGAGTCAACGATTTTGTCCAATCGCTCTTCACTTGGGGGTCATCCATCCGTAGGGGCACCCAAAGTAAATATTGGCCCATCCCATCCGCACAATATCTAAAAATCGTCGCGCCAGGCCGCCAAACCCTCGACCGCCGACCCAGCTAATAGCCAGTGCGTAACGCATTCGATACAGAAGTTCTTACAAAAACCATAATTTTTCGTATCTCTGGTTCCTCCCAACACGAAATATCCTATGCCTCGATGAACAATGGTCACGAGAGCGTCACTGAGAGTCGACGTTTCTTCCCTCCGCCTCTCGATAGAAGGCAGCTCTCCCCTGTTCTCCTAACGCCTGTATTTTACGATGCAGACCGTTCCGAGTGTAAGTCAAACTTATCTGCTGATGTAACTTGCTAGCTACATTCCACATTCCATCCGTTGTAAAGGAATGGTCTATTATGTTATGGATACCTCCTGAGTCACTGGTTGCCATACTGGTTGCCATGCGAAACTATTCTCGAGTGTAGTTCTCTACAACTCATTACGTTGCCTTGGTGCCTCTAGTGTTTTTTCTTCTTCTTTTTTCCCTTTTTTTTTGTCACCTATTATCGGGCTTATACTTGGAACTTATTGCTAACGTGATTCAGCTCATTGGAGCCGGTACTGCGGTTGCCGCCGCGGCAACGGGTCTGGCATTTGGCGAACTGGCAGATGAACCGCCTCTGCACCCAAACACAAGCAAGAGAAGGTCGCTAATAGCGGATCGAGACTTCCTAAGCGTTTTCTCATCTCGACCCGGGACAACGAGTTCTGCCATCCCCGCTACTTCCAATAACGGCTTTACGCAATACTCGACCCAACAACCCTCCCAACCGAGTACGACTAGCCGACCGCGAAACCCTCGAGACTCTTCACATTCCCAGGTAATACGTACCAAATCTTTACTTTCGAGGCACCCGTCTACTAGACAGGGCGAATTTGCGCCTGCGACACCTCTTGTCGGGGATTCGCGAGATTCCTTGTCCTCGAACGGTTCTTGGATACGGAGATTCTCTCTACGGCCGCTCTCTCAGCACGGTAGTTGTAGGTCGAGCGTCGGTCCTGATTCACCATCCATAACTTTTTCTCACGGCTCTGGGGCGCCCATCCTATCGCCCGTGGGACATCCGCCTCCTCAACCACCTCGGAATAAATTAGTTAAGCGTGCATCGGCCGCCAACGGTGGGAATACTGGGCTTTTGGTGCGGCGAGGATCAAAGACACAGATGACACTGCGCAGACCGGCTACGAGTCACCAACGATCTGCTACATTGCATCAACAGATCAACAGCGAAACGTTGCAACCATTACCGGATATAACTCTCGAACAGTCTAATCGGCCCAGGGCACAGACACTGGCCAGTCCTGTTGAGCCTAATTTCGGTGCTAACAACAGGCCATCGAGGTGGAAGTCATTTTGGCATTCTCGAATATCCCGAAGTTCGTTTAAATTGTCACCACTGAGGGGCAACGACAGCGGCGCCGTACCTGGTATAAAGCGAGTCTGCGTGGAGCAGCAAAGTCGTCGACGAGTCTACTTGGTGGTGCCAGGCTCTCTTGCCATGGGCTCTTCCACTTTGGAGGTTCCAACCGGTGACCTTCCTGTGTCAGAAAACCAATCTAACACTGACAGCAGTCCACAGCCGTCCATCCAATCTTCAGAATCCTCCGAAGGCACCCCCGCTAAACAACCTCGACGTTCTATTTCGATGCACTTCAATTCAAATTCTACCTGGATGCCGAAATCTGGGAGTATTAAACGACGTAAGCGTGGTGAGACCGTTAGCGAAACAAGACGACACGTATCTGCCCCGGCTACAACAGGTGCAGACGCTACAAATACGCACGATATGGCCGACCGCCGAGAATTCGACCGCGCTGAGACCGAGCTATCAGTAGTGCTTTATCCAGCAACCCGCAAGAGAAATACGTCATCTCCTCTCCCGCCCATAACGAGACTTTCAAGCTTCCATATTGATTTGAACAAGTTTGGCTCATTGTCACCAGGCTTGCAAACTCACTTTACCGAATCAACAACCAATACAGCAATAACTCCAAGAACTGTTTCCAATACGTCACAGGCTCGGACATTGGACCGGGCTTCTACGACCGGCAGTTCTGAATACTATCGTGGATTTACGTCGGGTGATGATGATGACACGGATTTCAAGACGACGGATACGCCGTTTGACTCGATACGAACGGCTGCGTCCGGATGCCAAAGAGCTGCCGATAGCCCGTTAGAATCAATGTTTGAAGAATCACCTCCAAGTACTACCGGTCATAACAGTAAGCCGAAAAGATTATCGATTCAGGATATTTTAGGTCCGTCATTTGATGGCGGGAATAAGATCATGGAGGAGGATGAGGGTATCGCTACGCCTGTTCGAGCAGGGTATGGTGGACCTGAATCGCGGTTCCTTTTGACGGATATTGGAAATGGAGATGGTTTTGACTCCGTGCTAGCCTCTCCTAATTTCATAACGCGCGGAGATAATACTCGATTTTCCCTGGATGACGACGACGATCTCGATTGGGATAAGGAGGATGATGACGGAATATATAACCACCTATCTCCTCCCGGTTCGATGAATTCGCGAAAAGGTAGTCCGAATCCCCGACCTCCATTGACTAACATCAATGGTAATGCAAGGACTGTGGCACGCACCGATTCCATGAGTGAGCGACCTAGGAGTACTGTCTTTGACTGGACCGAATCGGTGACCTATGGGGGATACGCTGGCAATGGTAGTTATCTGCGACCCAAAACTGTCCATGGTAAACAGGAAATTGATATAAGAGGCGGGCGTTCCGCGAGTCGTAAGGGTCCCGTTCCCGCTCATGTGAGAAGTCAAAGTGTTCCTGTCGTTCCAGAGTTGTCTGAGACCGCGACCTCAACTCCTAAGTTTGGAACTTGGGGGCTAGGCCAGAAGAACGCGAGCGAGGACTGGGACGATGACTTCGAGTTCGAGGAAGAAAGTGGCGATGGGTTATTGTCTGGAAAGAATGAAGAGTCAAAAGTTTCAATGGTTGTACCTGCGTCGATTCAGGCTACCCAGCCTACGATCAAGGCTCACTCTGGACAGATCAGGGAGCTTTCGCTCTTAGTTAACGATTTAAAGAGATTGTGTCGACTCGGTCGTGAGATGGATATGCTTGGTGGCTCTTCGGTAAAGCTCTGGCGAGAGGCCGAGGGAATCATCGCCTTAGCATCGCCCGACGAAGATCCAGCAGAGGTTGTCGATTCTAAGCCTGACACTTCTGACACCAGTATACCATTCGTCGACCAGGACTTTGATGGGGCTTCTCATGATTCCAATGAACCTGCCAAGGCAACAGAGAACCAACGGAATGCTGTTGTTCGTGACCGTGCTGCTGGCCGTCGTCGATCAGTCTTTTCCCCAGAGGATGATATCTTCGGCACTTGGGATCATGCTGATGAGGCGGCTCCTGATCGACCAAAGACCCCGGAGAATCTAGCCGCCAACCCCGAATTCGGATCAACCAGTGTTGCTAGATCTGTTATGGAATCTATGCAGCCTCGGCATTCGAGAACAAACGCGGGCCGCGGATCGTCCGGGAAGTTGAACTTTGACACAAATAGTCTGAAAGAGCTGGTCAAGAGAGCAAGCGATTTGAGAGACGGATTATCCGACCTCGTTCGCAAAGCAGACCACCTTACGCAGAGCCCTGCGCGGACTCCGAAGCATACGAGATCAGATGGAAGCCCTGCATTCACGCGAGTTTTTGATGATCCAACGTCTAGTCCTACAAGGCGAATGCCCCATAGCCAAAGCAGCACTTCGATTCTTAGCAGCGGTTCAGTTGGGACATCTCCGTCCAGTGGATTGAACCAGCGCATGCAGATGATGACTGTTAGCTGAAGCTCACAACAAGCCATCCCACACTCGACACATCTCCGACCCTCCCCGTTCTCGCGCCCTCGTGGTCTAATTACAATGGGAAACTGTATATGTGAAGACGCATGTATGATTTGCATAGCGTATGGTCGGTTGTCAGTTTTTCTTTATTGCAAAATTACATACAAAGGGGGACCTTGCCTTTCTGCTTAATTACGTGGAGGATACGCCAAAACAAGATGCTTGTTGGCCTGATGTCGATTGTCGATTGTCGACCCGAGTATGAACTTGGTTTTCTCTACTTGGTTCATGTTTTCCTGGGCTTGAACCTGGATACACCTTAATGCGGATTCCTTGAAGGATCATTAATATTGGCTGATTTTTTTTTCCAACCGCGACTCCGAATGCATTGACGTCTGCGAATCACGATACATCATACTTATAGACTCACGGAGCATTATGAATACGAATTACGACTGCTGTATGCCCAGACCATGCACACACAACTGGACGACCTAAGCAGCCATTGTGTACGAGATGGATCTTCCAAGGGTTCCTAATTCTATACATAGATGGGGGACTGTGGATGGAGGCATAAATTGCAAAGGCGCAGCGAGCAAATTGGACAGGATTCGACAAGCCACCTCCACCTCTATTCACAGAGCCTATCTCCCCAGCAGATGGGGAAAAAAGGGATGCTGAGACCAATGTATTCCCCAATGATATATGCCTTCTCGTTTGTCTAGGACATGTCATGAGTTTTTCTTTGGACGTATCGACCTCAAAACAGCTCGGTGTGGCGAATCAATTTGTGTTTGATTTCAACACGAATGGAAGAAAAACGAATTGATTAATTCCCTTTTTTTTGTTTCTTTTCTGCCCGCCCGTAATTCTTAAAGGTACCGGGCATTGGTATGGCAACTAGGGTTTCTGGCACAGGCATACGGCATTAGGAGTGCATTCATTGTACAGGTAGACAGGTCGGCTTGGGTTATGGCTGGCTGGCTGGGCAAAAAAAAAACAAGTAGAAAAATAACAAATAACGGGCGACCGATTTGGCCGGCCTTGTTCGGAACCTTTAGTGCAGTCTTTTTTCCGTGTTGCTGTTGTTCTTGACGCTCGAGAAATGTCCCGCTTTATGTATCACACAAGATTGTTGACTTTGATATGATAGGATCGTGTTGTCACTATGGGGTTTAATCCACCCATCGTGGGAATAGCCACGTCTTATACTACTAGCACCTAGGCACCTAAGGCATTTACTTCGTACACCGCCAAGTATCGTGGCAAGGGAGGCTGAAGTTGAAAAAAACCGCGTATTTATTTCATGTACGGATTCATCGGACGATATACGATAGACCTAGGCACCCCTTTTATGATGGCTGTATCCGAGATAAGTTACGCTTAGCTACCTAAGGTAAATAATTCGATATGAACGTAGTAATAGTAATAATATATCAGGCAACAGAATATCAGGTACCTGTCCTAAAACATGTAGCCTAACCGTATCACGTTATGCCCGTATTGATGGTCACGGCGTTGGTTACCATGTGCCTACATGTATTCGTAAAAGTGGTGTTGTTATTGTTGATAAGGAGATGCAGGCCTACCTAACCTAACATAGGGGCAGCTACGGTAGCCTGGGTAGACAATACACGGTAAATTGGGAAGTAAATTGAAAGTAATTAGAGTGATTAGAGTGATTAGACTAGCTTATATGTACCCTGTACTTTCTCCGCCTCTGTACCGAGAGTATGGTCTGTGCGCTTGCTTCCCCCCCTAAACAAAGTGCAATAGAGCAGTAGCAGTGGACAGCAGTGGACAAGCAGTTGGAAAAAGAGGGGCTACCCCTGTCAGGTTATTGGTTATTGGTTTTTTGGGAGTGGTAATTGGGAGCGACGAGGAGCGACCCTTTCCGTTTTGGAAATCTCCAAGTAAAAAAAAAAGCTGCTCTCAACTTTCTTTCCGCCCAAAACCGCAAGGCAAAAACACAACTCTCCCTCAAACCACACCGCTCCTCTTTAGTTTTCCTCCTTAAACTTCTAAAACAACTACCATTCTCAGGAACACATCCTTTTTTTTTCTCCCCTTTTTTTCTTCTTCCTTACTTTGCCAGCTTCCCTCAGTCGTGTTCGATATTATCATAATCAACCACCGTCAAAATGCGTGAGATCGTAAGTCATATCAAAATTCAAATGTTCACACCTTTACCGAAGCCCAGCATCGCTAGAGAAACCCCCTGAACGCGTCCGAAAAACTCGAGAAAAAACCCCCCCCTTTGAGTTCTTCTGCCCCTCACGTATACAACAACACCACAATCTACATTTTATATTTTACATTTTACATTACAACCACGTCAAAAATTGTATAACAACATGTTGGAAATATTCAAGCTAATCGTGTTTCTTCAATAGGTTCACCTTCAGACTGGCCAATGTGTAAGTAGGCAACCATCATCGAAACGACCGCGATATACCTACCTATTTAATAAAACGTGGCGGGGCTCATACGAATATAATAGGGTAACCAAATCGGTGCCGCTTTCTGGCAAACCATCTCTAGCGAGCACGGCCTCGACAGCAATGGCGTGTATGTATTTTGGATTTTTCAATTTTCGCCGTCAAGGATATCGAACTGATCACCAATAAATAGCTACAACGGTACTTCCGAGCTTCAGCTCGAGCGCATGAGCGTTTACTTCAACGAGGTACGAATTCACACATAAATAAAGGATAGGTAAATAGAATCGGCTACTAATCACCCTTCACGCGTGCAGGCTTCCGGCAACAAGTATGTTCCTCGTGCCGTCCTCGTCGATCTCGAGCCCGGTACCATGGACGCTGTCCGTGCTGGTCCCTTCGGTCAGCTCTTCCGACCCGACAACTTCGTTTTCGGTCAGTCCGGTGCTGGCAACAACTGGGCCAAGGGTCACTACACTGAGGGTGCTGAATTGGTTGACAACGTTCTCGACGTCGTTCGTCGTGAGGCCGAAGGCTGCGACTGCCTCCAAGGTTTCCAGATTACCCACTCCCTCGGTGGTGGTACCGGTGCTGGTATGGGTACTTTGTTGATCTCCAAGATCCGCGAAGAGTTCCCCGACCGCATGATGGCTACCTTCTCCGTCATGCCCTCCCCTAAGGTCTCCGACACCGTTGTTGAGCCTTACAACGCCACCCTTTCCGTCCACCAGCTGGTCGAGAACTCGGACGAGACTTTCTGTATCGACAACGAGGCTCTGTACGACATCTGCATGCGTACTCTGAAGCTGTCCAACCCCTCCTACGGTGACCTGAACCACCTGGTTTCTGCCGTCATGTCCGGTGTTACCACTTGCTTGCGTTTCCCCGGTCAGCTAAACTCTGACCTGCGCAAGCTCGCCGTGAACATGGTTCCGTTCCCTCGTCTCCACTTCTTCATGGTCGGCTTCGCTCCCCTGACCAGCCGTGGCGCTCACTCCTTCCGTGCCGTCACCGTTCCCGAGTTGACTCAGCAGATGTTCGACCCCAAGAACATGATGGCTGCTTCTGACTTCCGCAACGGTCGTTACCTGACGTGCTCTGCCATCTTGTATGATATTTCTCCCATCTCTTTTTTTACGTATTACCATTTTGCTAACTTGAATTGTGTAGCCGTGGCAAGGTCTCGATGAAGGAAGTTGAAGACCAGATGCGCAACGTTCAGAACAAGAACTCTTCGTACTTCGTCGAGTGGATCCCCAACAACGTCCAGACCGCTCTCTGCTCCATTCCTCCCCGCGGCCTCAAGATGTCTTCCACCTTCGTGGGTAACTCGACTGCTATCCAGGAGCTGTTCAAGCGTGTGGGTGAGCAGTTCACTGCCATGTTCCGACGAAAGGCTTTCTTGCATTGGTACACTGGTGAGGGTATGGATGAGATGGAGTTCACTGAGGCCGAGTCGAATATGAACGACTTAGTCAGCGAATACCAGCAGTACCAGGATGCCGGTGTCGATGAGGAAGAGGAGTTCGAGGAGGAGGAGGATGCTCCCTTGGAGGAGTAAACGCTCGGTCATATACCCCGTATCCATAAGCGGCAACCTAAGGATTGGCGGCACGGCACGGCACGGCGCAGCATAGCACGGATGAGTGACTTCAAGTAAAGACATGTCACGGTTTGATGGTTTTTCCGCTTCACCTATACTATTCTCACGCCCCCTTCGTTACCCAGACGTTCAATGGATATAGTAGTACCTTAATAATGAAATTGATCAACCACGATCAGTTGAACGGTCTGTGGGGCCTGTTAGATATACCTCTTTGGTGTGTGTCTGGAGAGGAAAAGGAAAAAGAAAATTATTCATCGCTAATAGTAACAAGAACAATAATTGATCTTGTTGTACTAATTACTTGCTATTCTTGGTTCGAGTTCTACTCGGGCTCGTAATACAGTTACATTCTAACCTGTGAAAGACGTTGCAGGACCGAAGTCGTATGAATAATGTGAGTGTCATGTTGAGCCGCTTGAAGCTCTTAATTCCGAAGACTCAGCTTATTACCAAGATGGCCGTCAGCAAACACCGAAAAAAAGAGCCTATGTCCTGTTTTTCTTTTAAGCATGGATAATTCGGAGTCACTTATATCTTAGATCTTCTTAGTCAATCGACTATAAAACTCCGCGCCGTTATGGCTTATAGCTCCTCTTATACCCGATTACTGTGCTGAATAATAGATACCTATCTACCTACCTAGGTAGGTATAATGGACAGCGGAGGACAGGGGATACGGAGGTATATATTTACGTAAGTGATTATGCTAGGAGACCGTGAGAGAAGAGCCATGGTTATTCCCTTTACTATCTGCGGATATCTATAAATTTGACGTATACACGGATAGTGTTGGTACGGGAAGACGAAGCAAGTTACTTTACTTCACTTACTTCACACCAGTAATACCTACCTTAACGAATCGAGCTCGGTACTTATTTATCATCCTGAATATCCTTGAAGCTACCTTATGTTAGGTTAGGTTAGGTACTTACTCGAAAGAGAGATAGCAATATAACGCTTACACAACGGCCATGTCCATCTCCGACGAAAACCACCACCCGGAAGCGCCGCACCATTTCCCGCTCGCAGGCGGTGCCGATGACGGGTGGTCGACCGAGGACGAAGCTACGGCGACGTGCTACTGCGGCGGCGTGCAGCTGTCTTTCGTAAGTCCCACGCCTCATATGTAAGGCACCTACACCTAACCTACCTGTACCTACCTAACCTTAGGTAGGTAGATACATACCTAAGGTTAGGTAGGAGGTATACATCGTAAATACAAACAACGACAAACCCTCATCTAACAAACGACCAAAAAAAAAAGCCAACCCGCGGACCGGGCCTGGTCGACGTGTTCGTATGCAACTGCTTCGACTGCCGGAAGATCACGGCGTCGATGTTCGCGACGGGCATCATCGTCCGGGACGCGTGCGTTCGGCACCTGCGCGGGAGGGAGATGCTCAAGACGTACGCGCAGGAGAAGACTATTGCTTCGGGACATCGGTGCGTGTCTAATTCATACATCCGTACATACATACAATCCTATGCCCATGTCCCCTACCTACCTGCATCTCTCCTAGTACCTACCTAACCACTCACTCACTGACTGACTGGCTTATCTGCCACACACAGCGTGACCAACCACTTCTGCAGCACGTGCGGCTCCCTCATGTACCGCACGAGCACGGGGCTCCCGGGCCACAGCGCGCTGCGGCTAGGCACGGTGGACGACGTCGCGCTGCACGAGACGCGGCTGAAGCCCCGCGTCGAGCAGTACGTCAAGGACCGGGTCGGCTGGCTGCGGGGGGCGGAGGGCGCGAGGCAGGTGTTGGGGAGCGCGTATTCTTGATGGGCTATTGCATGCATGTGCCCTGAGAGACGGGATGAGTACCTAGGTTAGGTAGGTTAGGTACCTACCTGGTATTGGCATTTTAAAGGTCGGAAGTCTACACTGTAGGTCCTGTGGAGGGGGAAGGATGGTGGAAGGATTAGCTTGAGCTCGATGGGAGAGAGATGTAAGGGATGAGTGGTTGATAGGTATTATAGAAAGGGAAGAGGAATATTGATGAAATATAATGAGATGAGATGAGATGAAAAATAAATGAAAAGAAGAGACAGGAATATAAGATTGCCATAAGAACCAAAGGTCGCTTCGCTGCCCCCCAATGCAGGTTCGTATGGAAATATCGATATTGGAATAGTAGGGATTTATTTATTTGGCTTTTATTTCAGTCTGTCTGGTACTAATGCAAGAACCCGTTGGCTTTTGAGACATTTTCATGCATCTTCTCTTATAGAGACGAAACTCGTCTGTCTCAGAGTCATTCAGGCCGTAATTTGAGACGCGACGTAAGAATACAACTACTATATCAATAGTTAATAGTGCTTTTCAATGATATACCTAGCAGGATCAAGCAGCCACGACAAGTCCATAATTCAACTCATCTTCATTAGTTATTACCTTAGGTACCTACCTTACCTACCTAATATAATAACTCTTGCATGGTGGGCAATAACGCCTCACCTTCTACCCGCCGCCACCAGCTAGCGACGATCCAGTTATCCGAATGACCAGAGAAACTTAGTACTAACAACAGTCGATCCAGAAAGCCGAACGTGGTCCGTAAATGGGCCGATATATATTTCTATCCGCATAATATTATAACATAATAGAAGACCAACGGAAGCGATGTTGTAGGTTAGGTAATGTTGAGTCACGGATCGTATGAGAATGAAATAATAAAATAGAAAATAGACAGAGTTGGCCGGAGATGCAGAATTCCTCGGGAAGTCTTGTTAGCGGACGTTGGATCACAGTTAGAAAAAAAAAAAAAAAAAACGACTGTTGAGGCGCCGCCGTCTTTCTCCGCGGCGATCGGGTTCCCGTTGATTGGCCAATCGTGTTGCCTTATCGAAAGTTGTTCCCCCCCTTTTTTGGGCTGGTGTCAGGGGACGTCGATCCACACCAGTTTCGATGGCTCCATCTAACCTAACATACATACATACATACCTACACACCTCATACACTAGGTGGGTAGGTAGGTAGCTACATATACCAGCGTGTGTTAATTAGTACAAGTTGATTAGTCGCATAACCGTCCGCTAAGCTCAACACAGCAGAGCGTATAGGTTAGGTATACTATTATGTAGAATCCTACCAGAGCCACGCCGATATCTTCCATGGGGTATATCCAAGTTAGCTGGTCCAAAAGAAATACTAGCTACCTGTAAGATAGACTAGAAATATTAGGTACCTATCCAATGGGAACCTGGGGAATCTTGGTTCTAGTCAGCTTTCTTGCCTATCGCTGATAGGTTCGGAGATGCACGTATCTCACTTGGGAAGCCCATATAAGGTATATACCCTATACTAAGTTATGTAGGCATAGAGGTGATTCAGATTTCTATTTTGTTGTTGGCCAGCCCGCTCGTTTTTTTCTCCTCTGAGTTTTATAGTTCATAGTTTTTCTTTCTCTCTCTCCGTCGTCTCTCTTATATACTACTTACTTCACTGCATAATAATACTTTACGCCATCTTGGAAGACATCAATCCAATCTGTTAGGAAACGTCTTGACGTATTGTGACACGGCACATGTAATCAGAGTCGGAGTTGTGACGTAGTGGTCGACGAACCGAACCCGTTCTGTCCTCTTTCCAAGATGGCCGTCGACAAGAGGAAAACTATAGTTGTTGTCGGGTTGGGAATGGTCGGCATAGCCTTTATGTGAGGAAGAAAAAAACACTTCTGCTTCATCACGATTCGATACCGTACCGTTGTCAGATTTGCTAATTAGTCTAAACCTTATAGAGAGAAACTCCTGAAGCTCGACGCTAGAAATCGCGAATACGATGTTATCGTCATTGGCGAAGAACCCCACCTCGCATATAATCGAGTCGGGCTCACGAGCTTCTTCAGTCACCGGAAGGTTGAGAACTTGTATCTCAACCCGAAAGAATGGGTGAGTTTTCTAACTAAGGATATGGGTTATATTATAGGTAGCCTTAGACGTATTACTTACCTCTCAGTTCAGTATGCGCTGCAGGCCCCGGACAACAAGTTAAGTTATCACTTGAATACCCTGGTCACCGGCGTCGATTCTACACACAAGACGGTGTCTTGCGCCAACGGCGACGTGGTCTCGTACGATATTCTGGTCCTGGCAACTGGTTCCGACGCCGTTCTCCCAAGGCACACTCCTGGCCACGACGCCAATGGGGTCTTCGTCTACCGGACCATCGAAGACTTGGAAAAGCTCATCGCCTTCGGGGAGTCTCGCAAAGGGACAGTCGGGGCCGTGGTGGGCGGTGGCTTGCTAGGGCTCGAGGCGGCAAACGCCATGATGGACCTGAAATGCTACGAGAAAGTAAAACTAATCGAGAGGAACCGATGGGTTCTCAGTAGGCAGCTGGATGCTGATGCGGGCAACTTGGTCGTCGAAAAAGTTGCAGCGTTAGGCCTTGAAATATTGCTAAGCAAGAGGGTGGGAAGGATAAACACAGACGATCAAAACAATGTCATCGGTGTCGTGTTCGAGGATGGCGGGCAGATGGACTGTTCCACCGTTTGCTTTGCTATCGGCGTGCGGCCGCGGGATGACTTGGCAAGAAGCGCAGGTATCCAGTGTGCTGATAGGGGTGGTGGAATCCTCGTGAATGACGATTTAAGTACGAGTGTTCCGGATATCTACGCCATCGGAGAATGCGCCAGCTGGAAGAACCAGACGTTCGGTCTCATCGCCCCGGGTGTCGAGATGGCGGATGTGCTGTCCTTCAACCTCACACAAGCCAAGCTTCATCAACCAAGAACTTTCAAGCGACCCGACCTAAGCACAAAGCTCAAGCTGCTCGGAGTTGATGTGGCTAGTTTTGGTGACTTCTTCGCCGACCGGGATGGTCCCAGCTTTTTACCGGCGAAGGCGGCGAAGAAAAAGACGACGGACGACCAGAGCGTCGTTAAGACGGTTGTCAGCGGGCCTCCTCCCCCACCAGTCAAGGCTCTCATCTATAAGGACCCTTTCGCCCAGGTATATAAGAAATACTTGTTTACAACCGACGGGAAGTATCTGCTTGGCGGCATGATGATTGGAGACACCAGCGATTATATCAAGCTAGTGCCGATGGTCAAGAACCAGAAAGAGCTTACTATACCTCCTGCTGAGCTTATCTTGGGCGCTAAGAAAGAAGGCGACGATGGTGCCGACGATCTCGATGATGATACCCAAGTCTGCTCTTGCCACAACGTCACAAAAGGGGATATAGTCAAAAGCGTCAAGGACGGCACGTGTAAAACCGTGGGAGATGTTAAGGCTTGTACTAAGGCTGGTACGGGTTGCGGTGGTTGCATGCCTCTCGTCACAAGCATCTTCACTAAAACCATGACGGATATGGGCGCCGAGGTAACGAACTACCTATGTGCGCATTTCAACTATTCTCGCGCGGACCTATATAATATTATCATGGTGAAGAGGCTAAAGACTCTTCCCGAGGTGATGCGAGAGGCAGGAAACGACAAGGACTCGGACGGCTGTGAAGCCTGCAAGCCCGTCATAGCAAGCATCTTCGCGTCGTTATGGAACAAGCATGTCATGGACAAGACGACGCATGGTTTGCAAGACACTAATGACAGATTCCTGGGTAACATCCAGCGGAACGGCACCTTCTCGGTTGTTCCCCGCGTTTCCGCTGGCGAGATCACGCCGGATAAACTGATCATCATCGGCGAAGTTGCCAAGAAATATAACCTATATACGAAGATTACCGGCGGGCAACGTATCGACATGTTCGGGGCGAAGAAACAGGATTTGCTTGACATCTGGACAAGACTGATAGAGGGCGGAATGGAGAGCGGACATGCCTACGCCAAGTCACTACGCACTGTTAAAAGCTGCGTTGGAACGACCTGGTGTAGATTTGGGGTAGGAGATAGTGTTGGCATGGCGGTGCGCATAGAGGAGAGGTATAAGAGTATACGTAGTCCGCATAAGATAAAAGGGGGTGTTAGCGGTTGTGTGCGCGAGTGCGCCGAGGCCCAGAACAAAGAGTAAGTACCATCATATAAGCTAGGAGCCGACCTTGGAAGGCAGGTTATGCTAATGGTTCGACAGCTTTGGACTTATCGCTACAGAAAAGGGGTTTAATATCTTCGTAGCGGGCAATGGTGGTGCGAAACCCAAGCATTCTGAGCTCCTTGCCAAGGATGTCCCGCCGTCGGAAGTCATACCAATTCTAGATCGGTATCTAATGTTCTACATACGCACGGCAGATAAGCTACAGCGTACGGCGAGATGGCTGGAAAACCTACCTGGCGGTTTACGATACTTGAAAGAAGTCGTATTAGAGGACAAGTTGGGCATCTGCGCTTCGCTTGAAGCTCAGATGCAAGAGCTGGTAGATTCGTTCTTCGACGAATGGGCCGAGGCCGTGCAGAATCCGATTATTGCTGCCAAGTTCAAGCAGTTCGCTAACACGGACGAAACGGTCGAGACAGTGGAGACGGAGAAGGACCGCGACCAAACACGCCCCGTGTACTGGCCCAAAGACGCTGCAGCTGAGGACTTTGCCGGCCTGAAGAACCGTTGGTCATCCACGGCCTGGCAGCCCGTTATCGAAGCTAACTACTTTGCTGGTGCCGACGCCACGCCCAACGGTATCAGCGCAAATATTAAGCGAGGCGACACGCAGCTCGCACTCTGGCGCGTTAGGGGGAAGTATTACGCGACACAACAAATGTGTCCTCATAAGCGGTCCTTCGTGCTGTCGGACGGTCTTATCGGACAAGACGTCTCCCCTCCGTCACCCCCACCATCACCACCATCATCACCATCATCATCATCCCTGTCGCCTGATTCCACTACTAGCACTAAGAAAGAGCCATGCAGTGATCCCAAGGCGCCGTGGGTCTCATGCCCGTTCCACAAGCGCAACTTCGACCTCAGCTCCGGGGCGTGCCGTAACGACTCTTCCCTGTCTATTGCCACATTTGACGTGGAGGAACGTGCCGACGGCATGGTGTACCTTAAGTTACCACCCGTCGAGGAGCTAGACGCGGTGCTGGGAACAGCGCGGTGGATGGTGAGAAAAGAAGACGGGGGCTCAGGCCAGTTCGGCGAGCTGGATCGCCGGATTGGGTTTAAGGGGCGCCGAGGGAAGAGGCCAGCAACAACGGCTGGTGCAGAATTGTCGATGCGGAAACCCGTGGAAGTGTTGCCGAGTGGTGGGGGTTGTGGTGCTGCACCGGAATGGTAGTTATTGCCATTCATCTTATATTTGTATATCTCATTTAGCCATGTATAGCCTATGGGGAGCATCTTTGGATATGTGGCCAAGACAATATCATCTGAAGTTTATAGCATGTTCTTTGGCTACTTTAGGGACGTCGAATTGTATCGTAACGTTCGTTGTATGACCAAACGTTCGATCTATAGAGCAGCTTCCAGCTGTAGGACGGGGCTGAAACAGGGCCAACGCTAAGACACGAAGGATGGCCGTGGCCTCTGTTCCGTCGCCCAAAATTGCTGTTTACAGTGTCGGGTGCAGCGTAGTACTGAGATATGTATGATAGTTGTCTATTCTAAACATTAGAAGATTTCGATTAGGTGTAAGGAAGAAGCTTGGACCTGGCTACCTCAGGTAAGTTCATCGCAAATCGAAGTGATTATAATTGAAGTGGCGTCCCCTTTGTTTCTAGAACACAAGAGGAACTGCTTCCACGGGATTGGTTTCAAAAACCGTGTAGGTATATGAGGCTATGGGGTAACGAATGCACTGGTCCTCCTCATCCTTCTAGAAGGAATCCTCACGATCCTATTTGTCATGTTTGGGATTAGCTTCGCGTCATCCACGGTGGAACAATACGGAGACTTCGGACGGAATATCAGGATGGTATTGAATCAGGAGAGTAAATGGTAGCATCTGCTATATATAGAGTGGCTTTCCTTTACTTTAGACTCCGTGGTACGGCATGGCCGATTGAGTGACAATCTGAAATTACTCAACACGTGGCTGTTGACTTTTAATATCCTGTTCGCCACGAGGAGAACTTAGCCGAGCAACCGTGCGATCCATGCCCATGAGCACAAGCACAAGCACGAGCACGAGACCCAATGCTGCTAATGCTGCCAATGTTCCTTAATCCGGTGCGTGGGTGGTCCTAAAGGGATATACGAAACGTCACTTATCACTCTGACGAACCGGGTTGAGTCTGATAACTTTCTAAGCTTCCCAAGTTAGTATACGGACTGACGGACAAGATACAGGCAGGAAGCTGAAAGTTGTTCTTTTTTACGGCTGATCGGAGCTTAGCTCATTCTACATCTGTTGGCTAAAAGTGATGTGCATGGATACGGGGTTTTGAGATAACATTCTAGAATGGTTCCATGTCGTGGTGTCTTGGTGTCTTGGTAGCTTTACGATTGTTTCAAATAGATTCCCTCTTCGCGATAATCGGGTATGTAAAGCGTAAAATTATCTGAACCCCGGATACGAAATAGAGAATAACTGTAACTACTATAATGTGTAAAACCAAGGGAATTCTGAAAATGGTAGATGAAGATAGTTATTTCATTTCTTGAAGTGAGAGGAAATCTTACGAGGCTTATAGGATCATGTTGAAATAAATTAAGTGGTTAGTTCTGTATATGTTCAATAAACAGTATTATGTGATACACTATTGATTTTGTTATGATGAGAATCGCAAGGTGCGAAAAAGTAGTGGAAGAAAATGGGATAAGGGGGGTGGGTTGGAGGGCAGTAGGACAGGGGGGAAAAGGTGGGCTAGCCACACCCACAGCATACAAGGAAGTCACAAAGAATGGGATATTTCCAGGCTGAAACATGGTAACATGGTTCAACATCACGACCTTACCCATTAAGGCTAAGTCAAGATGCATGTACTTTATTACTTCGTGGCAAGTGCTTGGCCTCAACTTCAAGATGAACCGTGGACATTTGAAGGTGGAGCTTGGAAAGCCTCAGATTCGATTCTACCATAGGTACCTAGGTACGGACGCACGAGGTGTAGCACATGGAAAAGCCCGCAGCTGAGCGGCATGGATCCTGCCATGATCTAAAAGACCCCATAAAAGCCGAGGTTTCTCTTATGTGAGTTATTACAGGTACCTTACTTGCAGGCACAGAGGCAGTCGTGACTTGACCTAGCAGCTTACCACCTAATGTAAATAGAGTAACTGCAGGTATTATAGTGCAAGTCCGGTCCCCTAATTAACCTGCACTAGCTGCCTGACTTGATATTAAGTACCTACCTAGGTACCTTACCAGAAATTGTCCTAGGCCAATCGGTATTTTAGGAGGTATCATAGTACTGAAATCCCCTTATACTGCGATACGACGCAGTGCCGTACTGGTACTTGCGAGTCCACATCCTGTCCTTTGTTCTGTCCCGTGCCGTACCAATTATCAATGGTTGATGGTACATACATGGAGTACCCTACATGCAAGGAAGTAAGGTTACCTATTGCAGGTGCTTTTCTTTCTTTCTTTACTCTCTTCATACACTGACACTAAACGCTAACGCTAACGCTAACGCTAACACTGACACTGACACTGACGCTGACACTGACATTGACACTGACATTGGTATTGGAACCAGATACCAAATAGGGACCTTCCAATCAGCTACATTACAAGGTAAGGTACCCAGGTTATTGTCTCCCTCTTCTTTCTCTTCCTCCTCTTCCTTATGATTGTTACATGCATATCTAGGTACATGCATACATGCATACGTACATAACATAGCATTATTAGACCTTTTATTATTTCCATTGTCACCACTTACAACTTCTTCCCTTCGGGTCCTAGCGCTGATTATTATTGCTTTTTCCTCCATTGCAACTGGTCTTCTTTTCTATCATTACTTACTACTTACTTATTACTCATTACTAGGTAACTACCGCTTTCATAATCAGCTAACTAACTAATTATAACAATAACTTGTCTAGTTTGGTCAGGCTGAGAAAGAGACGAGAGATACATTTGAAAAGGAAAAAGAAGAAAAAAAGGACATTCATTCATAACCTAGTAGGGATCTAAAGAGTGGATCTCCCTGACCTCCTGACATTCTCTCATACACTATTCTCCCAATCATTATTTTTATTCTCCTTGCGCTTAATAAACTGGCCTATTTTTCTTGGTCTTTTCCAATCGCCTATGATTAAATTCTTAAATCGTCATCCGTTCACCGTCTCCCCCGCGGCTGAAAACGAGTAGAATTGTGGAAGCCGGGAGTCGATACCCCCAAGTTTCCCCCATGGGTAATAGTCAAGGCAAGCCCGTTGATCTCAACGGCGAAGGTATGGCTTTATTTCTTTTTTTTTTTTCTCCTTCGCCCCGATTCGCGAAGGGGGCCTGGACTCTCTACCCGGTCGTTGTCTCGGAAGCACCCTTTACCGTATCTATATCAAATAGCTAACCGAGTACCATCTTTTATTCCCTAGTGAGCCTAAACCATTTCCGATTATTACGAGTCGTCGGTCGCGGTGCCTTCGGTAAAGTACGAATAGTCGAGAGGAAAGACACCGGCTTATCCTTTGCCCTGAAATACATTCGTAAAGATGAGGGTGCGTCGACTTCCACTAAACCTTCACTCGTAATATGTATCACAATAACGAGAGAGTCGATGGATGTTAATATTATTCTGCCTCCCTAGTCGTACGGTCTGAAAGCGTCCGAAATATCATACGAGAACGACGCATGCTCGAGCATGTGAACCACCCTTTTATCTGTAACTTGCGCTATAGTTTCCAAGATATCGAGTATATGTACGCATAAATTACTACCCTCAACGCCAGGCCGGCCTTCTCTAATCCGACTTACAATATAATAGGTACCTTGTAGTCGATTTAATGAGCGGAGGCGACCTGCGTTTCCACATCTCGAGGAAGGCCTTCACGGAAGACGCCGTGCGTTTCTGGATAGCGGAGCTGGGGTGTGCGCTCAGATATATACACAATCAAAACATAATACATCGAGACGTTAAGCCGGACAACGTGTTACTGGATGCTGATGGCCATGTTCACTTGACAGACTTCGTGAGTCGCCCTCACTTTTTACTCTACTATTCACAGCATCTAACAACATGTTATCTAGAACGTTGCTTCGGACGTAATACCCGGCAAGGTCCTCACAAGCAAATCGGGGACGCTAGCGTATCTTGCCCCCGAAGTCTATGCAGGCAAGGGCTACGATGTAAGGGCTGATTGGTGGTCGCTCGGGGTACTTTTCTATGAATGTATCTACAATAAGGTACGGGCATCCATCCCTTCTTTTTTTTTTCTCACCCGAAACTCGTCGACCGAATTATATGTTTATTGTGATTATAGCGGCCATTTGAAGGCAATTCGGAAGCTACGTTAACGAACGTCATTCTTGCTGCGAACCCCAAATTCCCCGTCACTCAACCTCCAGTCTCACTGCCATGTTTGTACGCCATCGGTGCTGCTCTAAATCCGAACCCCGACAAGAGGCTCGGTCACACCTGGCAAAGCTTCATAAAGGAGTCCTTCTTTCAGTGTATCGATTTTGAGGCTTTGGAACGGAAAGAGTTAGAGCCTGTGTTTATCCCATCATCAGAAAAGACCAACTTTGATGCTACCTACGACCTTGAAGAATTGCTATTAGAGGAAGCCCCACTAGAAGCGAGGGCGCGGCGTCAAAAACCTAGAGAGAAATTAAAGGATGACGCTACTGAGAAAGAAATTCGTGAAGAGGAGCTGTACCGTACCATCGAGCGGGAATTTCAGCCGTTCGACTACACTGTGGCAGCTTATAAAAAGTGAGTACACCCTCCCGTCATTTGTTTGTCCTATTCGCTAACCGTAGATCAGAATTACGGCACAGCAGGCGGGAGGAACCGGAGAAAATAGTTCTGTTCCGAGCCCAGCCACTGAAGAACCTCGAGCCATCAGTACGGACGAGGTCAAACCAGCTCCAACCAACAATAAGGCTCCACAGCAATTGTATCAGTCGTCATCTGTACAAAACAGGCCCCCATCAGAGAAGAGTTTTACGACGAGCGGTAGCCGGGCACCCAAATCCGCACCACGGCCCCCAGCTCCGCTCGCGTCATATCACCGCACATACAGCAAGAGCGTTTCGCAATCCTCGGGTTTACAAGTCAAATCGCCCAGCGGTGGCATATCTGTTACGCTAGAAGATACAGGCAGTTGGTCAGACCTGGCTCGTCGGGATGCGACGTTGCCAGCCGATGCTAGTGTTACCAACGACGAAAAGTCATCCGGGGGCGGCGGCGGCGTCTTTGGGCTTTTTGGCCGAAAGAAGAGGGGCCATAGTCCAAAGCCAAAAGAGAGAGGAGTTCTGGGTAAAGAGGGGGCACGACAAGTAGTTGGTTGATATCATTTCCGCACTGCATATCATTAAGTGCATCGGCGTCTTCTGGAACTGGGAATAGGTCACTAGGACTCATGTGAGTCTTATTACTGCGCAATGTCCTCCTTTGATCGTGAGGAGAAATCTTTTACGATGGATGGCATGTCAGCTAAGCTGAGCGGCGTTTTTTTGGAGTCTTTCGACAACACCGGCGAACCAAATTGACTCATCGATTCGGCGGATTGTAATATCTCCAGCAGTCCCGATGTTTGCAGATACCAAGTGTCGCGAATAGAAACGAGCAACCAGCCTCGTTCAAGGGAAAATCTGTGTCGAAATTTCTTTTCAAGGGAATCGATACAAGTTTAACCAACCCCTTTTCAATACCCACCCGACGAGCCCCTTTAAGCGAGCTCAGCCTAGGCCATACTATAACTCGGAGCTATTGCCCGGGGGCCGTTTATTGTCTTTGGGAGTTAGTTTAGAACTCCAGACGGTTCTATCCGCATGATTAATCGAAGCCAGCGCAGCATTTACAATATACATGAGGCACCCTCCACTTGAAGACCTCGGAATGAAACAAGTTACGACATTTTTGAAGTGAATCCCAGTTTACGGCAGTCACCACTAAGAGTAATAGTCTACGAGCAAGACAATGATAGGTGCATATTTGGGTAGTAGCGAGTGCACAAACAGGTCGATTAGTGTTCTATAATGGTAGAGAATGGGATCGGGTGGTCTACGCTTGATATGTAGCGAACATGAAATATACATAATTGTAGACAATATACCTATCCTTGATATACGATCAGCCATGTACCCCGGGACAGTCTAAGCCTTAAGGCGAGTCTTGCAGCTAGTCCTCGACCAGATTCATATTGTGACGGGTTCACGTTGGCCAGCTAAACTGCTCTGGTTGTTCTGAAACTCCTAGCTGCTTGCGACAAGGACTAAACTCATGATATTCATGGTTGAGCCAATGAGAGGGTCAGCTCCATATGCATGGATGAGGCGTATCAGTCTTGGGTTGTGTCGATGCTAAAGCTGAACTCATGAGTAGAAGAGACTGGCTCATGACCTCGTTTGATAATTCACTGACCTAGGTAACTTAGGTACCTATCTACCTATAACTGTTAAGTCGAGGTAAATAAGTCTTGTTGGAACATTTAAGTACGAATTAGGGCACGGTTCGAGGATGGATCGCATAAGAAGTAAATACGAGTATACGCCCCTCGACCCGACGTCGCAGGACATTCGCCTGGTTACCATCTTACCGGGCAAGTTCGACGACCCCTTCCAGATCAAGATCACCCACGCCCCGCTCTTCCTCCTCCCCCCGCCCGTCCTAGAGGACAAGCCCGCCCGCTGGCCGCTGGACGCTATCTGGCGCTCGCTCCCGCAGGCGTGGAACGCCCGCGAGACCTTGGAGGGCCGCGTCGTCTTTCGTAACTACGACGCTAGGTACTCGTCCTGGGACCACCCGGACCCCGGCTTCCCGCGCGAGAGGTACGAGGTGCCCCCCGACGCCGACGGCAGGCCGAGCGTCGACTTCGAGGCCCTGTCGTATACCTGGGGGTCCCCGAAGATCAGGGAAAAGGCGATAGTGGTGATCGCGGGGGAAGCCGAGGACGCGGGTAAGAGCGGCGGCGGCGGCGGCGGCGGCGGGTTTAGTAGGGCACTGGGACGCGGCACCGGCGGCGGCGCCCAGAAGATCGGGATCCAGGGGAACCTCGCGGACGCGATGCGCCATCTCCGGTACGAGGACCGGAGCCGCGTCGTGTGGATCGACGCGCTGTGCATCAACCAGGACGACCTCGAGGAGCGCGGCGAGCAGGTCAAGCGCATGGGCCTGATATACGCGCTCGCGCGGCGGGTGGTGGCGTGGCTGGGGCCGGGGTCGGCGCGCAGCGAGCTCGCGTTCGCGCGGCTGGCGCATCTCGGCCGGCAGATCGAGCACGCGAGGGACGGGACCATGTTCGCGGCGCCGGGGTGCGCGGAGGGCATGTGGTACTCGCCGCGGACGGCGCTGCCGTGGGACGCGGACACGTGGGAGGCCGTCTTCGAGACGTGCTCGCGGGGGTGGTTCGGGCGGCTGTGGATCGTGCAGGAGATGCACCTGGGGCGGGGCGGGGCGTCGGTGCTGCAGTGCGGGCGCGGGGAGATCGCGTGGGCGCTGTTCCGGCGCGCGGTCATCTGCGTGCACGCCAAGCAGGTCGGGGTGCCGGCGAAGCTGTGGCACAAGACGCAGGAGATCAAGTTCCTGTGCGAGCACCTCGCCGACATGCCCTTCGCCGACCTGCTCAAGAACCACCACAAGCGCCCGTGCCAGGACGACCGCGACAAGGTCTACGGCCTGCTGAGCCTCGCGCCCCCCGAGATCTCGCGCCACGTCAGCCCCGACTACGGCGCGTCGCGGCTCGAGGTTTACAGGAGCGTCTTCTTCGCGCTCGTCAAGCACGAGCGACGCCTCTCGCTGCTGCCGTACAGCGGGCAGCAATACTCATCAACATCTTCTTCTTCTTCTTCCTCCTCTTCCTCATTTTTTACCTCTACTACCAAGGCGGCGACCGAAGAGTGGCCGACCTGGCTCCCGGACTGGACGCGTCTCGTGCGAGTCACGTCGCCGCACCACGTCGGGTTCTGCGCGAGCGGGGCGTCCAGCTGCTCGGGGGCGAAGTACGTGGGCCCAGGGCGACTGCAAGTAGCCGCATTGTACTTCGCGAGCACCTCGGGCGTGGGCGCCAAGCTCGCGGTGTCGGACTTCGCGGACTTCCGGCGGGCGGGCAAGAAGCTGGGGCTCGACCGGGAGAGGGGGGCCGCGGCGCCGTACCCGTCCCGTGGGACGTACCGCGACGCGTGGCTGGAGACGCTGGCCCTGGGGCGGGTTGAGGACAGGCACTACGGGATCGGGTGTCCTAGCCTGGAGAGCCTGGCGGCGATGGTGGCGGCGCCGGAGGGGACGGTGTCCAAGGAGGAGAAGGCGTTGTCAGACGGGTGGAAGATATGGACGACGGGAAGGATTGACGGGTGTTATCTGTTCAGTACGCAGAACGGGTATGTGGGCATGATAAATGGGGAGCCGCAGCAAGGTGAGTTGAATTTAATTAATGCCTACCTAATGTCTTGAAAAGCTTAGGTACCTGGCACCTAACCTAAGACATTGTTGTTGGTGATATATGGATTCATGGATATATGGGCGACTAACTTAAGGGGCTATCCGTTCATGATTCAGGCGACGAGATCTTCGTAGTGCTTGGGTGTAATATGCCTATGCTTCTGAGGCCGACGGCGAGTGGTGAATACGAGGTTATTGGCGATTGCTACGGTGAGTGCTTCATATTTCAAAGATTTTCTACGCTTACCCCCCGGATGATTATGTTAGACGTAAACTTGCATTATGGTCTTATTATAATAGTTTTCTTATAACTATCATCCTATCCTATCCTCTTCTCTATATTTAACAGGATACCGACTAACTATTGCGACTCCAGTACAAGGTATTAGTAAGTGATATCTGAGTTAATCCCTATAATCCCTATTTTCCTGAACCTCCTCTTTTCTTCCAGTGCTAATCCCCCTCCTCCAGTGGACGGCGAAGCCCTATTCGGCTCGATCCCCCCTCCCTGGACAGTGCAGATAGGAGCCGACGCAGACAACCGCGTCCGAGCGTGGTACTACAACGAGGAGACCGCCGCCATATACCGAGACCACCAGCGGCTACAAGAGGTTCCGCTACCGCTCGGGTGGGAAGAAGTCAAGGAATGGGAGAGGACGCGCGCCGACCCCTTGTATTGCAGGAGATTCCACAACAAGGAGACGGGCGAGACGATTAATTGGGACCCGAGGTTGTCTCCAGAAGAGTTTAGGGGACGCGGGGTCCCGATTGAGACTATTACGCTCGTTTGATACTCTCGGTAACTCTGTAAACCGAGGACTTCTTTATGTGGTGGACTACAAAAGCTCGACTCTAGAAACATGCTTCTTATATTCGAATGGACCATGGTCGGATACCATTCGGGGAAATACCCGGTTCTGCTCAACTTGGTGGCCGAGGTTATGGATTTAGAATATTGGACATATGTTGTATACCTAGGTACCTTATATAGTCTAAACTCCAAGCTACCTAGCTACCTAACCTACGGTATATAAGAAACAGATGATAGACTTCGAGTAATGTTCAGGGTGCTATGCATTTGAAAGGCGCCGCGAGGGTATGGTTAAAGTAACCGTAACGACTCCACGGTAATAAATAAATTAAACATTCACCGGATCTACCATCCTAACGGTTCCGTAACGTATATGCTTCTATATCCTTATTTGTATTTGGTCTTCTATTATAATACCGAGCCATAGACTGAACTATAGTCCCTGCATATCTGTTTAAAAGTCATATGCTAATAATATTGTATAGAAGAATGTTTCATATAATATCAAAAGGCTAGAAGAGGTACCTGTTTTATTGTGTTAGGAGGTATATATTATGGTTTGATAACCTTGGGTACTTAATTACCTTATATGAACTCTATGTACTTATATAACAGAATTAGGTATTTCAACAGTAAATTAATGATTAAATGCAGCTGAGGAACAAGAAAAAAACTGAAGTATGCCCAGATATGCGAAGAAGCTTATACAGGGGATACCCATTAGATGTCATGGGGCGAGGAATTAATTACCTTAATTACCCCTTTACAAATCTCGCCGCTGTGCCTACCATTCACCTTGCCTGTCACCGAAATAGAAGTTAAAGACGTAGTTGAGTACCTAGGTACCTAAAGTACTATAATCCATGGTTCTGCATTATATGTTTTGGTAGAGTTGTATGTAAAGAGAGGCAAGTAACCTAGACTTTCAATCGAACCAAAATTCTGTTCACATTGGGTCTCCTGTCTCGAAAGAGATACCGCCTTATCTCCTCTCCGAGTTAGCGTAACGCAACGGTATTGATACCTTAGATAGGCGGAACAAGCAGGCAGGCAAAGGGCATACGCGTCTCTCCCGAAACGTCAAAATTCATCGATATCGTCATCATTCCCTCCTTGCCTCGTGAGACACCCCTTTCATTCCTCCCACTAACTTGTTACCCAAGATAGATAGATAGGTATAACGCTCAGTTATTGGCCTTCTACCATCACCAGAGGCTGCTATACTCGTTACCATACATGGGACATCTCATATCGTCCACCTGTTACGCATTATCCTCCCGTATCAGCGAACGTCAGAACGCACGGCCCAAGGAAACATGAAAACTAGGAAAATAAGAATAGAGAACTGGATTTCAGTGATTTTGTCCGCCTTTCTCTGTCGCAAATGCATGCAACAACTCCGGGTCCCAATAAAAAAAAAGGAAAAAGGACATGACATTCAGATAATCAATTGTTGCCTGGACATCTCGAGATTATGGCAGAATAGCTTCGCCCTCTCCTCCTGTCTCTTTCTCTCGTCGTAATCGAGGGGTATTTGGTTTACATTCCATCGCTGCCGCCGTAATCCCCGTCGCGCCGCTTGATGCTAAAACTCCTTTCCGCCGTTACCCAATGATTGGTGATGGTGATGGCACAAGAGTAGGGAGGTCCTTTTTTGAGAGCTCCCTAAGTAGCTCCCTATATTTGTATACATAGGAAGTATTTAACAGTGGCACGCGGGAACTATGCGGTACACGCCTCGGCGTCGAGGCCAAGGTATTTTGTCATAACTGCCTTGAAATCATGTTCGTCGACAACGGCACCAGAACCGCCACACTTAGCTTTCTTCTGCAGGTCCGAGCATAATCCGTCTAGATCGAGATCGCCCGACTGAACCCTGGGACACGCTTGCAACTTCTCCCTGTTACGTTGTTAGTATACATGTTTCGAATGGGCGAATCATTCATTTAATGAGTGAGAGGGATAATAAGGGGAGAAAAGGGATAGCGTACCAAATGTTATTACACGTGAGCAGCTTGCCGTTGGATGAGACTATGGTATCCTCCGACTCCTTCCTGGCATCAATTTCGGCAATTAGATTCTTTCTGGGAGTGTTATTGTTGTTACTAGATGTCGTCGGTACGTTGTATGGCGTGGTGAAATCGACATCGAAGGCATCATTGAAGAAGCTATCATCGAAAGTGGCGGTTGCTAAAATGTTGTCCTGAGGCTCCCGGTAGTCGCCGAAGAGCTGCGGATCAAACTGGCCCCCGTTCTGTTGCGACAACCAATCCATGCTAGAGAAATCCATATTGCTGAAGTTGTTGAAATCTACAAGTTGGGTTAGTTTATGAATTATGAGAACTTGAGACAGATATTAAAATATATTGGTGATACATACGAGACATAGAGTCGCTTGTCAGTGTTGGTTGTTCCTCTCCAATGGTAGTGAGGGTGTCTACCGGCTTGAATCCTACTGGTGACTGCGTCAGCGGTTCAGGAGAGGTTCCGCACGAAGAGCTAGGGCCCGTGTTCGAGTTCGCTGTTGACGAACAAGGCGAATCAGTATTAGCCCCATTCACGCTGTAATGGCAGGAGTCCAAACTAGTTCTTGATACGTTGGCGCCGAACGTACTATCGTAGGGGGACCCAGAAGACTTGGATGATACATCCTTAGATGAAGCGTCAGAGTTCTCCCGGCTCTTCGTGGAGTTGGGTGTCGCTTGATCTTTGGACTTGTCTGGTGAGTTGGCCTGACTGTTGGGGCTTTTACTAGACGAAGGCGGCGAGTAATAGACCGAATTGGAGATAGTCTTTGGCGAGTTCTGAGGGCCAGGAAGGACACCAAACTTGGGAAACTCGAATTGGAAGTTGACGTCGTTGAGATTTTGAATTGCAGCTTGACCAAAAACTGAGCTTCGTTTGGTGTTGGGAATTGAATGAGGGCTGCTTAATAGCGTCAACTTTTTCTTATACTCATTGAGTTCCATCGTCAGCTTTTCAATCTGGGCTCGCAACTGCGAGTTCTCGTTGCTCGTCGCCGCTTCTGCTTTCTCGAGCTCCTCCACCTTCGTCTCGAGGTCTTTTAGGTGCTTCTCCTTGCGCTCCCGGAATGCGCGCTGGGCAGCGCGATTTTGGGCCTTTCTCTTCTATTATATCATGTTAGAAATCTCATATTCTCTGGGGGTGCCTGGTTAACGCTTGCGACTTACCGAACTGGGCTCGTTCGTAAGTGGCTTGCGGCCGGGTTTCTTGGGTATCTTTCCCTCGCCCTCCCTCCGCTTGCCTCCTCCCTCTTCTGTGTCATCATCGTCGTCGTCATCGGGATGACTTCTCTTATCGGGACTATCGTTTTCGGGAGAACTAGATTTGGAATTTTCCTTTGGCGAAGTACCTGGCGAAGTACCTGGGAGATCTCCAATCATCTTTGCCTGACCGTCATGGGTAAAATCGAAATCGAAACTAGTGTCGGGTCCTAGGTCGTAGTCGTAGTCCAAGAAAGGACTCTCGTGAATGCCATTGGAAATGCTGTTCTGAACATCTATGTTTGGGGTACCTTGCTGGTTCTGGACAGGCGACTTCGTCGATGACTCAGGTGAGAGAGACAGTCCATTGTTCGGGCTGTTGTTACTGCCACCCGGTTGATTTGAAGTAAGAGCGCGGAAGAGCAGGTTCTGCTGCTGGGGCGTGAGGATGAAATTTTGGAGAGCTTGAGAATGAGCTGAGGCCATTGTGACAGACTTTTTTTTTTATAGAAATATATTAAGAGAGATATGATCACGACTAAAAACGGCAAAAAGGTATGAGACTGTGTAGATATGAATTGAATTCGCTGACGTCTCTCCTTAATTGGGCAGAGAACGTTCCACCACTTGAGCCGATGCTGCCACCGACGACGTGCGGAGTGGCTTGAAGTGAAGAATAGCGCAGCTTTCGCTGCGCTAGATGCTTAATGTAGTAGTTCTTCAAAGATCAGATGAGACAAACTTTGAGGAGATAGATAAGGTTTGATGTCTTGGCTATCCACGATCAGCCTCGCACGAAGTTTGTATCCGTTGTTAGATGCCTGAAAAGAAAGGACGAATATTCGCCTTCTGGGGTCTTGAGGCTGAAGATGGAGGGATGGGAAGGGATAGAATAGCGGTCTTTCTTTTTTCGTCTAGAATTCTTTCAAAGGGACTTGGGAGGTAGGGACCACCACTTGCTTACGCACACCCCCCTTCTCCTTCTAACAGGATAGGAACAGCGCGTCAATGTGAGAGGCGTATGATATGTAGGTATGGCAGTTATGTGTATGGTGTATGCAAAGAACAGAGGTGTGACGAGCGTGGATTCAGAGTACGTTCTCACGACGGAAGGAATTCGAGAGAGGGGGGCAGAAGACATGCAATTTTCCGATTTGTAAGCGTTGTATGGCCCAAATATAAGAATATGTCAAAGAAAGTCATTGTGGCGGGGAACACTTCCTCGCTCTTTGTACTCGGACTTTACTAGCGGGCCTGGCGGGCTTACCCTGTGGCTCATTACGCCCTTTGCGTTGCCTCTATGCTACGTTCACGCCATATTTTCGTCTGTTCTGTTCTTCAGACAGGTCTCTCCCTGGTTTCCCTTAGGTACCTTAGTTTCCCTGCTTCCCCTGGTACTGTCTCCACTCGAGGACGTCTCGAATCCCAAAGCGTTTCTTCGCCTTAGAAACTAGCCTGCTAGCCTACGATAGCGCTTTGCTTCGTATATACGATACTGCCGGTAGCGCGGCCTGACCTTGAACTTGGTGGAGAATGCGTATACTATGTACTTCTCACGGCTATGTATACTATATATGGTGAACTTTTCGATATGGTGTGTTGGGAACAGCAAGGAAGCGCTGCTCTTTTCGTTCCTTTTCGGCTTTGGGGTCAAGTGAGCGTTGTATGTACAATACAATACATACCTAAGGTATGTAGTGTAGTTAGTAATGCCACCTTGGCATGTGAATTTGCCAATGAGAAGATGTTGTAGTCGTTCCGTTTTGAGGTATGGAGGGTTTATTGTGGTTACTATTGTGGGACAAGGAACAACCACGGGCAGTTTGATGGAACCGAGTCACGTTGTCTTCTTCTACAACTTTCGCATACGGTACGGTAGATTGTACCTAGGTATGCGAAAAGGTACAATGCATGCATGCATTTAGCCTTTAAAGTACCTTGTAGAGGAGTCGAAGTGGTTCAAGATTCGCCATTCTTCACTGTGTGATTTAACTGAACTAACTGGCCGACTGGATGACACCCACCCTGCCACCATCGGGCGTCGGAGTAGAAATCCAATGGATCTTGGCGCCGAAGTTGACTGGGTGTGATGACTCGTTTCCAACCTGGTGCCTGGTGATCAGCATTAATACCTTCCTAAGAGGAGGTACGATATGTAAATACATAGTAGTCACCGGCCAGCCCAGACCCAAAGCAGTGGGCAGATCTGGATAGAGAAGTTCGTGGAATAAGACCTATCGACATGGAGAGAATGCTACGTATACCAGTACCGCATGTATACAGTACGGACAACAGGTAACCTTTGGCCTTTGATGCCGAGCTGAGTCGGACTGACAGCCTCACAAACCCGCCCGAGTTACTGGGTGCTGTACTGTCTGACTGTGTACGAAGTCGATGGGAACAAATTCTCTGCGAATAATTTCGTTGGGGGGGGAGGGGGGGTGAGCATTCTAGAATGAGTGCCGCTATCTTGCAGCATTCGAGCATAAGCGTATAAGCCCTAAACCCAGCTGCGTTTAGGAGTTCTTTGAAACGCATGAATTCTGATATTGAGGGTCCTACAATACTGCATCGTAGTTTGCTTGAGAAAAGCTTGTGGGGGTGGTTTCGGGATTGTATGGAAGTTGTCCATGTCCATTGCATATAAATAGACAAAAGCAAGCATTTCCGAATTTGAGCTGACCGCTAGAATAGAATCAGACCAACTAATAGGTACCTATTGCCTTAGGTAGGTAGGTAGTAATAAAACCCGGTACGTACGATTGACCGAATCATATATGCTGTTTTATTTATACTGAAGTGAGAATCATATAAGAAATGTCACTTGCGATTCTGAATATTGATGTGAGTGTGTTTAAGGTATTACTTTTAGGTATGTACTAGGTATTGGGGAAGAGGAAAAAGCCCACGTGATAGATGATGATCCTTTCATTTTGCAGTGCAGTCTTATTGACAAGCGCCCAGATGGCCTAATCAAGCAGGAGAGAAAGTAAAAAACCCCAAGGCGGTAGCTATTTCCAAGATCAAAACATCAACGCTGCAATGGTTCAACATTACCTAAGGTACTAGGTTGTACACGCCTATAATCCAACCCGTGCCTGCCGTGGCTTTATCGCGGTGAAGAACGCCTGCCATTCCCCGCATTTGTTTAAAGCTGCCCTATGTAGCTATCCGACAAGCAAGGGCTAAACCATACGGGGTAAGCAATTTCAAGGCGGGAAGGTGGGAAAGTATCTGGTGTGCTAAATATGCAGGATAGATACTTCATAAACCGTACATAGTATTCCGTACAGTATAATGATTTCGCAAAGGGGGGGAAACCAGACCGCGTAGCCTTTCAATACGTCAATCGGCAGATTGGGAACGGTCAGCCTCGTCACCTGTCAACTTCCATCATTCGACAACGACGAATAATACTTTTCTTCTTCTTTTCCTTTTTTTGATCTCAACGGCGTCCATTTCGATCCACGTCGTACCCCTCCATCTATATTGTGGAAGAGGGGGTCCTACCTGTCTGAGTTAATAGGTTCTATAGAATTTTATTTAATTCACACCTCCTGACGCCACGATGGACATCGCATACGACCACATAGCCGAAGAAGCCCTTCCAAAAAACAGTAAGGACAATGATGCCAGCAGCAGCAGCGAATCCGCAGAGTCTTCTCGGAAGAAGCCCGAACATACTCTCAATGAAGATCTTCAAGAAGCATATCGTGCCTTCTCGAGCAGTTCTTGGGGGACGTGGCTAGGAGGAACTGTCGGTAACGTTATCAAGCAGGTATGTTGATGGTTGGATTTAATAAGGCTTATCGAATAACTTAATAGTTATATTAGGGCGAGTCTGTATACAGAGAGGCACAGCAAGAGGTCACCTCCCTCGGTGTAGATGCTACCAGAAGCTTGGCAAATCTCCGTGCGAGGGCGCTCTCACTAACCACGTCGCCCACCGTTACGGAGAGGGCGCAATCCTCCGGTGATAAGGAAAAGGACCCGGAGAAGACCCCGACAACAGATAAAGCACCAGGTCCCGATGGTACGGCGAAGGATTCCGAAACCGTTATATCACGTCTGAAGGCTGAGGCCGCGAAACGCTTAAAGGATATCCAGCGTGCCGAGGATGCTGCCGATGAGGCGTTGCTTAAGTTTGGTGGAAACATCCGAGACTTCTTCCGCGACGCTATTATTGTTAAGCCTGCTTCGGGATCGGACGATTCTAAGGGGACAGCCCGCCGTTTCGAGAGTAAGGATGAATCCGGAAAGCGAGTGATTCACACTTCGAGATACGACGCGCAGCTTCATGTTCTACACACGACCGAGAAGAGTTTTACAGAAGATCCTACTGGTGCCGAATATGCTGCGTGGTCTAAGAACTTTGATGTAGAGAGCAAGACGGAGGTTATCAGTGCTGCCCTAGCTAAGTATCCGGAACTACGAGCCAACATGGAAAGGCTTGTTCCTGACAAGGTTCCCTACGCCGACTTCTGGAGGCGATACTGTTTCCTTCGGCATAGCATCGAGACAGCTGAAGCACGTCGCCGAGATCTATTGAAGGGTAAGCTGCAGTCTGTTGTTTTTTCCTATGCCTATTTAAATCTAGCTAACACATTGACATTTAGCCGCTTCTGCCGAAGAAGAAATTGGATGGGGCGAGGAATCTGATGAGGAATCAGAAGAAGAGTCGGAAGAGTCTGACGACGATTCAGCGCCGATTAAGCCTACAGAAAAGCCTGCAAGACCGGCTTCTGCCGAGTCTTCCACAACGATTCACCCGCCCCAGGCGGGTGCCACTTCGGAGAAGAATCGGTTAAAGCCATCCGAGTCTCGTAAGTCTAACGACGAGAAATCTCAACCTGATAGTGATACGAGCTACGATGTTGTAGGCGCGGCGTCCGGGAACCCGAGCCAGGCCCCCAACAGCCCCAAAGAGGCCCGGAAAGCAGGCGATAGCGATGACAGCGATGACGAGGAATGGGAGTAACTTTTACAGCTTGATCCTTGACGTATTTTCCCCTCTTCCTATTGTAATGGGCTGTCCGGATTTGGTACTCTCATAGGCGTCCTGGTCTGTTTTTTCATTGGATGGCTTCGAACGCATGATATATTTGTCCGCCTTGACGCTCTGTTTATATCATTTTAAGCATACTTCGTCCCAGACTTGCTGTGTCGGTACCTGCAATTCCACTCCCCTGGGATCTGCAGTTTAGAATTTGACATCGTATGACCGTGCTCAGCGCTTCTTTCGAGTGACTTTTGTAAAGCCATCTTCGTCTACTTCTGGGGGCGGCTTCTCTTTAGGCACTGAAACCAAGGCAGGTGCTTCATCCATCTCAACGTCATCATCCTCATCGTCGTCATCCCCATCGCTCTCCCAATCAGTCTCCTGATCTCCGGCATCCACCTCTTGAATTTTGACTGCTTTGCCCTTCGTAGCCAGCCACTTGCGCCTCAGTTCCTCAACGAATTCGAAATCACCAGCAGCGCATTGAGTACGAACTTTAATGATGCGCTCGGCGACTTCGAGCTCGGAATCGTCGTCGACGTTGGTCTCGAATTCATCCCACATCACCTGCAGCAATGTGGCTTCAACGTCCTCGGAGTCAGGATCGGCGGGTGGTTGCTTTTGACCGGGCTTGCGCGGCTTGGCGAGATCGACGAAGCTGGGAAACATATCGACAATCGCGCCGGCGAACCAATCGCGCTTATCTTCGGAATCGGGACCACCTAGTCCATTTTGTACCGCGACCGTGAGAGACAACCACATATGCAGCGAGATTGCCACTCCCTGCTCGAATTGGAGCTGCCGGGTTTCTAAAGATTTTGGTACATCGGTTAGTATTTCACCTCAAGAAAAAAAAAAAGGAGTAAGAAAAAGAGTGAGCAAGAAATAATAAATCAAAGGACATATAACATACCCGGAGAAGGGTCTGCTTGCGTCAGGTCCATCTTGCCAGACCAGAAGTCAGGATGATAGGTCGTGTGTTAAGCTGAACCCTGAATATTGAATCGGGTTTAAAATGCGATGGAGGGGCATTTCGCATTTTGGCCCCGTTGCTGATAAACTTTTTTTTTTCTTCTTCTTCTTTTATCGGTTCTACCGAGCTTGACCCGCATTTGTGTTACGCAGAGCAGAGATTCGACATTAGATTAGATCGATACTACTAACCCTTTTGGTCACACATGTTCCCTTTTTCCTTTTCAGGGCAGCAGCTAACCTTGCTGAGGAACGGAATAGTGCAGTATCGTCTGAAACAAGCAGCGCAATGACATCACCGATAATTGACCAGCCTGTGAAATTAAGATGCGTATTCGGGATGACTGCCAAGTAATTCCAGTAATTCGCAGGAGATAGCTATCCACTTATTACGCTCATTACCTTACCTAGAAGGTACAGGAAGTTAACCTTTTTACCTTTCTTCTCTGTTACCTGAGTTATAAGCTTCCCCCTACTTTAGGTACTTATCTTCACTATTGCTCTAGCTGCTTCTTTTCGCTCCATATATAATAAGTAATCCAAACTGAGTCGTAGACACGCGACCATGAATACCGCTACGGTGTCTATGGCGGTTACGCCAACGATATTGTCAACATTTCTGTCTCACGTAGGTACCCGACCAGATAACTAAACTATCCAGGATACCTACGTTGTTTGCCTTCCACCAAAAAGCTTGCTCGGGTTAAACTTACTATTCCTGCAGAAGGGTTCATGCTAAGACTGTATGTTGTAATGTTGTAGTACCTCAATCGAAAGCCGTTACGCGAACTACCAACTGCCCACCTTTCGTACGACGAGGGTCTACACCTCATACGATCATTCCTTTCGTACGCGTCGCATCACACAGTCGAAGATATCCAAGCCTTTACCTCACAATGGGTACCTCATCCCCAATGGGTCAAGGTCGATCAAGTAGAGGTCCCCGAGTCGAAGCTTGTAGAAGCTGCAGGCGCTCTACAGGCGCAGTTAGGTCCGGATGGCATTAGGAAAGTCGGCGGCCGGAACTGGTGGCAATGGCGGAAGCTTGATAGCCCACTGAAGGCAGAATGGATTGAGATGAAGGCTGATTATCACGAGCGCAAGAAGAATAATGACCCAGGAAAACGAGTTATGCTCTATGTCCACGGTGGTGCTTATTACTTTGGAAGTGTAGACGAACATCGGTACCAGATGCAGCGACATGCGCGGAAACTGAAAGCAAGGGTATTTGCACCTGAATATCGATTATCTCCCCAGTTTCCTTTTCCATGCGGCCTACAGGATTGTCTAGCAGCGTATCTATACTTGCTTACGATCCAAGACCCTGCAACAATCATCCTCGCTGGAGACTCAGCAGGTGGTGGCATGGTTTTGAGCATGCTGGTTACTATGAGAGATAGAGCTATACCTTTACCTGCTGGTGCTATTCTTATTAGCCCCTGGGTAGACTTGACGCACTCCTTCCCTAGCGTTTCAGGAGATAACCCTTTTGACTATATTCCTCAGTGTGGCTTTCATCATAAGCCCTCCAAAGCGTGGCCTCCTCTGAATGCGGATGAATATGCGGCGTTGGCGGAGCAGGTGGCTAAAAACACTAAGAAGGGCCTACCTAAGTTGATGAAGCCCGCTTCGGTTGAAGCGAAGCCTCTCCCTCAAGATCTCGCACAGCTTAATGCGGCGGACACATCAGAAAGCGATACTCCAGCCGCTACCCTTGCCGAAACTTCATACATTTCGATCAATCTCGATGGTAAGGAGGTCAAGCTCAAAGATCAAATTCAGGTACGTGATGCAAAGCGAAATCTACCAAAAATACAATACTCATGTTCTTCTAGATGTATACGACCAATGAGCTCCTATCGCACCCTCTGGTCAGCCCTGTCATGCAACCTACCCTTGGTGGGCTGCCACCTTTACTTATCATGACGGGCGGAGGAGAAATTCTTCGAGATGAACAAATATATTTAGCACACAAATGTGCTAATCCATCTAAGTACCTGCCTCCGGAGTCTGTAATGAATGAGGCGGCATACGAACAATTGAAACGTTTCAAACCAACTGACGTCCAACTTCAAGTTTGGGACGATCTATGCCATGTTGCCACAACTCTGAGTTTTACTAGGCCAGCGAAGTTTATGTACCGTTCGATAGCTCAGTTTGGTGCTTGGGCTTTGGCGAGGGCCCAAAAGACGGGTATCGAGATCCTAGACGACGATGATATCTCTGTCATATCGAACTCTAGTTCAAATTCAAATGCAGAAGCTCCGGCCACAGTTACTAGGGAGGAAAGTAAAGGAGAAAGCGATACTGAAGTTGAGGTTGGAAAAGCTGGTGACCCCTTACCGCCATTCAAAAATCACATGATTCGCCAACGTGTCAGTCGTCACGGGGTTATTAGGCACCTGGAGCCTGCTTCCGAGTTGGTGGGTTGTACTATGGATCGCGACAGTGTAGGTGTCGTCAAGGAGACTCCAGTACGAAGGTGGCTTGAAACGCGAGCTCAGTGGAATAAACGCTATGGAAGTATCCGTACAAAAATACACAAGAGGCGTCTTAAGGAGATGGCTGCTGGTTACGTGGGTTTCGATGGAGAGACACCGCCACCAGCGTCTCTCGCTAGCAGGCGTAGAGGAGCAGAAGACGGCGCAGAAAAGAAGAGAACGAAGAGCATGGGCCTTGCTATGTGGTCTCTCTGGGGCTCCAAGCACGATGAAGCTACAGTAATCAGGGAAAACGAAGCGGATAGGGCCCCGGAAGTTAAGGTTGCTACTACCGACGAAGGAGAGGGAGCCCGCTCACCCGGCGACCTCCAAGAGCAAGAGAAGGAAATGGCTAAGCGAGAACTCGGACATAACCGGAGCCGGTCAAGGACGAAAATAGTCAGGGACGAACAGCAAGTTTCCAATGATGATGCGAACGAAAGCACACTCATTGCTATGCTTATGGCCGAGCGTGAGGCAAAATCAAGACAAGCTGAGCCATTACCGTCTTCTGGGAGTAGCCTTTTGACGGCGGATTACGTTTCGCATGAGACAGGCGTTGCGGGCAAACGGCCTATCGTGGGTGGTATTGCCGTGCCTTTTACTCTTAATAAAGAAGCCGAGACAGCCAGCATGATCACATTGACTTCAGCCTTTGACCAACCAGATCGGGTTGCGAGTCCTAGGCCACTGAGCCCGGAGGCCGATGCTATGGCGACAACAAGCGCTGCAGTCGTTGCCGCTGCTACCGACAAAGCGAAAGACGAAGTCGTCGATCCCGACTCGCTAAAGCAGCAGGAGTTTGGTTCCCGTGAAATTGTTGTTCCTGTAACTGTTGACGAGCCAAACGGTCCCAGGACTCCTATAACTGCTACTCCTGAACCTACACCAGGCCTCGAGACCGCACCTACAACGCCATTCGTCACGGTAGATGGGGTTGGCGCAAACGTACAAAGGCCCCCGTTGGAAACGTTCGTTACCGCGCAAGAGGATCTACCTACTACGAAATGAAGCTTTTAAAAGAATCGAGGCATTGGCGGAGAGGAGGGAAACAGCAATATACCCGGTATATCCTATGTTATTTGTCCGGCCTTGGATAGTGTGCTGCTTTATATTTTATATTTTTATTTTTATTTTGATATACCCTCGTTAATAGTCACTTAGTAATAGCATTAGAATTTGGCCTTGACTTTATATTTCGATGGTTGTTTATTTTATAGATGGCGAATAGATGGTGATTGTATAGTATAGTACAGGGTTTACATATAATATGTAGTCCTGTACCATGAACTTCATGCTAGCGCTTGTGACTGTTTGGGTCTGGAAGACGAGGACTTCTAGGGAAGGGGGAGGGAGGAGAGGGGAGAGGGAGTCTTCAACACCCATAACTGTAACCGCAACTGACGGACTTGAAGTCAGCTTAAGCTCAGCTCAGCTCATAAGCACATCCATCTCTTTACTACCTGGGCTCTCCTAGTCGGCCTCTGGCAGCAACCAATCTATTCTGTCTGTATTTCTTTTTTTTTTCTCTTTTTCTTTTTGGTTTACTTGTTTTGAACGATAAGTTGACTTGATCCCTCTCAATCCAGCCCGTTCTCGGCCTTCCACCTCTCCAGATATAACTCGGGGCTCTTAGGACCCATGCTGTAGCCCTCGTACCGACCTCTCGTCGGACGAATCTTGTTCGTGACGAACGGGGTTAACTGTTTATTATGACAAAGTGGCGTATTAGTTCTTTTTCTTGGGGGTATTATCATATCATATCGTATCGTATCATAATATCAAACCATAGGTATCATGTACGTACCTTGAAAGTGTCGAGTCCCGCGGGCACCACGTACGTCCGCACCTTGTTCCAGTCGATGATATACCCTCCGAACCTGGTGTGCTGACCCATGCTACCTGTTCGCGTACCCTTGTAGTAGCCCTTCTTGATGTCCTTGGTGGTGAGCGGCAGCTTGCGGAAGCGCTTGAGGAGCGCTTGGGTGGGCTGCATCGTGGATTTTTCGGTCCTTCTTGTTGGGTTTTGTGCGTTTGTTTTATGCGGTAGTTACCTAAGGACCTGTCGAGGTCTATAAACCGCCGTTATAATTGCGCCCCAATTGATCGGTACGATGAAGCTTCGGTAAAAAGTGTAAAAGTCGTCTTTTGCGAAGTTGCGATCTTGAAAATCGTCGAATTGGGTGGGTCGGAAAGGTACTTAGGTTAGGTACATACTACCTATAGCCTGTACCTAGGTCCCGACTGCAAGTGCTGAAAGGTACCTGGAGAAGAAGGTTTTGCTGGGCTGGAGTCTAAACTTGGACCCCTGCAGGCTAGAGCTCCCCCACTAACTATCGCGGCAGAAAAAAAAAGTTTAGACACCGCTTTCGTTTTTGTAAAGAAATCGCATTATCGATTAACTAACCTCTAACCTAGACTTTACAAGTAATTCTAGGAGCTAACAAGTATAGCTTCGTCTGCATTCAATTTTGTAGACAAAAGTTACAGCGTGAGAGGCGATTTTATATAACTTAGAAACGCCTTATATTCTGCAAGGTCTCAGGCAGATTTGCATCACACAAATATGCCAGGTCGGCAAGCCCACGGACGACCCGTCAGCGGCGGCGGCGGCGGCGGCGGCGGCGGCGGTGCAAGTACCAACAGCAAAGGCAAGAGGAGGTCAAAATCGAAAGCCAACAAGAAGGCTCTGAACGCATTCGCCATCGCATCCGAAGAGTATGCCGATCGCCAGAAGCGTACGCCCCGCAACCGCGAGCTTGATGTACCTCTAAGCGGTGGTGGGGGTGGCAAGCATGCCAGAGACGACGATGACGACGACGATGAAGATGAAGACGAGGACGAGGGTCCGCCTAGAAAGATGCGGCGAGGTGCCGACCGCGACGAAGATGTCGAATATGGCAGCGATAGCAGCGGAAACGAATGGCGAGTTGGTGTCGACGAAGATGACGACTCCGAGATAGAAAGTGACGACGCCTTTGGGGAGAGCGACGAGGAGCGCTTTGAGGACTACACTTTTCGTGGAAGTAAAAAGAAGCAGAAGAAAAAGGTAATGAGCTACGACTTGAGGAGCGTTGCATCTAATAGCTAATGCGACTTATAGAACGATGATGAGGACGACGAAGATAGCGATGAAGACATTGGCGATGCTGACGGCGCTTCTCTCGGGTCTGACGCCATTGACTTAGCTGCTGCCTTGGATATGTCTATGTCAGAAGATGATGGAGAACCTGGAGCTGATGAAGAGTCTGGCTCTGATGAAGAGGAATCTGACGACGACAACGAAGCATCCGGCAACGAGTCTTCTGACGTTGAGGGTGATGACGATGATGAAGTATCTGATTCTGGGATCAACGCATGGGTTTCTCAATTTTCTGGGGTCAAAGATACGGATGACCAAGATGTTGCGCCAACCAAGAAGCCTAAGATCGGATTAAAAGATCTAGGCTTACTAGGGATCAAAGATCCGCAATTGAAGAAGTCCCTTAAGCTTATGACAAAAGAGGAAAAATCTAGCAAGCCGCAGAAACTAGACGTTCCCCTCGCGAGACGCCAGCAGGAAAAGCTAGACCGCAGCGTCGCATACGAAAAAACAAAGGAATCTTTGGACCGCTGGACCGAAACTGTGAAGCACAACAGGAGAGCAGAGCATCTTGTCTTTCCACTGCCGCAGACGGAGACTGGTCTTGCCAAACATAACAACAGTGAAATCCAACCGCTGAATCGCAAAGCTCCAGGAACAGAATTGGAAAGGACTATCCTTGCGATTATGGAAGAAAGCGGTCTAGGCCCAAGTACTAAGAAAGAGGCCAAGGAGGCAGAAGATCTAGAATCTGCAGAAGCCGATGGTTTATCAGGAAATAACCTCAAGGCCCTGTGGCAGGAGAAGCGTCGCGAAAGAGAGCTCAAGTCTCGAGAGGACGCAAGAGCGAAGCGTATCAAGAAGATTAAGAGTAAGGCCTACCATCGTGTACACCGAAAACAAAAGGAAAGAGACGAGATGAAGGAACACGAAGCTATGGTTGCAGCTGGGGAGATTGATTCAGAAGATGAGCGCGAGGCCCAGGATCGTCAGCGAGCTATGGAAAGAATGGGCGCTCGGCACAGAGAGAGCAAGTGGGCTAAAATGAGTAATAAAAATAGACGTGCTGCATGGGACGACGACGTTCGAATGGGCATAGCTGATATGGCCCGGCGAGACGAGGAGCTACGCCGCCGTATCGAAGGAAGACCAGCAAAGGGAAATGATGACTCGGATGAAGGCTCTGACTACTCGGGCGACTCGGATGATATTGATGAGCGGAAGAGACTACTTAAACAGCTCGACAATGTGTCCGATGATGACGATGCACCCAAGTCGAAACTGATGAATATGCAATTCATGAAGAAGGCCGAAGCAGCTAAGAGGAAAGCCAATGACGAACTAATAGCCGAAATACGGCGCGATCTAGCCTCAGATGACGAAGCAGCTGCAAACTCTGACGATGAACCTGCGGACATTGGCCGACGAACGTTCGGTCAGCCATCAGGAAGCAAGTCAGAGAAGGCCAGCGAGCAGTTCATCAAGGTTGGGAAGAAAGGCAAGGCAGAAACTGCGGATCTTCAGGCGGCCAGAGAGAATATCGCGGCCACAAAGTCTGGTCGATCACAAGGTCTTTCAGCCCCGATATCACAAGACGTGAACGCAGATTCTATAGCGGGTGCTTGGAGTCAACCTACGGTGGCAGGGCCTCCAAGGAAACAAAGGGGCAAGAAGACTGGATCTGGCGCGGAAGTGCTGGAGATCGGTATTGACTCTGTGGCCGTAGCTGCATCGGCAATTCCCGCTAAGAAACCCCCCAAGCCGAGTAAGAAGCAGCAAACGGCCGCGGATGGGGACAACTCTTCGGACGACGAGACAAGCCATCTGCCTATCCAATTCCGCGAGCAGGACCTCATCGAGAAAGCTTTCGGCGGGCTAGACGTGGTAGCCGAGTTCGAGCAAGAAAAGGCAGCGATCGAAGAGGCAGACGACGACAAGATCATCGATAACACGCTTCCCGGCTGGGGCAGCTGGGTCGGCGACGGCGTCAGCAATCGCGAGAAGAAGCGGCACCAGGGACGGCTCCTTACGAAGCAGGAGGGCGTCAAGAAGACGGACCGTAAAGATGCGGGGATGCAGAACGTTATCGTCAACGAGAAGAGGATTAAGAAGGTATGTTTGTACAGTTCTGGTGTTTATCTATGTTTATGTCTACTGTATTTTTTTTTTTCGGGATAAAAGCTAATTATTATCATTTCGGTTCTGCAGAACGATAAGTTCATGGCTTCCCAGCTGCCGCACCCTTACGAGTCGAGGCTGCAGTACGAGCGCGCGCTGCGGCTCCCCGTCGGCCCCGAGTGGATGACCAAGGAGACGTTCCAGGAGGCGACCAAGCCGAGGATATTGATGAAGCAGGGCATTATCGCGCCTATTATGAAGCCTACGCACTAGGATATACGGTGGTTTGGGTGATGTGATGTAGCGTTGATGGCGCTTGTATATACCTACAAGGTATCTAAATTAGGCTAGGGGTTTTCAAATCTATATGGATGGATGGTATTGCTAGAGGTGAAATATCATGGTGGCGGGCTATTCAAAAGAAAAGAATAGAATCATAGAGCTTGTTGGTCTCTTATGAACTTTGTATAGGTATGCTATTCGTTTGGCTATAAATCTGTAATGAGTTCCTTAGACCACCTCACAAATTAGAGGAGTAGCAGCGCCGGAACGGGAGTGAAAATACTAAGAAGGCTATGTTCATATTCATCTTCTAGTCTTCCTTATGAATACGGAATGCTAGCACACCACATGTTTTAGCTGTTATACATATGACTAACGCACGACACATAATAATAGCAAGTTCGTTCAAAGCTTTGCGGTAGTTAGTTCAATCAATATCGTTTCTCGACGGGGTATAGCTAGCTCTACCACTACCAACAACCAACTTACTTCCACTTCCATCGTACAGGTTTGCTCTACTACCTCTAACCTAGTATTCCGTACATAATAAGTACCTGACCTTATTTAACCTAAGGAGGTACCTAACCTATATCTCATAATCTACCTAACTAGTCCTCATCGTCACTGCTATCGCCAAATATAGCTCGCAGCACATCGTCCTGTGCCCTCTTGCCTTCCACCGCCTCGTTAACTTCCGCATTCACCACCACCGCCGCCGCCACCGTCGTGTCTTCCTTCTTCGGCGGTGGCGCCTCGATCGCTTTTGGTATTGGCGCAACCGCAGCCGCTGCCGCTGCTTCGGTATTGCTGCCAGTAGTAGTCTGCGTCTGCATCTGCGCCTGCGCCGACTTCAGCAACTCATCTAGCGTCATCGCGCCGGTCGTAAACCCAGATACACCCATACCCATACCCGCACCATACGAGCTCTTGGACATTCTAGACCCAGCAGCAGCAGCTCCTCCTCCTCCCCTATGATCCGACTCCGGCTGCTGGTCCGGCTGCACGTGCGCGGGGGGCTTGACATTGAACCTCTTGCACAGCAGCCTGGTGGGGTAGAAATCGCGCACCGACCGCGTCATCGCGCCGTACATGCCCAGCTTCGCAGCCTGCTCCGCGGGGTCCACGGGCTTCTGCGAAAGCAGGTCTTTGTCCGAGGAGGAGGAGACGGCGCCGGAGGATCCCGTAGCCAGTTTCGAGGCCGATGTCGAAGAAGAAGAAGTGGTAAATCGCGAGGCCATGGCACCCGTCATGGGCTTGAAGATCAGCGCGCAGCTGCGGAACTCGTGGAGCTCGCGGAGCCAATCCTCCACGCTGGCGTTGGGCGCGCGAGGCGGCGGGTTCGCGCCGAAACCAGCAGCCCATTCGAGATACGTCCTGTACCGCGCGCGCTTCGCCTCGTCGTCTGCGTACGGTGCCGCGCCACCGCTCGCGCCGCGGGCTATCGCAGCCGCAGCAGTGGTCTTATCGAGCTCGGGGACCTGGCGCAGGAGTTCCTGCTGCTTCTCCGCCTCGCTCAACGAGTATCCTTCTGGAATTTCGCCTAGGCCGGGAGGGAGATTGGCCTTTCCGGTTGCGGCGGCGAGACGGTCGCGCGCGGACGGGGAGATGAAGTCGAAGACGGATTTGCCAGGGAGTTGGGCCTCGCCCAATAGCGCGGCACGCGATTTAGGGTCTAGTTTGGAGGCTTTGGCTGCGTCGGCGGTTGACATATAGTCTGATGTGGTTGCTGCGGGTACGTCGGATTTGCGTTGCTTGCTGGATTTCCAGCCTGGTGGTATTTCAGGGGGCGGGTATTTGTTGACTTCGGCGTTGATAGTGGATGCTAGATCGTCCGTCTCGACGCCGAAAACGAAGCCGTCAAGGGGTAAGCGGCCATCGTGGCATTTCCGTAGATTCTTGCCTGCTTGCGCGAGGGCGCTCTTCCGAGATATAAATACGGGTGCGGAGCGCAGAGCTGGATTAGCTGACGTTGTTATATTTGTTGCTTTTTTCTTCTTTTTATCCCCTCCTATATTTCTGTTATATGATATTTTTGGCCCGATCTCGTACGGGTCTTCATCGTCGGACCCCGTGTCGTTTAAGACACCAATGCCTATTCCACCTTTCCCGAATTTACTCGGCTTCTTTTTCTTAAGAGCCCCCGGACGTATTAAAGGCCCGTTGCGCGAGTCTTCGTCGGAGCTTGATTCGGCGTCTTCCCTTTTATCTAGCTTCATCGGTGTTAATCTGGCCTCTCCCTCATATCCCAATCCCTTGCGGTCCAATTTCTTCGTAAAGGAAATAAGGGCCACGTCGTCTGGCGCGAAGAGATATGTCTCGCCCTCCTCCTGAGTTGAACTGCCAGGTTTGCTACTGACATCGAGTCGAGCTTTTCGACGGACTTTGGGCCCAATCCCTTGACCATCCTTCCAACCCATCCTCCGCAGAAGCTTTACGCCCATCGTGTCCCCTTGAACTCTGAATAGATCAGCAAGTCCTCCACCCTGTCGCATTAAGCCATCCTCGTCCGTAGCCCCCAGGCCGGCGAACCCCTGGGCCGTCTGTAGTTTCTGTGCCTCAGCTGCATCAGCTAGGTCCTCCTCATCCATGAAGTCCTCGGGCCGCTGCTGCTTGGGGGTCTTTTCATCCTTGCGACGATTTGTGCGCGAGGAGACAAAGGTAGAGGGCGTCCATCCTTCCTTAGAGCCAACGGTGTTAAAGTAGCCAGCACTCCAGCCGCCTGTAAAGGCGCCGTGGAGGCGCTTGCGACCGCGCTCATCCCGCACTTCCTGCTTCCATACTGGGACGTACGACCCGTCGTCGCGAACTTCGGGGTCGAGGGGGGGCAGGGGGGTGCCGAAGAGAACGTACGGGGATTGCTGAGCTTGGAGGTCGGCTTCGAAGGTAGCGCGGGATCGCTTGAATGACATGAGGCTTACGAGGCTTACGGGCTGCAAGGAAGAGTGGAATACATTCGCGCAATGTGGTGGTGGGTCGTTTCCAGTTTACCGGGTAAATGTAGGCAAATGAAAAAGCATAGATAGAAAAAAAACACAAGGGTTCAATATATTTTGAAGTTGGATGTTTCTACTATGTAGCAATTGTAAAGAAAGAAGAGATAAAGTATCCTGGCTACGTGCATGAACGTGTATGCATGTATACAGGAAGTTCCGACAGTGTACAATACAAGATACATATATTCTGTAGCTTTATGGAATGTTCCACTTTTAAGATTTTTATCGATAAAGAATTATACCCAGGCAGGTACCTGTATTTTTTTTATTAGTACCTCTTCGCTCTGCTCCATTTCAGCTTCTTTTTAGTTTTCTTTCCTCATACCTAGTTCACGATGGTTTACAAGTTTAAGTAGACGGCTTTATGTTACAATAACTCATTCGTCTTCAATTAGATATCCTTACCTAAGTAACTTATTAACTATGTTAGGTACCTCTTAAAAATATCTACTACTATGTTAGATACGTATCAAGCTAACTGAGCGGCGAGCCAGGTCAAATACGATCATGGTTCTCAAAAAGGATGAACCTGGCTGGCTGCCTGGTGGATGCTCTTATGGAATATCAAACTATTAAACCAACAACCCACAAATCAAGCTAAAGAACGGATATCTAGACAATATCGGGTGAACCACCGATGGCTTCGGCAGTAGTAGTAATTTAAACGAGGATTGTAGTCAATCCACATACATAGTAGTAACACATGGCATGAAAAAAAGGTCGTCAGTCTTGTCCAAGTTGTACTACTATTTTATTGATCTGGCATCACTGCTAGATCATACATAGTAGATATTTCTAAGGAGACGGCTGATAGAATATGCAGAACGTGCCGGACCTGACGAGAAACGCATGTCAGATCTCATATCTATCTGCTCATCCCTGTACGCCTTGCTGCAGCTTACTCTGTTGTACAAGATTAGAGCAGTAATATAGCTATCCTGATCAGCTTCCCTATTCCATCTTAACAGGTATTGTGCCATCTGCGAGTACTTCCTCTTCGGTGGGGATGGATTGTGTCGAAGTGACTGCTTATACAACGTTCAACAATAGACCATTCGGAACTTGTACAGGGTTAATGTTCTGCCCCGTTGTAGAACGAACCTTCAACAGGTACCTACCGAGAATAAATGTCGGACCTGGTTTTCGCTACGCGGCCCAATCAAGCTCTTCCCATTCCCATTCCCATTCAATATGTTAACGGAGGCGGTACGGTCGCCAATATCCAACCTATCCTCGTCCTTGGCTGACCGAATAGGAATGGGATTATTAGGAGGTCCCAGGGGCTGTCGTCATACCCCTCTTAATCGTCACATTGATATCGCAAAATCAACTCGACTAACTCGACCAACTCTCTCTTCATTTGGCTCTATATGGTAAACAGAGGATTCAGTACTTGAAACGTAGTGGCAGGAAGAACTCACTTAAAGCTAACTAACAGAAGTTTCTAAACAAGAGGTAGGTGGTTTAATAATTATGAAGCTTCAGCTGTAAGAATATCTCATCTTATAAAAATCAAAACGGCATAATTGATCTTGCTAGTTCCAGGGGTCGAGTTTTATATCGTCATTCTGTCTTAAGCCCAAGGGGCCAAAACCCATCCGCTGACCAACCACTAATCATCCACTCCCTTCAGGTCCCTTATTAGGGAGCAAGCTCCCAGGCCCCTTAAGGTTTAGGTAGGTTCCTAAGTACTCGGATACGCACTAAAAGCCTTAAACGTGGTAGCGAGATGTAGCTAGGGAAAGCTTGACGCACTATGTGGAAAGAGTGCATTAGTGAAGGTTTGGAAGAGAGTCAAAAGTCTGCAAGCCCAGCTTTTATTCATCCAAGTTTCCCTCAACCAGCTATTGAGAATTCGACGGGGGTTAGTTGTTTTATGGGTATGGAACTCATCCTACCGTATTTAATAGAGGTAAGGTCCAATAAGGTTGTTTTGTTGTTCTTTTTTCTTTTTTCTTTTTCTTTACCCTTTTCTTTCCTTCTCCTCATATGATATTTCCTTGGCGTCGAATCAAGATACCAGATCCTACGTATTGTCATATCTAGACGGACTTCCCGAACCAGTTGTAGAGTGAATTCAATTATGATCTTTTTTCTCTCTCCTTGCCACCGTATCATCAGACAGACATTTCTTAGGTAGTATTCTCTTGCTTTGGGACACTCAAGCTGTCAATGTACTATTTCATAGGTAAAAGGTATTGCTCAGGTGTACTGTATTTGAACCTGTCGCCGGTACTAAAATTCATCGGTGGAGGGCATCTCTTATTTGGCGTCTCCTATTACTACACGTAGGCAGGGTAGGTACACCTGATACCTCTGCCAACAATGGAAGTCCACCTAATTAGATGCTACCTAACCTACCTGGTACCAAAGGTATAATACAGAGGTACTACTCCAATAAGTGCCTTTTGGACCTACATATTGTGATACACCTAGGTTGTAGGTACAAATTCCATTCGGAGGTACCATGTATAATACCTACGACCTTAGGTAGGTAGGTTAGGTACTGTCTACCTAAGTACCTTATGTACATTGGGTAGCACACAAAATGCAGTACAAATATATGTACCTAGATACCTACCTAAGGACGCTAATAACGCATTACGCATCCCCCGGGTACCAATTAGTAACTCCTTAAATACAACACCTGGGCAGTTAGACAGTTACTAAGTGGAAGAAGGAAGAAGAAGGGAAAAAAAGAAAAGAAGAATGAGCGGACGAGGACTGCACCTGCAAGTGCAATTGCAATTGCAAGTGCTATTCTGCTGTTCTGCTACTGCAAGGCTCCCACCCGTCAAACCGTCAACCGTACCACGTTGCTCCAGCTCTGCCAACCTTGCAACTCTTGCGGCGTACCCCAAGTAAGAAAAACCCAAGCAAAAACCAAAAACCAAAAAAAACCCAAGAAAAAGCAGGGGACAGGGTGACCCGCAGCCTACTATGGTACCCAGGCTAGTATTTGCCATTTAGAGGTCCGTCTCTCTCTAACTGCCCACTGCCCGTCGCCCGATGCCCAAACTTCTGGAAACCGCCCCAGCGACGAAAAAGAGAACCAATTCTCTTTTCGACCTTTTTATGGAGAAGAAGCATCGGCCCTTGCACCTGTTATACACCAGTCATTCAACAATTAATTATACTGTACAATTACTACATAGTACACACACTATTGCTGTAGCCGTCTAGGTAGCAATAGCAATAATCCAAGTACTGAGCGATGTCCACTTCCGCCACTGAACAACAACACCAACTCCAACTCCAATACCAACACCAACATCAGCATCGTCATCACCATCACCGTCATTCGTCCTCATCATCCCCGAGATCCCACCACCACCAACACCACCAGCAGAACCAGACCCAGCCACCAACACCCGTGCGCGCCCACTCCGCTCGCTCACGTCCGACAAGCTCTACCGCTGCTTCGACCTCCCAGCACAATCCAGGTAGTCAACCTCTATCTCGTTCCGCTTCGGCTTCCCATCATCACCGCCATCCTAGTCGTCAGAACTCATCTTCTGGCCGTCCTCTTCAAGACATCCTACCACAGAAAGACTATGAAACTTCTGACGTAGCTACTTCTCATCATCATTCCAAGCGAAATTCCAGTAACGACCGCCCTCCCCCTATCCCTGTCTCTGTCTCGCGGGGTCACGATCCTAAAGGAGTTCATCGTCGAAGCAGCACACGGTCAACCTACGCTCAGAGCGACATGGCAGGCCCAACTGCTGTCGCAAACAATGCCGGCCCTTCTGCTATTCCTCCCGTCATGCAAGCAGCAGCAGATGCCAGGGCTATCGGTGCCAAGCAAAGGACTTCAAGAACTTCTATCCCTACCCAATCTGGAAAATGGATTCTAGGAAAGACTATCGGCGCTGGTAGTATGGGTAAGGTCAAGCTAGCCCGCAAAGAAGACGGAACAGAACAGGTTAGTATCCTCACGTCTTTAGTTTTCTTACTCTCCATGGAACCTTATTTTATTTGCTAACAGTAATCGGACAGGTTGCCTGCAAAATCATTCCTCGGGGCTCTACTGAAGATAACCACCATAGCCGAGCTGATAAGGAGAGGGCCGATCAATCCAAAGAAATACGAACCGCACGTGAAGCAGCCATTGTGACTCTCTTGCAGCACCCGCACATTTGTGGTATGAGAGATGTCGTTCGAACCAACTACCATTGGTACATGCTCTTTGAATATGTGAACGGCGGACAGATGCTAGATTATATTATCTCTCACGGCAAGCTCAAAGAGAAACAAGCTCGAAAGTTCAGCAGGCAGATTGCCAGTGCTCTCGATTACTGCCATCGAAATAGCATAGTACACCGCGACTTAAAGATCGAAAATATTCTTATTAGTAAGACTGGAGACATCAAAATCATTGATTTTGGTCTCAGCAACCTTTTTGCCCCCCGTGGTCATCTCAAGACCTTCTGCGGTAGTCTATATTTCGCCGCCCCCGAGCTTCTTCAAGCACGGGCGTACACCGGACCTGAGGTTGACGTCTGGAGCTTCGGTATTGTTTTATATGTGTTGGTGTGTGGCAAGGTCCCTTTTGATGATCAGAGCATGCCAGCTCTCCACGCGAAGATCAAGAAGGGGCTTGTGGACTATCCTAGCTGGCTATCTAATGGCAAGTGATTTAGTTTTGGCTGGTTTGTCTTACCTTCTAACATAGATTTAGAATGTCGGCATCTTCTCTCTCGCATGCTTGTCACCGACCCGAGACAACGAGCCACCATGTATGAAGTCATGAACCACCCTTGGATGATCAAAGGTTATGGTGGCCCACCCGAGAACTACTTACCCGCTCGGGAACCCTTAACCCTCCCTCTTGAACCAGAAGTCATCAACGCCATGACCGGCTTCAACTTTGGCCCTCCAGAACTGATTAAGGCTCAGCTCACTAAAGTTATTGAATCCGAAGATTATAAACGTGCTGTGGCCCTTCTACAGAAGGAGAAAGAGCTGCCTCCCGCGCCTAAAGATGTAGAGAAGAAGCGTGGATTTGGATTCGACTTTTACAAGCGACATAACACTGGAAGCAGCCGCGACAATTTGACAACTCCAAGCTCGGACGCGCTTCAGATCGGCGCTGATCCCCTCAATGCCTTTAGCCCTCTTATATCTATATACTACCTAGTAAGGGAGAAACAAGAACGAGACAAAATAGAAGCTGCACCAAAGTCACATACGCCGAAGAATGTGGCAGACTCGCCGATGCCAGAAATCGTGCCACCACCTGAGGCTCATACAAATACGGCAACATATGAAATGGCCGGAGAGAAGGCTACTGGGGGAAGATCAAGACCCCGAGCCAGAACTCACGGGGAAGATGACGCCCCGGAGGATCTTAAGAAGGCACCGCAAGGCACACTTGCTCCCCCGGAGATTCCTACTGACCCACCCCCGAAGAAAGAGAGTGCAGCTGCTGGCATCCTTAGACGGTTCAGCACTAGGCGTCGCAAAGAACCAGAGAGGCTTGACAAAGATCGCTCGCATCCACCTGTGGTCCACGTTCATTCGCCAGCTGAAGCGCCGGAATCGCCACGGAAGAGCTTCAGCATACGCAGGTCTAGACGTGACCGAGAGGAGCATAAGCCGACGAGGTTACGATCAGGAAGCAGTCAGCCACAACATAGAGACTTACTCAGTCCACCTCTTTCCGCTGGTGCTAACTTGTCCGGAAGCAACAAAGGTCTGGGAAGATCGACAAGCGTGAGTTCGGCAGACTTTAGAAGGCGACCATTCGGATCTGGGAACAAGATCAACAAGGAACCGCCACCAACCAGCGGTTCTGATCAGTCGGCAACGACCGATAAGCTTCCGCCTGAACCGAAGAGCGCCTTAAACTCTCGGTCTACGTCTATGAGGGCAAAGCCGTTAGGCCACGCTCGTCGCGAGAGTATACAGGCAAGGAGATTGCGTAGGGAAGGTGCTCGTGCCGCTGATGTGCCAGAAGAGACGGACCAAGAGCTTGGCGAAGCAAGTGGAAATTCAGCGGAACGTTTGGACGACTCGGAGCTAGCTAAGCCAGTCTTCCTGAAGGGCCTATTCAGTGTCTCTACAACATCAACCAAATCAGTGCCTGCTATCCGTGCAGATGTTAAGAGAGTGCTAAAACAGCTTGGAGTCGAGTACACGGAGATCCGGGGTGGCTTTTCTTGTCGCTACACACCCAGCATCGACTTCAAGAAGGGATCGGACGGTCCGGGTAGCCCAACCCCGACGCCTAATCACCGTCGTAGGTTCAGCTTCGGCATCAGGACGGATAAGGAGCGCGAGGAGGTTCGAGAGTCGGACCGTGTTCCGCATACGCCACGGACTCCTGGAAAGGGACCAGCTGATCGAAGCGACTCCACTTCGGAACTTTCCGATCCCGAAAGCATTCACCGAGACGCAACTACATCGTCGAGGAGAGTACCAGGTGAAACGACCACCCACGTTCAGAGTGATTTGGGCGGAAACATGATTTTGGAATTCGAAATTTTCATCGTCAAGGTTCCTCTGCTTTCGTTGCACGGGATCCAGTTCAAGCGTATGGAAGGAAATACGTGGCAGTTCAAGAACTTGGCAGACCAGATTCTAAAGGAGTTGCGGCTATGATTTGCAGCCTCACTACGGGAATGTTGCTAAGTCGGTAATTCTTTGGATTTGGTAGTGGTGCTTGCTGGTGAAGGTGGCAAGAAAGGCCCAGGGCGTATGAATTACCCCTATTATAATGCGAGTGTCTTCTATACGTGGTGTTTCCCGTTAGAAGATAGACCGCTCACCAAGGTTGGAAATATGCGTTGATTCTTAAGTTCTTTTTCTCAAAGGGATGGATTGTGATGCCATCCATACGGGTTCTTCGAGGGTGAGCACCTGCATCCAAAACCTGTTGTAAGGATATGATGGAATTGGCAGGGTTTGGCGAACGGACTTGACGACGATTGATGTTTTTCCTAACAGCAAATACAAGTAGTAATGTAGACAGCACATCTTGGGGCGACGGGTAGATAAATGGATAGCAGCAACAGCCTTTAGACTGATGCGCGGTGTTTTCATCATGTTATTATTGTTTTTATAATTATTATTGTTACTATCCGCGCACTGAGCAGTAATGTACTAATACTTTTTTTTTGTTTCTCCAACGCTCATACTTCATCAACCATCGTTAAGCAGTATTTTTATTTTCTGCTAAAGTAGGCGTATTTATATTTGTTTACTCTTTTACTGGTGTTAGAAGAACTAATAGTAATCATATCTCCCGCTTACGTTTATTAATAACTGAGCAAATCTGATTCCATTCCGTTGTATAGGTTGTATATAACCTACCTGTACCTACCTAGAGGTGGGGAGTGCCGGGACGATGCTATAGGTGGACGAAGGAAATAGGGGGGAGGGGAGGAACCTTGACGGTTACGTAGTACGTACAGGTGCATCGATCGAATATACATTTAAGAGGACCTTCCTTGGTTACACACACCGAGATATGTACACCGGGTACATTACTCGGTATCTGTAGTCCGTGCACAAACCCCGCTGCGGCGCAATACCTAAACCGTAAGCTAGGGCTGAGAACTTAGGTACATAAATGGTCTGTGCTCCCTTACCTAACTAATGGGACCCCCATTCCGTTCGGTAAATTACGACGCGGTGCTTTCGTTGCTGGGAACAGCAAAAGCCCTGCAACCACTTCGACCTTCTTCAACATTTATCGATATCTAGTCCCTCACCTGCGATTTGCGACCAGCACCCTTTCCGCATACCACAATATCTTTCTCTAATTGTCTCTAATAATTGTCCGGTACCTTCTTACGCTTATCCTAACCTACTTGTTTACTTTCTTTGTAACAAACATTCCGTCTAGGTATTTATCAAAGAGAAGTTTAGCAACGGTTGCCCAAGCATAACTCTCGCGGCCCGGCTGAGGTCAGTATATATTTCATTTGTTCCAGTCTGCCAGCCGCCTTGATAGCTTCATGGCCGTAGCAAAGGCTTATTCAATCCACTCACATCTGTACTTCCATTCCTCCCTATTCTTAATCAGGACACATATGTCACTACAATCATATCCTTACTCACCTAGTGTATACAGACAGTATACAGACAGGCGCATATCATCCAGACTGGTACAACTGAGCTGTTAGGTTCCAGCAAACTACAATTCTACCCTGCGACTCAACAACACCCAAACGTACGAGCTGGCAAGCTACCTTTCTACCCTCGTCACACAGTTTAGGGCGAACTGGGGTATTCTTTGGCACACAAACCAAACCGAGCGCGACCAATAAGTACCAGCTGATTAACCCGCAAGACTCTCAAGACTTGCAAAGATTTATACGACCAACCGAAACTTCTACTACTTCGCCCGGAATCTGAGGAGGAAGAGTGTAGGCATAAAGAGCCCAACGCTATAGGAAGATAAAGAAGACAAGGGAAGAAAATATCACCCCAAGAATCAGCCACGCGATTAGGTACTTAAAGTGATTCGAGCGATCGCGATCATCAACCGCCACGATGTTGCCAAACCCCAACCTTTACAGCCACCACCAGTACAACCCACACGCTGACCAGCCATGGATGCACCAACCCCAAAGCCACCAGCATCAGGCCCAACAACAGGCTGCCGCTGCCGCCGCAGCAGCTCAGCAGCAGCACTACAACCGATTAGCAGGTGCTCACAATAATGTGTCCAACAACATTGGCGCGTCAGTCGGTGGTCATGTTCAGGATAATGGCCTGGAGAATGTATCCGAGGACAATCGCCGCACGTTGACCTTCGTCGCCGACCTACTTAATGAGAACACGCGAGAAGCTGCTCTCCTTGAGCTGAGTAAGAAGAGAGAGCAGGTGCCCGAGCTTGCCCTTATCTTGTGGCATTCATTTGGTTCGTAGCCTTCGTAGCCTTCTACGCCCGCATTGCACCGGTTCAGAGCTAATTTGAATTTCCAGGCGTGATGACCTCTCTCATGCAGGAGATCATTTCAGTTTACAACCTACTCAACCCGTCGCAATTGACCGCAGCTGCCTCTAACCGAGTCTGCAACGCCCTTGCGCTCCTACAATGCGTGGCATCGCATAATGATACGAGGACGTTGTTTTTAAATGGTACGTTATATCTACACAAAAAAAGTGAGAATTATAACATGCTAATAAGATGGAAATATAGCCCATATTCCTCTTTTCCTATATCCGTTCTTGAACACCACGTCTAAGTCTCGTCCGTTCGAGTATCTCCGTCTGACCTCACTCGGTGTGATCGGTGCATTAGTTAAGAATGACTCTAGCGAGGTGATTAACTTTCTCCTCACAACCGAGATCATCCCTCTCTGTCTACGGATTATGGAAACAGGATCCGAGTTGAGTAAAACAGTGGCTATTTTCATCGTCCAGAAGATCTTGCTGGATGATAATGGTCTGAATTACATCTGCGCTACCTACGAGCGCTTTTATGCCGTTGGAACAGTGTTGAGCAATATGGTTGCCCAGCTTGTCGAGCAGCAGACGGCTCGCCTTCTCAAGCACGTTGTACGTTGCTTTCTTCGCCTAAGCGATAACGCCCGCGCCCGCGAAGCTCTCCGTCAATGTCTTCCAGAACCGCTCCGCGACGCCACTTTCAGCTCGGTTCTTCGTGACGATGCAGCAACTAAGCGGTGCTTAGCCCAGTTATTGATCAACCTCTCCGACAATGTCGTGGAGACCAATAGCAACCATGCGTTATAAAGCCCCATTTGGGGCTTACCGCATAAGGACCATTGTCCAATGAGATACCCTTACGACTGCTTTAGTCTTCGGAAGCTTGGGTCATTCATAATTATGAGAGCATGAGAATTACGTCAAAATAATATCCTTTCTGATGGCATGGCATCTGTCTCAGACGCAAGAATTCCGCGATTAACCAAACCTCCTATAACCAGTGTTGTCCTGGTATGATCTCGACGGCGTATTGATTTCCTCTCTCGACTCTACAGTCAGATACATCCAGCTGATGTCTGAAAAAAAATTGATTTTCACGAGTCTTGCCTAGTTTACGGTACGAAAGGCTTATTTCCATCTGTGAAGCGAAACCTTTCATTCCGCATAGTTATCGGCAAATAATTTTAAGCCTGGCAACCATTTGCAGACTGTCGAATCTTACATCATATGACTCCCAGACAGCACTATCTGTGCCTGGGCACTTGAGTCATTCTGTTTCCAGCAACTGATGTCCTCTCGCGATGGTTTCGTTTCTTACCTTTACTTTAAGTAATGTACTAAGGTTATTAAGGGCGTCAAGGGTATACGGTTCCATGTCGATCTAGGGCAAGACTTGTGGCCATACAATACGGGTATGGATAACGGCCGAATTATCCATTCGGGGCCCTTTGTGGGACAGCGGCACGGATCATTTTGGCGGCTTGGTTTCTGTTTGCATCTTTTGAACGGGGCTGAGCAAGCAAACCACTCCTTGGTTCAGCGTGATCCGAGTCGTCTTTCGGACCCTAGCCCGGTCGTATGTATATGCATTGCGAATAGGCGCGGCGGTGTTACGGCGAATATGGCAACGAAAAAAAAGGGACCGGCGGCTTTTGATCAATAGATTATGTAGAGCTCACGATCTAGTGGCTAATGAATTTAGTTAAATGACCTCCGTTCGTAGGTAGGCATGTTTCCCTGCTCGTGACATTATCCTCTTGGATTAAAGGAATCTGTGTATCATACGATCTGCGTCTAACAACTCAACTTTCGCGACAGTTTGGCTGGGTACCGTAGACGACTGTATTTTAATGATATCTTGTAGGGATATACCAAAGCCACATATTTCTCTCATCCTATGAATACAGGCTATCCATCGTTAACGGAGACGTGGTGGCATTCGTAGCGCCAATGCTGATAGGTATAACTGACTATCTGATACCTTGCTGACAAGCATTACTTAGTGGGATCTCTTTGAGGTAGGTACCTTAGATAGGTTAGGTTAGGTAGGCAGGTAGTTCGTTAGTCTCTTAAGGGGAACGAAGAAAGAGAACATATCATATCACATCACATACATAAGTCTATTGGAGCTCAAAATTCGGATCCACTGAACTGTCTTTACCCCTTTTTATCAATCTCGCTTGGTAAAGTCGTCTGAACAAGCCACAGATTATGAGATGAGGATAATATAGTACGCCTAGAGCATGTTTTTTCTTCTTCGCTTCTAGGGATTGCATGGGATTTTTGCTACGGAGAAATGTTATCTCCTAGGTTTGTTTAATACTAGAAAGCTGACAGATACCCAGGTATTAGGTAAGTGCCAAATGGAAAAAGTCTTTTTGACAATAGGTGAGTCAGTGATTTGCTCCGCCTACCTACCATATGTGTAGGAAGCCCCTTGTTAGTTAGATACGCCAAAATACACTTGGAAAAGGGGGCGTGGAGTGGTAGTTTCTTGGCTTGTTAGAAGGGCAAAGAATACATAAAAATCCATGAGACAAATTCTTTATTGAATCGCAGTCATATCTATCAAGATCAATAAGTCTGTAAGGAGACTCACTTACTTGAGACTTCTTGCGGAAGAACGAAGTTATTTTCCTACCTCATGCTCTGCGACGTGACAAAGTCACATCGAAGCAGATAGTAGGGTAAGGACTACTGTCACCACTCAGATCGATGCATAAGCAATTTCTAGCGAATGTCCTTTATTCCTGCTTAGGTAGGCTATCATTTTCTGCCTCACCATTGGAAGATTTAGCCCTGCCTAGTATCGAAGGGCTTTCTAGAATGCCTTACAGGAGAGGGGGCCGTTGGAGCACCGCCCCCTCCCCAAAGGTAGATACGCCGATGGCTAACCAATCAGGTCATGTTATTCGCTGCAGGCTGCCGCCAACGAGAATGCCATTAAATCTTTTCGTGAGGCTCGCGGCGCTTGAATGCGTTCTAGGTGCAATATATCCTGCCGTTCCGATTGGAAAGGCGAAGGAGATGTTTATATATATATATACCTAAACTTTGCTTTCCAGAGATACCTTAGCTAGGATTCATTGCAGAATAACCAAGTTGTTTACCTGTTTGCATCTCTCTCATCAGGTGTAATCTATCCTACTACTGGCATATACATTGAAAGACCTCAAAGAATGTATTTAACCACTCTAGAGGAAGCCCTCTCATACCTTTCTGGGCTAGGCATTACTGTAAGTCTGAAATCGAACTGTACCGGTTTGTTTAGTCTTGCGCCCTAACGGTGTGTAGCAAATTCCCGTGGAAGAGTTGGCCCCTTTTCCGACATTACCGCCGCAATGTTTAAAGTGCAAACGAGTTACGACCGGACTGACCACCAGCTGGGCGAACACCAACGGCAACGCGGATCGCCCATACTTTAAATGCCTCCGCTGCAAGGTCTTTTATATATTCGCTGATACTCGTGGCAACAATCCTGACAACCCTGAATGCGAACGCCCTTGCAATTGCGGAGCTTCCACCAAGTTGATCGCAAATAGAGACGGGAAAGAAAGATATTTTCATCTACTGTATGTTTGTAGAAGAGGCACATGCACTTGCAGAAAGACATTGTGCGATGATACGAATCAGAAAATCAATGTCGCCTCGGAACTTATAGATGAGCTGGCACGTCGGAATATAATCTGAAGGCTATATACATCCCCAAGAATAAGCCACTGGGAGGAATGAAAATATTGAAGGCATAGGTTTGGATATGCTAAGCGGATGGCTCTCTCATGCGATGGAACAATGCAGATTGTCAAGATGTAAGGGGGTTCATAGACTCATAGGTACCCGTGTCGTTTCCTTTGGCAGTTGTTCGAAAGTCAGTATTTTATTTTAGTCAAAGACACGCTCTTTAAAGATATAACGATCTCTCCGGCAAAGCAAAAACAGGGCAGATGGTAGAATTGACTCAGATTGCTTAGGTGCCTGTTTCAATACAAATTCTTATTGCCTACCTCCCACTGGAACATCCTCAACATACTCCTTTTACTTACTTTATCAAGCTGTACAACAGTTCGAATGGACTATAGGTAACTAGATCTTACATACCTACTGTAGAAGGAATGATTATTCATGGAAAGGAATCATACTTTAGAATGTTCGGGTTGAATGTTAAGTGTAAAAAGGCCTCAAAGGAGGCATGTAGATAACTAACCAATCAAGTTACGTTATTACCTGGTTGCAAACGACTGCCTATCCGGAGGCAGCCTAGGAAGGTCTTCATGTTAGTCTATTTATTCATACTTCTAGTCGTTTGTAACCATCCAGTCAAGAGGAATCTACCTTTATATTCCACTTGCTTACAATACCCATAAATCATCATCCACAAAACGTCCAGCAGGATGCATATAAGTACGGTGGCAGACGTTATCGAGCTGATTTGCTGTGTGGCCCTGAATGTAAGTGAACCCTATACCCAACCCAGTTAACCTTGAATAACAGTACCTATTATATGATGGTCCTCGTTAGGCTTTTTACAATATATCCTAGGTAATGGTTATATAATCTAACAGGTAACCTACCTTACATAGGAAAGCACCAGAGCGTTCTTTAACAGCCCAGAGCCGAGATGGGATCAACTGCAACATTTCCGAGGCCTACTACCTCTAGCCTCCTACCCGAGCTCGCCGATGCGGTGCTACCACTGCGGCCTGACCGCCTCCCCGGCCGTCACGTCCTCCTCCAACGAGAACGGGAACGCGGGACGCCCCTATTACAAGTGTCCGCGGACGGGCAAGTTCCTGGTATTCGCCGACGCCCGGGGCAACGACCCGAGGAACCCGCCGTGCGAATGCGGGCTGTCGAGCAAGCGGATGGTGGCGGGGCGCAAGAAGTCCCGCGGAAAGCTGTTCTACGTTTGCAGGAACGGCACGTGCGATTACAACAGATGCTGCACGGACGCGCGGGGGGGAAAGGTCACGATCGACTGGGAGATTCTGGACCATCTGGTACATATCCAGATAATATGATACCTACCTCCCGTCCGGCGAACTGACACCGGCGCCGGGAGCTGAGAAACAGCTGGAGTCGGATGAGGTCAATAGACAGAGGGACAGCTGCGGGATATGTTCAGCAAACGATCCTTCTCTCAGGGGCTGTGTGGCGCTTCCCTTATGAACAACGACTTACGAATCCACGAACTTGGAAAATCCTCACAAATATTCTTTTGCCTTGGGCCATTGGCGAGGCGGTAGCTCACTGTTTTGTTGATGGGATGTCTTACTAGGTGCAACGGCTGTTCTTTAGTAGGAAGCACAGTGAGAGAAGGGAATGGAATGGAAGATAAACTGGCATCAGCTATTAGATATTGGGTTCTGAATATAGCCGCTCTCTGGATGGCTATTCTTGTGTTTGATGATAAGTATTGCGATATGCTGCGCTGATTGTTCGCTTCTCTACCTACCTAAACCAGGTGTCTACATCATAAGGTACTGTATGTACCTGAGGTATTCTTAAGGGTCAAGTTGAGAAGTGAGGGTATTCTGGTCGCTCAAGGGTACGACTACGATTAACTACTCCTTGAACTAGAGAAAGAAATCGGGAAGACATTATTGCCTCGTGACTTCAAGGAAGTAAAGGGGGAAAAACCCCCCCGCGGTTATGTAGTCAATGCTCCCGTAATCTAATATTCCCACATCTTAACAAAGATACTATGTAGAACGAGCTTTGAATTTGAAGCATCTTTGCAGATAAGTAGATAAATTGTCTACTTCTATCCACACCTCTTCATCGTCTATGATATTACCCTGGGTACTTCTTAGAGCACTTACATAAATTACGCAAGAACTTAAGCACCTAAGCTAAGGCAAGTATCGTCTATCTCACACTGCAAGAGCATATCTCGTATACCAACCAGCACCGAAGCCATCGTCCTCGTCAAAACCTTCCTCACATCGTCCTTGGCAGCATCGTGAGTATACAGTGTGCACCCAAAACACCGTTTTCAACCCTTAGGTACCTACCTTACCTTTCCTCCCACCGGGGCCATGAAGCGCCTCCTCCAACTGCACATGCATACATACATACATACATACATACCTCATACATATATGCGTGCCTCCCCAGGAGACATGGAGGTTATAACCTCTCAATCCGCGAGACGAGGAAACGTGCCCGCATCCCCAATACCACCTACTATGTACTTACTACTCCTACTCCTACACAGGTATGTATGTCGTCGGCCTAAGCTTCTGGGCATTGCGTCACGGGTGGCGCGGCTCCACGACCACGAAACTCCCCCTCTTTGTGTGTTAGAAGACCCTGGCCCTGGGGCCGAACGCAGGGACCCTTTGCGGATCAGGATCCGGTCCGACTAAGTACATTGCATTGCGTGTATGCATGTAGGATGCAGCTGCAGCAGTAGGTAGGTAGGTAGTAAGGATGGCAGGTTAGGAAGTTATCAGATTTGGAGATAACATAGGTAGGTATCCGTGTGAATTAAGTTGCGTTAGGTTTGGTAGGGTGCCTGGTGCAGGTACTGTAGGAGGTAGGTAGATGTGCAGTAGGCTGTCTGTCAATAGAGCTAATATCTGTTCTGCTTGGCTTTGACTTTTCCATTACAGTCCTGTTCGTAAGTACTGTTTGTCAAATTTGATTTGATTTTTTGATATTCCTTCATATGCTATCGTGACTACCTAATGTACCTAAGACTGTCGACGCGCACCATAATTACAATAGTAAATTCCTCTAGTTTCGCTTTAGTAATACATATTTTTCGCTCCAATGAGAATTGTTAACTTGTTCCGCACGCTTTTCGTAACTTGGCTAAGTAATGTAATGAATCCTCCGACCTGGTCGTGCTCTGTTGCCACCGCTGTCCGAAATTCTTTTTTGGCAGAGGTTCGGTATTTCGACTGGTCGTAGATTTCTTTTCGGCAGCATCTCCCCTCCATTTTGCTTGACTCGAAGTCATAGACGTCGGGCCCAGTTCTGCTTAAGCTAGGAGGCGGTCGCTTTCAACTTGCCCGCACCCCTGGTGTTCCTATACTCAAACTAACCAGATGCTGCGCAGGTAATTCTAATAATACTGGCGCATGCGGTAAGGACTGTTGTAAAATTACTTTCCATGTATGGAAACAGCTCGTGTGAGTTTGGCAAGGGAGCCCTTCATACAACTTCCAATGCCCTAGTTTCCCTGTCATGCCTACCACCCTATTATCTAGTTCCTACTCACTTAGTAGCTCGCTCTACTCCATTACGACTCAGTAGCGCAGCTTGGGAAGTAATGATAATACTCCCATGGTCTGCGCTGGCATTTTTTCGTTTCCCCGCATCTCCTCGCGGCCGATGATGGCTTTAAGCGAAAGCGCCAACGATGGACATGCCAATAGCTGTTCAAAAGTTAGCCGGGAATAACTGAAGCGAATTATACGTGAACTTACCTCCTAGAATGACAAACATGAAAGCGATCTTCTTTTGCTTCATCGTCAAAACCTGGCTGGACTCCTCCGAAAGGAAGTCCTCAGCGAGCAGGTCGACCAGAGCTGCGTAGATCAGAAGACCGGAAGAACTATTAAATATTAGCCTTCATCTTAGGAATTTTGGTGCGGAAGTAGTTGTTAGGTACATACATAGAGTTGAATACACCAACAATGATGAGACCAAAGGCGCTGTTGGGGTCGTAAGTGTTACGCGCAGCCAAACCGATAGCCTGTCCGATCGGTGCAGTTGTTCCGAAAGCGAACACCAACAGCCAGGGGCGGATGCTACCCTTGGGGTACGGAACAGCGGCAATACGGGAACCCAAACCAAGACCTTCGAACATCTGGTGGAAAAGGATAGCGATCAAAAGGATAACGAAGCCGTCGATGGTGATGGAGACGGTCATTCCGACGAAAACAGAGTGGAAAAGGATACCACCTTCAAGTAAGGTAATGTTCATGGACATTCTCCTGTAGACCAGAGGGTCAACCGGCTGACCCTCTTCGTCCATCATACTCTTTTCGCTGACTACTACCTCCTGCTTAGGCTCTGACTGTATCTGCGCATTACCGCCAGATGCCTTGATCATGTTGACGAGTTCGAGACGCTGGCGGACGTATTGCTCGTAGAAAACGACAAACCACGGGGGCATTTCGGATCGGGGAAGATCAAACTCGCTTTCGGAGTACGGGTTTTGCCTCATTTCATTCGCCTCCGCAGCCATCCTCTTCTCGTATTCAATGTCCTGGGCGTCGAAGCCCACCATAGTCGCATCAGATGGCATCGAGCGGTGGTGAACTTGAGCCTGATGAACGACAACTGGTGCGGGTGCGTGGTGCTCAAAGCCAGCGGCACCACCATGAGAATGCCCACCCATTTTATTGTTCATCCACATCTCAATGATGAATAGGATAAAGAGAGAAGCCATCATGATGACGCCAGGAAGCGGGGGGTACTGCTCAGTGAAGAGATCGGGAAGGCATGGATCTGAAAGACTGAACCAGGCTGTAGGGAGAAGCTGAGATATGTTAGACCAAAAATAACGAACCATACTTCAGCACCACATACATGAACAAAAGCAGTCGCTATTAGGACACCCGTTCCGAAGTGCTTGCAGGCGAAGAACACCTTCTCCGGTACCTTCAACCAGCTGATCTTCTTAGCAGCTACGGGAAAACCAGCCCCTACGAGTGAGTTGTTAATATCGTATTATCCAGTTATGTATTACTAGGTTAATTTTTCTTTCTCATACCTAAACATGACGCAGCCAGGACAAGGACTGGAAGACTATTAGCTGGGCTCAAATCGGAATTTCTTAAGGGCACTTACATAGTCCAATTGTGTGTAGAGCAACATCGTACTCGCCGACTTCCTTACCACCGCCGCAAACGGGCTTCGCGCTTCCCATATTGTTAGACATGATGACCAAACACCCGAGTTCGTTTCAACCAAAGAATAATACACAGAAAAGCAAAAGGGTGAAGTCAGAAATCCGGCGACTGGAACCCTGCCCAAAAAGAAAGCACAAAAGAAGGAATAATACGAAGCCGTCCGGCGACTCCTGGATATAATAAAACAGACGAGAGGCTTCAATCCTCACGCCAAGAGAAGAGAACGTAAAAGGAAGGAGAAAAAGAAGAGAATGTGAAAGAGAACGTAGACCCCTAACACTCAACTAGGACACAGCACAGAAGAATATGAATATCAATCAAAAAGTCTTGGAAGATTTGGCTGGGCATTCGCTTTAATATGACAAGACCTCGCCCGACGATCTCGGCTAGTAATCAGATGAAGACCCATGGAACTTCATGTCGAAATTGCGTGTATCTGCACAATCATGAGTTCGAGCAGATCTCGACTATTCTTGTCGTCTTTTTGTTCGTAGAGGCCTATGAATGCAGTCGACTCCTCGGATCCCTTCTTCGCCAGCCTCCAACCCTGTCTTATTCGAGCCCATAATATGTGTTGGATAAGAGATCGGCTTGGCTGGTGCTGCTGGGGTTGTTTCATAGCAATTCTTTGCATCGTGCAGAACCCCGATAATAGTACGATTACTACCGCAATGAGCATTTAGAAGTTGAAGATCATGCCTGTGCTTGTGAAAGCTTGGCATGAGCCTCACCCTAGAGACTCCACCTACACCGGCAATGTCCCATCTCATTACTTGATAAATTACTACTATATTGCTGCTATACTGCTGCTACGTTTTGTGTAATAACTACTGCATCGTTTCATTGCTGTTAGCTTCGTATGGGTGCGCAAAAACACTAAGTCAACGCCACGTCTTAGGCGAAGACAACGCCGAAAATAGTATATGAGGTAAATAGTGTATGTAAGCAGCGAAGGTTGTAGGTTGAAACAATGCCCACTGCTTAACCTAAGGGATTCACTTAGATAGGTATGTTTATAGTAAGCCAATACTGATAGTAAGCTTTAATGTTAACGCTATTTACGAGTACCGGCGCTACCGATCAACTCCACAGTATGCGGAAGAGGTGTCGACGGCTGCGACTGTTATAAATCCAGCAAGTCGGGGATTTCGTATGATAGTCGACGTTACCTTGTAAGGAATGAAGTCGTAGACGTACGGGGAAAATAATTAGGGCTCTTGGCAGTATCAACAATTGTGGGTTTCGATAATGCGGCTTGCGCAGTTATTATGTGAAGTTGGAAGGTTGAACACTACGCAAAACAGCACGTCGGCTTGGCAGAGAAGAAGTCCGGGGTAGGCTGGGTAGAGTGGCTAGCTTCCGGCTGCAAGCGAGTAGCTTTTGCTATTTTAGCTGTGACAGATAGGACATGATAGCCACGGCAAAGTAGAAACCCGTTTTGAATCGAAACAAAATTGAGCCAATGGTATATCCCGAATTTGATAATGATCGGCTCTCTGCCGATGCGAACAATCCCTCGCCAAGAGCGTTGTTGTTTGAGGCGGAGAAAAAATTGCGGTCTAAGCGGGAGCGGTTAACAACCCCCGGAGCCGGCATATCGAAACCCTGTTCAGCTTTTTTCTTTGCCTTTCTCCAACGGGGGATTCTCTGAGCAGAGGCCAGCCTGCCAGCAAAGCTTTCTTGGCAGACGGAATAACCTGGAACAGTGTTACATTCTATCAAGGTATGATGAAGTGCAATGTAACATATGACAACGGTTGGCTCCCTCATCTTTGCATTTCGACCCAGGTTTAGATATAATAGGTACCTTATGTATGAGTCGTCGTCTTGCAGCGATCACTTTCTCACACTGTCATTTGGAAACACCTTCTGTATTGCACCCCAAAGATTTCCAAAGCATGAATCCCGAGATGACGAATCGGGAACCAGGAAATACCACTCAGCCATCAGGTCAGTTGCTTTCTTACTGTTATTCTTGTCTGATCTGGTTATGAGGCTCCATGGAAACATCCATATCCGAACGCACAATCGTTTTGAATCTATTTATCCCAGATTAGGAATGCAGTGAAAGACTGACTTTGAGGGTGGAAGACAACACTGCTCCAGCAAGCGCCGGTCCCGCAGTTTCCACGCCTGCAGATGCTGCGCCTAAGGAGGCAAGTCACTCTCGGAAGGACGACGGCTTGCCTTCGGAATCAATCGAGGAGTCGCAAGCCATACAGGCGGGCGGGGTGGTAGCATCTTCTGCAACTGCAATCAATCCTTCCGACCCGTTGAATATCGGTCGCCATCGACGTGAAAATGTCAGCCAGCGCCAGATGAAAATCGACCACCCTAATGGAAATAAGAAGCAGCTCAAGAAGTTCTACACTCGGCAAAATGAGCTTATCGATCAATTCCTGGGTGCCGACGATGAGGAACGGTTGCAGGTGGAAGAAGACGCCCGAGTGGCTCCGAAGATCAAGTTTGCAGTCAATGCATCCTTTACGGTGAACTTCTGCCTTTTTGTAATACAGCTCTACGCTGCGGTCTCGACTGGGTCGCTATCGGTAAATGACCCTGGGTGCGAAACGTCCCCTCTTGTAAACATAGTTGACCATCTTAATAGCTTTTCGCCACTGCTGCTGATGCTTTTGTTCGTAATCCTCTAAAACTATTGATGAAGTGCTGCCGGTTAACCATAGAGACAGATGGATCTCGTCTCGTCCTTTGTAATGCTGATAACTTCGCGGATGGCGGCGAGAGCTAGCATCTATAAGTATCCGGTAGTGAGTATTGATCGACGTTATTGCCATCAAGGTTCTAAGCTCATAGCCACTTAGGGCCGCACGAGGATTGAGACTATTGGGATTATTCTCTTCTGTGCGCTGATGACTACCGTTGCGATTCAACTTCTCGTGAGTTTACTACCCCATGGCGTTTCAGCCGGTCGGAATAGATGGCTCTAATTCTTGGCCTACAGGTCGAGTCTGCACGCACTCTCGGCGGAGGACCATCCGAATCCGATGAGCTTCAAATCATTCCCATTATCATCGTGGGTATTGCCAGTAAGGGAATGCGTCCAGATGGTTACATTGTACTTTGTAATTAACAGGGATCGTAGTCTTTGCAAAGGGCAGTCTGATGCTCTACTGCCTCGCATATCGTAGATACCCGTCGGTCCATGTCTTTTTCGTACGTAATCCCTTACAGGTAGTTACTAAGATTTTGTTACTGATACTGATTGGCTGTTATAGATCGACCATCGCAATGATATTGTTGTTAACATATTCGGTCTTGTCATGTCGGTGGTTGGCGACCGATTTATCTGGTATCTAGATCCTATTGGTGCTATATGCATTGCACTCCTCATTCTGTTCTCCTGGATTGCCAATGCATTCGAGCAAGTATGGCTTCTCGTGGGCAAGTCAGCCCCCAAAGAATTCTTATCGAAGGTCATCTACTTGAGCATGACCCACGATCCCCTGGTTCAAAAGGTGGATACGGTAAGTCAAAGCCACCATATTACACTTATTAAGAGATGATACTTATACGAGTTTCAGTGTCGAGCATACCATGCCGGGCAGAAATACTATGTCGAAGTTGATATTGTCATGGACCAAGATGTCCCGCTGAAGATCTCACACGACGTAAGTCAGTCTCTGCAGAGGAAACTTGAAGGTACGTTTTGAGATCGAAACGAGCCCATTTGATATACTGAATCCTTTAGGCTTGAGTGATGTCGAGCGAGCATTCGTTCACGTTGATTACGACGATGACCACGACGTCTACCAGGAACACAAACCTCTTTACGAGGAGAAGAAGCAGCAGCAGGGCCGAACCTTGAAGGACGTGCTACTTTTCCGGAAGAAACAAGGAGAAGAGGAACTCAGGAGACAGGAGGCTCAACGATGAGGTTAGGTATCCACGTTGACTTCTCGAACCTCGAATCTAGGAAAAGAGAGGAAGGGAAAGGGGGAAAGGGGAAAAGGAGGTGATGGAAGAAAAAGATAGAAGAGAGCCGCGGTTTACACCACTAAGCAAAGGCGTGGTGAGGCTATTCCAACAGTGCGAACAACCCGTATACGATTATAATAAGTACGACGATTTTGTTTCTGTACGAGAGAACGACGACCGATTTATGATATATATATACGCCAGTTAGATAGTAAAAGTAATAAAAGAGTTTGAATTGCGCAAAACCTTGAGAGTTGAGAAGCTAAAAATGGGTCTGCGTAACTATAGTTGATGCGTGAACCAATTATACGCTATCAACGTCGTACAAGTGTTAGCGGGAAGCTAAAAAGAAAAAAGCTGTGGTAGGTACATGATACCACACAGCTTTCAAACAGGTAGCTGATTACATACCTGGCTGATTACCTCATAGTACTTTCGTATCTTATCGTATCGTATGATTGGAAATTAAAACCTCCCCATTTGCGGTTTTGAACTCTGCTCGCTACATAGTACGAGGGGAATAATCCTCACAGAACCCCCCCCTCCCCCACGAAAATGTCGCTTCTTCTCCCGGGGATACGCAGGGCGACGACGAAGCTGACGCTTAGTCAGTTCGTCTGCCGCCAATGCCTCCGTCAACAGCCCCGCGCGGCAGCAGCAGCAGCTTCTTCGTCGCGCATCTTTCGAGCGCTACAGGTCCGCCAGGCCAGCACCGAGTCCAGAGCTCGTTTCGCTCGCTATTTCACGTCTGCGGCTATCCCGGCCGAAGCCCCGCAAGCTGCGAAGTGGGCGTTCCCCGAGACGAGCTCCAAGGGCGTGGCATACTGGCTGATCGGCAGCGCCGCGAGCGTCTTCGGCATCGTGGTTTTTGGTGGACTTACGCGGTTAACGGAATCTGGGTAGGTACCTTATATATAATACCTCTATCAACTACCCCACTCCTCTTTTTCTACCTACCCTAATACAAGAAGGACTCAACGATCTAATTAAAATTGCCTTATGAAAAAACAAATATAGACTTAGCATCACGGAATGGAAGCCCGTAACGGGATCTCGACCACCCCTCACCCAGGCCGACTGGGAGGCCGAGTTCGAGAAGTACCGGGCCTCGCCTGAGTTCCACCTGCTCAACTCGCACATGGACCTCCACGAATTCAAGAAGATCTACTACATGGAGTGGACGCACCGGCTATGGGGCCGCATCATCGGATTGACCTTCGCGGTGCCCACCATCTACCTGGTTGCGCGCCGCCGCGTGTCCGCCCGCGTCGCCGCCCACCTCGTCGGCATATCCGCGCTCATTGGCTTCCAGGGCTTCATCGGGTGGTGGATGGTCAAATCCGGGCTCAAGGACGACTTGTTCGCGCCGGGATCGCACCCCCGCGTCTCGCAGTACCGGCTCGCCGCCCACCTGGCCACCGCTTTCGTATGCTACTCTTGGATGCTTCTCACGGGCCTGAGCATCCTGCGCACCCGCCGTCTCCTCGCCGACCCCGCCTCCGCCAGCAAGCTTATCTCCGCCCTGAAGAACCCCGCCATCGCCCCCTTCCGCCGCTACGTGTCAGCCCTCACCGTGCTAGTCTTCACGACCGTACTCTCGGGTGCTCTGGTCGCCGGCCTCGACGCCGGCCTCATCTACAACGAGTTCCCTATGATGGGTTTGGGCCTGACCCCGCCGAAATCCGAGCTGTGGGATAAGTTCTACTCGCGCAAGGAGGACCACTCCGACCTGTGGTGGCGCAACATCCTCGAGAACCCGAGCTTGGTACAGCTGGACCACCGGATCCTCGCCACCACCACCTTCTGCGCCGTGCTCGCGCTGTTCGCGTACTCTCGCTCCGGCCGTCTTGCCACGGTGCTGCCCAAGGACGTGAAGAAGGGTGCGATGGGCATCGTGCACCTCGTGTGTCTACAAGTCGCTCTCGGCATCAGCACGCTCATCTACATGGTTCCCATTTCGCTCGCCGCTGCGCACCAAGCGGGTAGCCTCGCATTATTAACTGGGGTCCTTGTTCTCGGCCACCGCCTACGGGTGCCGAAGGCGACGATCGCGCAAGTTCAGAAGAGATTGGCTTCGGCCGCGCAGCCGCGATAGCACGACCAACCAATATTCTGTCCCTGGCTAACGAGTGTACGATGTTTAAAACACTGTATGATCACTAGACAGATACCATGTATTATACGTAGAGTCTCAACTTTTTTTTATTCTTTCAATTCCGTCCAATGGTGTGCCGAACATAGATAGCATTGGTCTAAATCTGAACACCTAGCTATGTACTGTACAAACGCCGTAGACAGTCTAACCTTCAAGCCACTGCTCGCATAAATAGGGACCGTCCTAAAATAACATCTAAACCCTTACTTTATTTGTGGGCTAGAGAGCTGTGGTCAGTATGATACATCAATAAGCGGAGAAAAGTAGGGCGATGATCACTTACGGATTCCCTCAACTTGAACGTGAGGATCTTCTGCGCCTGCCTCTTCGACATCGGCGAGAAGCTTCTCTTTCTTCTGTTCGGGGTTCATGAAGGGGAACAGCAACACCTCCTTGATGGTGTAGTTGTTGGTGAGGAACATGGTTAATCGGTCAATACCCATACCCCAACCAGCGGTGGGCGGCAGACCGTATTCAAGAGCGTTTAAGAAAGTTTCGTCAATCATTTGGGCCTCGTCGTCTCCCTGGGCCTTCTGGCGTGCCTGCTCTTCGAAGCGCAGTCTTTGCTCGAACGGCTGATTTAACTCGGTGTAGGCATTGGCAATTTCCTTCTTGCAGACGAAAGCCTCGAATCGCTCTGTTAGACCGGGCTTGCTGCGGTGGTCCTTGGCCAAGGGCGACATGATCTTGGGGTGCTCTGTGATGAAGGTCGGGTTGACTGCGGTTTCTTCGATGAACTCGCCAGTCAATCTGTCGAGCATCCTGGCAGTAGTCTGGGGTTCGGGGCAAACAACGTTGACCTTCTTCAAAACTCCCTTGAGCCACTCCCTCGTTTCATCCGTGTGTAGTTGGTCGCCGGGAGGGAACTTCTCTCCTGTTGCTTCTTCGAGGGCAGGAATCATCTCGACTCGTCGCCACGGCGCTTCCCAGTTAACTGTGTATGTCTCACCGTGCTGGGTGGTGAATTCGGTTATATAGCTTCCAGTAAGGTGCTTCACCATACCGGAGACAAGCTCTTCCGTTCTCTTCATGAGATCGTTGAAGTCGGCATAAGCTTCGTAGAATTCGCAGGTTGTGAACTCTGGGTTGTGCGTCAGATCGGCGCCCTCATTTCGGAACAGGCGGCCAATCTCGTAAACCTTGTCGTACTCTCCAACAATCAACATCTTGAGAGGTAGCTCTGGCGCGATTCTCAGGAAGATGTCCATGTTGTAGTCGTTAAGATGGGACTGGAAAGGCTTGGCTGTGGCACCACCTGCGATCTGGTTCAAGATGGGGGTTTCCACCTCTTCGAATCCAGCGTTGTCGAGGTAATTTCGGATGTACTTGATAATCTTGGTACGAGTGCGGTAGGTCTGAGCGGTCTTGGGGTTCATGATAAGATCGAGGTAGCGCTTGCGGTAACGCTGCTCTTGGTCCTTGAAGCCGTAGTACTCGTCGGGTAATTGGTGCAGACAAGGGGCCAGAAGTATCACCTCGGTAGCGAAGATAGAAAGCTCACCCTCCTCGCCCTTCTCGAGCTTAGTCTTAGGGGCAGTTCTTCCAGGATAACCAACGACACCGATGATATCACCACGTCTTATGTGGTCGTGCTGCTTCTCGAAGGCAGGTGCGCCTTCACGAATTTCTTGAGCCTGGCACATAATCTGGACCTTGACACCATTGTTACCGCGGATATCGTAGAAGAGCAGCTTGCTACCGGAGGCGCGCTTGTTGTATATTCTTCCAGCGACGTGTAGGATCTTGGTCTTGTCATGTTCTCCAGACTTGAGATGGCCATACTGCTTGACTAGATCATTCAAGTCGTAGTCGCGTTGGAACTTGTGGGGGTAGGGATAGGGTTCCTTGGACTCGATGAGCTTGGAGATGGCGCGAGATCGAATCTCGAAGTATTGCTAATTCCAACCAGTCAGTTACCAGTAAGTAGCATGTTATTATAACAATGAAGAAGAACAAGACGAAGGAAGAGGAGGAGGTGATGATGGTGATGATGGTGACGATGTAAATAGACCTAATAGACTAACATTAGGAGTCAGCTCCTTCTCGTCGGCTTCGGCGTTTGTCTTCTTCGCGGAGGCGGGCTTAGGAGGGGCGGCAGCGGCCTTCTCTTGCTTCTTCGCATCTCGCTCACGCTGCTTCTGTCTCTTCTTCAACTCGGACTTGGATACCCTCTCACCGGTAACCTCGTCCAAGTGTAGGTTGGCAAGGTCTGCGGTAGGTGCTTGATCCGCCATGTTGACTGACGTGTTAACTTAATATTAGGTGTAGGTACCTAAAATTTGCGATTAGGTATTGTTGTACCTGAAGTTGGCAGAATTATTTTAATTATTTCCAGTCGACCCCACGTAGATTTTTTGTGAGTTTGATCGCGGGGTAATTTTTTGCGAATTGAAATTGAGTCACCCGCACCGATCTCGCTAATTGCAAATTGTTATATCGCGTCTAAACGCGGGGCACGTTTCATTGGTTTTGTTCGTCACGTGGATATCATGTGATGGATTTATTTACCCATTTTTAACCTTTCACTACCTTAAGGGATAATTCAAATTCAAGCATTAGGTAATACCTTAAGTACCTAGGTACCTCTTATACCTTAAGTTTAAGTAAGTACCCAAGTACCTGGTATTTTATCCTTTTACCAACTCAAATCATAGGTAGGTCTTTTTGGTATCGACCTGTCATATTCACCCAAGAAATCTCATAATCTTATACGCCAGAATAAGATCCAATCAGGGCTGGTCGCTTAAGCTCAACTCTTGACAAGAAAAAGTCCTAACCTCCTAATTTCCCTTCTGCAATTCTGCGCCCAGGGTCGAATCCTTCTATCCCTAGGCTTCACCCAGCAGCCAGTCAACGATTAGGAAAATAGCCGGGGTAACAGGGAATTTGATAAAACTTAAACGGCCAAGAGCCAACGCGTTTGCTACCGGTGCAAGGCTCATCTTGCCGTCACATTATTAGAAGGTCAGTGTTTCCGATGTATGGAGTTTACCTATGGTAAAGAGACTCCATGTCAGCGGGCTAGCTATTCTTAACATGTTATCGTCTTCACGCTCGTTGCTGGACGAGGACACCCTATCATTTGTTCTTGTCTAGGTAGATTTGTCGACAAGTGTTGGCTTTTCCTGCAGGAATATGTATTAGGTACCCCTTGAAATCAAGCGCCTATCAAGCGAAGTGGCCTCCTTACATGCCGTACTCAAAGAGACCGGAGGTTACATCGACGAATTCCAGGAATTTGACATATCCCCAAAGAATCATTTAACTATTATGGTCGATGGTTGTAACGCGGCATTGGGGGATCTGCAGAAGCTCCTCAAGTCCTATGAATGACTCGGGACACAAGCTCAAAGATCTTGGGACCGGCTGCGCTTCGGATTGGAAGATCTTGCTGATATCAGATCTCGCTTGGTGAGCAATACAACACTTTTAACAGCTTTTAACAGCGCTCTGGTCAAGTCCGTAATACCAAACCGCGTAAAGGGTTTAAATAATACCGACGTTAATGTAAAGCTCATCGACAACCAGGATTGAAAAGAAGCTGAATAAATTCATCTGCGAAGTACGCGCCGGGTACCGAGAAGGATATGTTGTTACTACCCCGGACGTCGTCGAGACGATAGACTCGCCCGATGTATGGGCCCAACTACGCCGTGAACTAGAAGACATCGACATCTCGCCGACCATCACGGAAGAACATCACGACTGTATATCAAATTGGATGAAGTCAGAAGTCTATCACAGATCCTACCAGATTTATCCGAAAGGTCTTCGTGGAGGATGATGCACTTGTACAAGCAGCAAGTGACGGCGACATGGACAAAATCGCCAAGCTTCTCAGCATCGGGTGTAACGTGAATGCAAAATATTGATGGAGGTCAGTGAAGCTTGAAGATGTGAAGATGCCTGTTTTGAAACATACTGACGCGTATTATTTAGCTGGTCAGCACTTAGTATGTGTCCATATGGAGGACATCTTGCCATAGCCCGGCTCCTCCTCGAGCATAGTGCTGACTTGTATAATGTCGATGTCGACGGTGACACACCCATGCAGATAGCTACAACACGCGGCCACTCGGAAGTGGTCATTTTGTTTGATGAAGCACAGGCCGAGAGAGATCGCCTTGCACGGGAGCTTGATGATGAACCAACAGCAAAATGAACCAAATTTGGCACGGGCCGGGTAGGCTTTTTCAATCCCGAAATCTTCAGCATCTGCGCCTCAATAATACGGCGAAGGATTTACTTATGATAGTGTAAATGATCTGCATACCCGCTAAAATCCGAGCGCAGTTAAAACGTTTAAGGAAGTAAGCTTCTTATTTAAGGAATACTTCTCTTTAATGTACTGTTTTTAATGTTGTTTATTTATGCATCCCTTTTATTTTCATCGCACTCTCTTTCACCTACATTTTTTTTTCTTCTATTGTTGGGATAATCTCTAAGGGGGCTGTCATCTTGTGTCGTACGGTTACCTACCTGTTAAGAGATCCAGAGTCGGCGTGGTACCTATGTGTTATTATTGGCAACATGTCTTGATCCCTGGTTTGGGTATTATTTTTCGAGAAAGAAGAAAAAAACTAACTGCGATTGGGTATGCACACTGTCTTCTATGCTAAGCTTGACGTAGCTACGAGGTAGCTAATAGGACCCATGAGGCCCAAGCACCGCCAAGCCATTGTGCCTAGTACGGTTGCATCGCCGCAACAAGAGCCGCTAGAGCTGCGAGGGAGAAAGCCAAGAGGCAGGGGAGTCGGTAAGGCTGACAATTATGTAGGTATAGTATGCTGACTACTATGGATATGTAAGATGAAAAGTTCATAACTCAAGGGAAAGGGACCTGTGGACCTGTGGACCTAGGGGTTCCGAAAAGTCCCTCCCTGTCGATCCTGTCAACCTCACTGGCCTCATCGCCATGCGCAGCCACGACCAGCTACTTGCCAATCAGGGCAACTTATTATTGCAGGTCGAAGGACTCGTACACATGGAAGATCAACAAGCAGACCCCTTATGTAGAATGGCCTGGCCGCTAACTATACCCGTCGGCTTTTAAGGATAGTGACTAGAACGTTAGACCGCCTTATATTGTCTTATACGCTGCCACTCAGATATACCTGGCTTTCTTTAAAATCCTACTTGGAATAAGCAGTGGTGTAACGTGTCTTACGCTACCGACTGGCCATGAATACCTAAGGTGTCACTGAGAGTTCATCTTACCCGGATATTTCATCGACTATTTCCCAGACGCGGATCCCGCTACGGTGGAAACATCACGGAATTGTCACCATGTCAATCCTCGCCCTCCCACAAGACCCTTTCTTTCCCCAAGAACCTGCCAGGGGACCGCTTTTCCTCGATACCCAAGCATGCCTCTGTGCTCTACAGAGTACGACAAACTCGGAGGATAGTAATATAGCATGGCAGTGTATAGGAAACCAAACACAGGGGGTCTATAATGTGACTACGGGGAAATGGTTCAACAGTGTAGGGCCCTCCAAAATACCGGAGGAACTCCTCATATCCGATGCGACAAATCATCCCGACACCAGCAAGCCTTTTATGGTAGATAATTCTACACATGCTTTAGTAGATCTCGACCCCAGCAAGCTTAGTGTCTGGGATCGAGCCTGCACGGGCGAGAATCACACATCCTTCTCGACTTCTTACTATAGGGCCTCAGCGGAACTCGATCGAGACGAGACGCCCGTTGACGCTGCTCCTTGTTGGCGACCGGGAGCCATTCCTATAACAATTCAGAATGCGTCGAGCTGGGAGGAGAGGGGATGCAATGAAGGTTTCCTATGTAAGTCGAAAGTCGAAAGAAAGAACCTTAAGACGAGGAGACATGCTAATGACTTGGAACCAGGTACCAATAATACCGTAAACTCACTACCACAATTCTGCCCTCCCGTAACGGAGTGTCAAATAGCGCGACTAGCCGGGTACACATGCATGTATGGAGGCAAAAACGTCGGGATGGGCCCTTTCGAACCCGTGGTCTGTCAGCAAGGGTATTATTGTCCGCCCGGACAAAACAAAATGATTCCTTGCCCGGCAGGCACGTATTGTCAACCCGGCGCCCCCTCGCCTACACCATGCAGCGTTGGAAGTAGATGTCCTGAACAGTCGACATATGAGACTTTCGTAATTCCGTTCGCGGTCCTGATTTTTGTCGACATCCTCCTGGTTTTGTCATTTCTCTTGTATTATATCCGGATGCGTTACTGGAGGGCTCGCGAACAGTCCATCGGCAACAAGTTCAAGAAGAGGACGACCTTCGTAGGGCAGCTGACGGGCTACAAGGAACTCTCTGGAAACGCGGACCAGGACCATGACATGATACCGATGCAGGCAACTTATATGCCTGGCCAGGATACGTGGACTGGTTTTGAAGCTGCTCTGGAAATGCCAACGCCGCGCAGCTCGACATTGAACGTTCCCGACGCCGGATTCTCCCCGCAGCTTCGAGTGTTTGTCGAATCTATGCGGAGAGCCACAGATGGCGCTCGCTTCGGTTTATCTTTCGCGTATACCGACCTCAGTTTCCAACCCAAGGGTAACCCGAAGCCGATCCTGCAAAACGTAACTGGGTCCATCGAGCGCGGTTCGTTAACAGCGGTTATGGGTGGTTCCGGCGCTGGAAAGAGTACGTTCGTTAACGTTCTTATGGGCAAAACCACAAATACCGGCGGCTCGGTCATGATTAATAACGTGCCGGGGAAGATTAAGAGGTATAAGAAGCTCATTGGTTACGTGCCTCAAGATGATATCGTATTGCCTGAATTAACCGTCTACGAAAATATCCTTCACTCGGCGAGGATACGCTTACCTCAGACCTGGAAGGACGTTGATATAAAAGCCCACGTCAACTCGGTTATCGACTGCTTGGAACTGTCTCACGTCCGCGACTCGTTAGTTGGTAGCGTCGGGAAGCCCGTTATCAGCGGTGGTCAGAGGAAACGAGTGAGCATCGGAATGGAACTCGCCGCAGCGCCCATGGCCATCTTCCTCGACGAACCTACCAGCGGTCTCGACGCCACGGCCGCGTCTTCCATCATGCGAACGCTCAAGGCGATCGCGCGGCTAGGCATCTCCGTTATCGTGATCATCCACCAGCCGCGCATGGAGATCTTCGAGATGCTCGACGACTTGATCCTGCTAGCAAACGGACAGATCATATACGAGGGGCCGGAGTCCGGAGTGCAGGACTTCTTCGAAAACGTCGGCTTCAGCTTCCCCCGGCACAGCAACTTCGGCGACGTCGTCACGGACATTATCACCGGCAACGGCAGGATATACAAGCCGTCCGGCGACATCTCGAAGGAAGCTCTGATAGCTAACTGGGCCCAATCTAGTAAGAACGCTTCGATCAAGGAGAAGCACGCCTCCATCAGGTACTCCAAGACGTCTATCGCGGAGAATAATTCTAAGGGTCGAGAGCTGCTCAAGAAACGAGGTGCCCCGCGCTGGAAGCAGCTCTGGCTATGTCTGTCGCGCGCTATGCTCCAGCAGTGGCGGGCCAAATCCACGTTCTGCTTCGAGATGGGACTGGCTACCGTAGCTGGGTTGCTCCTCGGTCTGGCCGAGAACTCGAAAAAGGGGGTGCTATTTACCGGGATCTACAATGAGCCGTACGACGTCCTGTCTCTAGCGACGGACATCAAGTCGGTGCCCGAACTGGCGCTCCTCATGGCCATCGCCATCGGACTCGTCTCCGCGGCGCCCGGCGTCAAGGTCTTTTCGGAGGAGATGCTGCTGTACAGGCGGGAGGCCGAGGCGGGCCACTCGCGCATCGCGTACTACCTTGCGAAGAACCTGTCCGTGCTGCCGCGCATGGTGTTCGCGTGCATGCACTTCTCGACGCTGATCCTGCTGCTCTCCGCGCCCATCATCCCTTGGGCCACCGCGTTCCTCGCCAACCTCGTGTACTTCTACTGCATCTACGGGCTCGCCGGCTGCATCAGCATGATCGTCCGCAGGGAGGACGCGCCCCTGATCGCGACCATGATCAGCCTGATCGTTGGCATCTTGTCGGGCGCGGCGCCGCCGCTGTCGAAGGCGGTGGAGTGGCATATGGAGTGGCTGTGGCGGGCGTCGCCGGGTACCTGGCTTGCCGAGCTGTATTTTGGACAGCTGATCAACCCGCTCCGGTACCTCTACAACGTCGAGCTGGCTGCGCAGCAGGTGGGATTCCATCTGGACTGGCATTGGCGCAACATGGGATGGTTGCTTGCTATCGGCAGTATATATCGCGTTGTTGCGTATATTGGCTTGCTTGCTGGGAACCGGTTGCGCGTGTAAGAAGGATGGGATGGGATATCATAAACTGTATCGGGTATATATATACCTAATATATGAAAACGAATGTTATTGGAGAAAACCAGGAGGAGTTGCGGAAACCTGCGGCATTTTGCGTACGCTGTCTTACATCATGTTTCATATTAGAAGATACCTCCTAAGTTTATATATATTGCATAGTATTTACCATACTTCAGCATCTCAAGTTTACATGCCTGTGGTAGTTAACACTCAAGCGACCAAGGGCCCAGTCTGGAGCCCGAGGAGCTGAACGTGATAAAGTCTAGCCAAGGATTGGTGGCGTTGGCGGCCTACCGCGAAGTTTAAATAAGCGCCAGCTGTTTATTGAGTCCTATCGACCGGTTCACGCGTAGGCTCGGCACAATCTGCCCTACAAGATGCCTTGAAACGATGAGCCATTATACTTGATGTCGATCATGAGCACTGTTTGGAAAGCGGATAATTGCGCCTACCACCAATTCCATGTCGGACTCTTGTGTATAATTAACGATATTGTACGTCAGGGTGGGAAAAAATAAAGTAAAATAAAAAGTTGGGATCTCCGGCTTGAACAAACACATAGTACATCCCGCGAAAAACACCAAGTCATGGAGAGCCAAAATGGTGATATGCCGCATATAGGTATCGTTGGGGCGGGTGCTTCCGGGCTTCGATGCGCAGATATCCTCCTATCTCACGGTTTCAAAGTAACTATTCTTGAGGCGCGGGATAGGATCGGTGGAAGAGTAAGTTAAATGAATCCTTACTACAACTAGAGCGATAACTAAATAAATCGTTGCCTACCTAGATTTGCCGGTCAGATGAGTTGGGCTACGCCGTCGACATGTAATTAAAGCCACGCATGCCGGTTAACCCGAAAATATATACTAAAAATGTCCCATTACTGTCTAGGAATAGGGGCCCGAATTGGGTTCATACTTGGGATAGCGGTGACGTGCATCCGATCCTGAAGCTAGCAGCAGAGACTAAGATGCCTCTTCACCACTGGAACGACTCGAACGGGAACATTGTCCCAGATGAGAAGACAGAAAGGCTTTCCACTCTCCTATGGGAGATAATCAAGAAAGCTTTCAAGGCCAGCGAAGCAGCCAGGGAGAAAGACAAGGGGGGAGAGCATCCCACGGGAAGAATCCCTATATGACTTCGTTAAGAGGTCCGTTGCAGAGGAACTAGAAGATGAAGGAGACCGGCAAACTCTCACCCAGATGAGCGAGATGTGTGGAAGCAGAGTCTGAGATTCGCTTGGATGGAGGAATGCTGCGGAGGTGGTAAGCATATCTGGAAGGAAATTACATCCTCAATCTGACAAAATGGTAGAAGAGGTATTCGTCGAGTCAAGCTATTCCGTGATTCTAAGAAGGATTGCAAAGTCTGCAATTGAACAAGCTGATATCACACTTGAAGCCAAAATCGTATTAATCGACACACTTCGCTATAACACGTCCCGGAAGGTAACTCTAAGAACAGAGGTTGGGAAAGAATACGATTTTGACCAGGTAGTGATCACGACACCGCTAGGATGGCTTCAGAAGAACATGGGTTGTTTCACACCCTCCCTGCCCCAGAGGCTTACTTCCGCCTTCCATAACCTGAGGCTCTCGCAGCTCGAGAGAGTCTTCGTCACGTTTCCCTCCGCGTTCTGGATCTCGGGCGCGACGACGGCGGATTCCTTCCCCGCGTACACGAACTGGCTCACGCCGTCGTACGCGCACGACAGCAACCCGCACGGCTGGCCCCAGGAGATTTGAAAACTGGCCGCCCTCGCCGCGCCCAACAAGCACCCGACCATCCTCTTCTACCTGTACGGCGACTACTCGCGGCACGTCTTCGGCGCGATCCACGAGCAGCCGAGGGACAAGAAGTTCGCGTTCCTGCGGGACTTCCTCCGGCCCTACTACGCGCGGCTGCCGGGTCGTACTACAACACGGCGAGCGGGGCCTGCGCCCCGACGGCGATCCTCGCCACCGAGTGGCTCAAAGACGACCTGTGCGGGAACGCGAGCTACTGCAACTTCCAGGTCGGCGTCGAGGAGGCGGACCAGGATATATCCTCGCCATTCGCGACGGCTGCGTGGGGCGCGGACTGTGGTTCTGCGGCGAACACGCGGCGCCGCTCGAAGAGTCGGGCACTGTCGCTGGCGCGTATCTCTCGGGGGAATCGGTCGGCGAGAGGATTGTGGAACTATACAGAGGTGGGATATGATATAGCAAAGTATCAGGTACCTACCTAAACTATCATGGCCTTGGATCTATAGGGAATTATTCTCAATAAAGTCGGACGCCTGGTTTTACATATACACGAACTAGATAGGGGTAAGCATAGAGCGCCACCGGTATATTGATATTTCATCTAGCTAGGTAGCATACACGCCATCTAACGCAATATAAATGACATTAGGTACCTCCTGTTATAGAACTCCTTATTTCGCATCCGCCAGGATATCATCAGCCGCGCTCTCAGCTAACATATAAATTCCCGCCACAGGGAACAACCCCCTATACCATCCAGGACTAGCAATACATACCTGATATATAACTCACGATGTCTTTTGAAACGCTGACGCATCCACAAGCCTCCTCGCGAACCCCATTGCTTCAAGTGCTCGTCCGAGATAATCTCAGCAGGCGGCCCACACGCGCTCGAACGACTTGCCGATCTCGAGCGACTTGAGATGTGTCGAAGACTTGGATCGTTACCTCGACGCATGCCGTCCTACAATGACAAAGAGTCAGCAGATATTTGTTTTAGGAAGGCATCTGGATTAGTGTCTGGGAGCTGTATGTAAGGTAATGTATGTGTACCTGTCATGCATGTCTTGGTACGCTATAGCTTCTCAGTTATATATATTGCTTGATTAAGGGGATGCCGGTCCCCGAAACAGGTTCCAAAAAAGAAGAAGAAGAAGCAGAAGAGGAAGCTAAGAGAAAGTTCCACGTAACGTAGTACGGTAGGTATCACCACAGCGTCCTCTGCGTGTCCGCCGCGCGAGACAGATCAGCCTCGCCGAAGTTGCGGAACGTCGTACACGGCATGTCGCGCGTGTTAGCGTTAGTAGGTACCTAACCTAACCTAAGGTTACATAGGTTAGAGGTAGTCAGGTTCACCGCATCGGCGCTGTTACGCGAGCGCGCCTCCAAGTACCAGCCATGTGAAGTAGGTAATTATTTCTTCTCCGTCGGCGTGATCACCATGCTTTCAATGCCTACCCAACCTAGTATAACCCCAGCAAACGCCGCCCCGGCCCATATAAGTCTTAGGTACAGGTAGGTAGGTACCTAACGTAGTCGGGCCCGGCCGGCAGTCGATGATCGTGGGAAGGAACCGAACCGATTGCAACCAAGCAATACCGTCGATATTAGCGCATGAAGCCATGCGCCAGACCCAGACGATGAGAGCAGGTAGGCTGCATCCAGGGTCTCGTAGCACGGATCGTCGTCTGTTATAAATCATGACGAAGGTTGCAGGTTTTTGGTAGGACTAGATCGGAGATCGGCCCGGTACCGAGTCTTGTCGTAGAAATGCTCAACGCCGGTAGTCTGAGGCTTTGCTACCCATGGTGTCAAAGTCGATCTTTCATCGCAAAGACACCTACCTAACCTAATGGAGCACAGCATCTGACTACTTCTTCTTCAAGCCATCGTCATGTTTGGTCGTGTCTAATATGTCCTCCCTAGATCCAATATTCCATGGCGCCGAGCGTTTTCGCTCAGGAGAACTAATAGACGAGATCACCTAGGTAGGTAACTAGAGGAACGCGGCTAAACAATGAGATACTGACGAGTCGTCGATGTTGATGTTGTACCTACTCGAAGAGCTAGCCATCTAACCTAGTTTGTTAATACTGTGGAGCTTGCGTAAGAAGGACGCAGTGCATGTGCGCATGCGCATGCGTACGCGTACGTTTGTGAGAGTGTGGCTTGGGAGGTTCAGATGGGGGGTGTGGAGGTAAATATGAAATGCATGCTCACCCCATCAAGACTGCATGACTATTTGCCTTTTTCTTTTTTTTTTCTTTTTGGCGCGATCTTCGGTAGCAACTACATCAAGCATATTAGTTTGCTATAAACCCCTTGCTTACCAGATATGCTGTGCACTCTCCTTCCTGGAAATGCCACTACCCCTAGATAATGTATCGAATGCATGCCAGTGTATTGGACCTGATATAGCTAGAGGCTCGACAAGTCGTCGGTAACAACCCGGGAAACCTGTGGGTCTTCGTGGTATCATCCTCAGGGGAAAGGCACTGGTTCTTCACCAACTTCTCGAAATAGCCTTTTATGTGACCTACATCCCAAATTCTAGTCGCCTGTTGGATTTTTGATATGGTCCCAGTCATTTCTCCTTGGTATAATACATACAATGGGCACCAAAGTTAGATTCTAAGTATGTACCTACAAGCATCTGCCCGCCGACGCGAGGATAATGGTTTCCATGCAGCTCGGAGCCTTCGCGAGGGCTTCACTCCGCTATAATAGTCGCTATAGGGTGTAAGTTAATGTCAAATTTCTATCTCGTATTGTCTGTCACACCATCGGTATAGTGTCGAGCGAAGAAGCCCCAGTCTCATCCGTTTCTTTCCCGCGCCCGGAAATAGAGACCGGGAATCTCAACTTCGTGTAAGCTGTCGTGGTCCCCACCGGCATTGATTAGCGGGACTATGGTACGACTTTAGCAGTAGGTTATTGCCTTGGCTTGTGAGAAGGCTTTGAAGGAATATTTGTATTGTGAGATGAATAAGAAAGAGGAAGCAAAATAACACTATACACATACCGCTGTGACCTGCGAGTGCCAGCAGTGCTGCAAAACGAGACCCCCCGGCGCCACAACCTATGGCTGTGTATTCATACGGCTTATTTTCCGGAAGACTAGGTAGCTGGTAGTTATGGACCACTTGGTGGATTAGTTCTTCCGCTCGGGAAGCCGAGGGACGGTTATATCAATCTCGGCGTTACCAAAGTTAAATTAGGTCCCAGACATTTCACCCGGTCGTGGGCAAACAAAACCTCGCTTTCGCAGCCAAAATTGCCGCAGTGAATAGCCGAAAGGTTGTCGCTAGCTTCATCTTGTCCCCAGGCTAGGTATGATCAATAAAGGTAGGTACATACATTTCTTATAAGGACCAAGACCCCTAGGTCTTTGATAATAGGAGCTTGATAGCGGAAAGTTGAGATTTGTGGGAGTGTTCTTTTCCTGAAGTTTTAAAGAAGGCTTATCACCTTGCAGGTACTAGGTATCTGTTTAGCATTGGAAAATCTGGTCAGATCTGTTGATAACGGCCAAAGTAGAGAGAAGGGCCATGATTCAACAATAGCAATATTATTTGCAAGCATCTCGCTAGTGATGTTCATTATTCCGTCATCTCAAAAATATGGGGGTGTCAACATACTCCTGAAATATGCCAAAACATTGAAACCGAGCGAGTCAAAAACACCGAGGACCAGTAGATCATGTTCCAAAAGTACATGTGAGTTGGCTGCAGGTTTTACACATATTCAAGCCACTATTTAATTTGACACTTGCTATGATACTTGCCATGATGTATCATCCAAGACAATGGCTTAGATAACAAACACCGAAGCTAAACATCTTCACTAAAGGGGTGTCAAGATCCTGCTTCCGTTGTATAGGTATGGTTGCCGTCATGGGACTTGATGCAAATAGCGGTTGACTTTGGGTTATCCCTTCGTAGTGATATTTTTACCAGAGCAAGGGGTGTGGACGCTTAACGTTATATTTATAGAAGCTGGACAACGCAGCTAACAGGCGATGTCAACCAGGTTAGGTCATAGTTTACAAGCGGTTCTCAAACATTACCGGCGGTTATCATGTGCCATAGCGAAGATAAACATTTGTTGGTAGTATTTTACTTAGCCTGAGCTACCTTATTTGCGGTTCGGGTAACACCGCTTTATATAGGATATTATATAGCATATCGTTGGCATGTTACTGGTTTTTTCTATGAACAGATACCATACCCAAGTATTACATATCGGGCTGAAAGAATACTGCTACCTAACATTTAATAGAAGTATACTGCTGGTATTAACAATACTTCCTCCATTTTATCAGCGACTACCTAGCGTTAGGGCCCTGCCTGCATATGAATAGTTACGAATTTTGTGAGGCTATATTGGTGTCTAGCGTGAAGGGTATTATTTTATTATTAGAGCCTTGCCAGATATATTGTAACCACGAGTATACGTGGATGCGTAAAATTTTCAAGTGGAGAATAGGCTTTTAATCTATACGAAGAGAAGCGATAATAGCGTATCTTGGTCCAAATCGAAGACAGGTTAGTTGGTATATAGATACTAAGTACTGAGGCTTGCTATTAATAGACAATTAGTGTATGGACAGACCGCTTCTACTTGGCTTTAGAAAGAGAATAGCGTATATCGGGTATCTATTTGTTAGATTCGGGCGATATTTCCCGTGCTATGTATCGTAGCGAATGTTGGGCCAACATAGGAGTAACTAGCCTGTGTATGGACAGAGTAAACAAGTGAAAGATGAAGTCGTTGGCGCCCTATCGTATATTACTACCAACAACACGGGCTACGACACGTGTAAAGGCGGCCATAGATAGGAGGTAATAATCGTAAAAAATGTTAACTCACTTTAGCAAAGATAGTATAGATGTTCGAGAAAGATTTATGGATACCGTATTCTATGGCCGTGTAGTGTAGATTAGAGTACGGCTTGTAGTATTTCGTGGGGGAATCCACCCGAACTAAGGAGATCCGTAATCGAGGCTGAGTTACGAAGCGAAGACTTCAACACCAACACCAACAACAAAGTTGCGTCAGAGATAGTAGATATTAATCTAGGCTAAACACTCAATAAGACATTGCACATTAGGTAATTCAAAGAGAGGTATATATGAGCTCATTGAAGGGTTAGCTGGAATGCTAAAGTCTTCGTTGTTGTTCCGGGCGAAGAACCCGTATAGGTAAGTGGCGTGGCTGTGAAGGAACAAAGGAAAAAGAAAAAAAATTGTGGAGGTTGGAGGCTGGAGGGACGAAAAGAGGAAAGGAGGATGACGAAAAGTTAAATTTAGAGTTCAGAGTGGACATGGCTCTACCCGCCTTTCCGTCTCTAATAAGTTAACAAGGTCTAAGACGGTCTTTCCTATAACACTGCTCTCTAGTATGTACCTACCAAAGCAATGAATCAATTACCTAACCCAAGGTACCTACTAGTTCTACATGTAGTTAAGCTAGTGATTTCTTCTTTTTTATTATTCTTCGCTTCTTTCTTACCCTCTTCCTCTAATCCGTAAGCTCCTCGTGATGGCGGAACCCCCGAGACCGTGTTCAGCCCGATTCGGTCATGTGAGCCGCGGAATACGAATCTTACCCTGTCGGCATCAAATCGTTGCTCACCGTCTCGCGACGTGGGTGGGCGGCTTTCTTGTAAATTCGTTATTCGGTGACCGCCTACTACTATATTATGTGTGCACGTTAGCGTTATCTAGGTACCTATATCTAGGTATCTAATGTATCGCATCGTAGTCCTTAGGCTATTGAAAACGCGCCAAAAAGAAAATCTGCAATTCGAAATTCGAAATTTGAAACGGATGGAACCTTAGAGGTAGGTTTACCTAGTATAATCAGGTACCTAGGTACCTTGACTGCTTGAATAAAATAATATGGGGCTGTGCGCAACTCAATACCAAATTTGGTTTCGGAATTGTCGCGCGCTCCTGACGGAAGTATGGAGAGGAATCAGTGGATTGATTGACACAATTGGGGCTGTTTCAACCAAAGTGTCGGATCGATATCACAAGTAGCACAAGTCACAGGGCTGCATGCGCCATCTTTAACGCACGACCGATCGGCTCTCGGTTTGTAAGTGGCGTTTTCTTGGCGGTCTGGAGGGGTTGTCGTTAAACAAGATATCAAAAACAAACAAACAATTGGCTGGTGTTTTTGGGTGTTACATAGTAACAATTCCGCTTGGGAATTGTGAAGTACAACATCAAATACTGAAGTAAAATTGATATAGGAACTATGCTCCTCGAGACAACTTTATATCCGCCTTATATCCAAATGAATACAAACTATAATTAAATGCTATTAATTAATATTTGGATTGTAAAATATAAAAGCAAAAAGGTCCATCTTTAAAGATAAAAATGATAAAAAACAGATTTAAGATCAATGATGTAAAGATGCAAAAGATGCGAAAACGCAAAAAGATGACTTCGCCCAGGCTCGAACTGGGGACCTTCAGTGTGTTAGACTGACGTGATAACCAACTACACCACGAAGCCGCGCTTATTATTAAGTTTTCAAAATAGGGTCTAAGTAAACCGTCGCAAGCGGCGAAATTGCTTCCAACTCAATTCCATCTTGTGGGCAAACTTAGGCCGAAGCTCTCAAAGCTTAAAAGCCGTCTGGTCGCTAAATGTAAATTATGCGATAGGCTATTCCCGTTTGTGATCCCTGCGTAGCGTGCCTCTCGGTTGTACCTGGCATATATTCGCTAGAAACGGGGGACCCCTTATGCAGGCTGAGATTTGGCGTGCGCTAAAATGCTGCAGCTGAACCTAGGTACCTACGGCTGGCACCAATAGCTGCTGTATAACCGTTAGAACGGTTGGTTCCAGACAGCGCCGCGCCGCAGTCCAAGGCCTGCATAAATACCAAGTAAGGGGGCATGGCAATGCATCTTTAAATAACACCAAGGCTGAGGTAAGGTAAGGTGAGGTTAAATTCGGGTAATAAGGGTCGATTTGGTGAGGGCTTTGGGAAGGATGCATTTTTGAATCAGTACTACCGGTATTGAAGCAGTACTTTTGGAGGTAGGTCAAGTCGGTAACTGCCCAGGTGGGTTATTGAACGCAAACATAAGGTTAGTTAGTTATAGGTAACTGCCCAAAGTTAACTAAAAATGTACCTAAGGCTAGGGTTAACTATGGGGAATAATATATACGGGGAATACGCACAGGGATTCTCGATCCTATTGTTACATACTACTACCTGTATAAGGTAACTTCGGATTTAGGGATTTAAGAATTTATTAGGATGGAAGGTTTAGGAAGATGGATACGCACGCCACTAATAACAACTTCTTTTTCTGGGTCCGTGTCAATTAATCCAAGATAACGATGGCTCTTTTCATAGAACCTTTCCATTCAACTCCTGACAAGAATTCAATAGTAGATTCCAACCCATCCACCCATCCACTCATCCACTCATCCATCCACCTGATTCACTTACCCAAGATTACCCAAGAAATTCGCGAAACCTCAGGACTTCTAAGGCGGCACAGTCTAGTATATTTCAGTCTAGTCATTACCTATTCCATCCGTAGTGTTCTATAGTGCCGGCCTTTCGTAGCCTCTTTTTACTTAGTCTTGAGTTGTAAGTGATGGTAGGTAGAGCCTTAGGTACCTAACTGTTTACCTAGGTAAGTTAAATTATAGCTAAGAGCCGAATTTTAAGGCTGTCAGCATTGGACCGGGTTGTAGGACTGGGCGTACTTGAGGAATACCTTCCTGGACATCACCGAAGCGACAATGAACGTCCCATCAATGTACGAAGTAGTAGTAGTGCATCTCCATAATCTGCTCCTATCCACTCTTGTCCCCGGTTGAATGGCACGCTTAAAGATGCGCGACACACATTGATGACTAACGCGAAAGCGAGATATGTCATTTATAGTTGACGTCTTTTTCCCTGCTCGCTTTTTTATCGATAAAGAAGCCCATTTAATCGCATACTATTAGGTAGTCATATGAGGAGTGTGCGCTCAAAGGTCACGATCATCGGGGTTATTTGATGTTGTAGATGAGGTAGCGCGAGTTGTTTTTGGTGTGCAACGTCACTTTCATAGGATGGCGATGGGGTGATACGATCTGCTCGTTTTATTCTATTTTTTTTTTCTTTTTTTTCTTTACTGTGACTCGTGATAGCCCCTGGGATACGAACAGGGGGCTGTTGCGATGTGAGATGATGGGGCACAGCCAAGGGTATCCCTGTCACGCATTGGGCCATCAACTTTCTAATTATTCGATTGGTTTAACCGCTTCAGCAGAGCCACAAATCTGGAGCGCTCCCTGCTGGGCTGTCTCGGTTCTAACTGCCTGGGGTCTAGCACTCTTTCCGAGTCTGGACTTCTAAAGTTGTTGCTGACAGGGGACAGAAGAAGCCGTACCTACCCAAACAAGTAGGCTCGGCGTCCAGAAGTGGTCCTAGGACAGGCAGGGACTTCGGGTAGAGAGTAAGAGCGAGCAGACGAGGAAGGATATTCAATGGAAAGAGCTGGTTAACTACTGGATGACCACTGGATGGCTACTGGTTAACTAGGCCATAATTCGTAAATAAAATCATAGCCGTGCCCACTTCCCTGCCAAAAAAGTCCCCCTTTTCTTTCATTATTCCCACACCTTCGTTTACCGTACGACGCATTCCTCTCTACTGCTGTCTGTCTTACTGTGCAGCGTGGTCCGTCCGCTTCGTTTTGTTGAAAATCAATTTCTGTCTCTCGTTAAAACGGACCCATTCAGCTGATAATTCAAGTTTTAATAAATCTACTCCTGTCCCCCCCCCTTTCAACCCTGTGCTCTTCTGTTCATCAATCTCTTCACGATCACAGACTTGAGCAATCCTAGTCAATCCACTTGCTGCAGCACCGACCAAAATGTTCTCCAAGCTCTTGTCTACCACCGCGGTGGTCCTCGCCGCCACCCAGCTGGTTTCAGCTCAGACCCATACCGACTGTGATCCCACCAAGAAGAGTGAGTTCACCTTGAAATTATGGTTTGGAAATGTTGTTTTATTCAGTTGCTAACATAGCATATCAGAGTGCCCTGACGACCCTGCTCTGGGTACTACTGTCACCGTTGACTTCACCAAGGGCGACAACAGCCTGTTCAAGGCTGCCGATGGCACTACTATTACATACGACAAGAACGGTGCTGTCTTCACTATCAACAAGGAGACCGAAGCTCCTACCATCACCAGCAACAAGTACATCTTCTTCGGCAGGATCGATGTTGAGCTTCAGGCTGCTCCCGGTACCGGTGTAGTTACTAGCTTCGTGTTGCAGTCCGACGACCTCGACGAGATCGACTGGGAATGGCTTGGTGGTGACAAGGCCCAGGTACAGAGCAACTACTTCGGCAAAGGTGATACTACCACCTATGACCGTGGTGCTTACCACGCCGTTTCCAACCCTCAGGACCAGATCTACAAGTACTCCATTGACTGGACTAAGGACTACGTCCGCTGGCTCATTAACGACAAGCAAGTTCGTGAGTTGAAGTATGCCGATGCTAAGGGCGGCACTCGATTCCCCCAGACTCCCATGCAGATCAAGCTTGGTACCTGGGTTGCTGGTCGTTCCGACGCTCCTCAGGGTACTGTCGAGTGGGCTGGTGGTAAGACCGACTTCAGCCAGGCTCCCTTCATTGCCCACTACAAGTCTCTCACCATTCAGGACTACAGCAACGGTGTTAAGAATGCTGAGAAGTATGTCTGGGCTGACGGCTCCGACGGTTCTTACCAGAGCATCAAGGTTGTCACTGGTGACGGCAAGGATGACGACACCAGCTCTAGCAGCTCTGCCTCCAGCACTGCTAAGTCCACCAAGACTGCTTCCGAGACCAAGACCTCTGACAAGACTACCTTGACGACTGTTACTTCTTCTGCCGGCGCCAGCGCCAGCGCCACTGCTTCGGCCTCTGTCTCTGCCTCTGCCTCTGCGACTCCCACCGGTGCTAAGGACGCCTCTGCCTCTGCTTCTGGCAGCAGCAGCACCTCTCCTGCTGCTCCTACCACCAGCATCCCTACCACCAACGCTGGTATGAAGACTGGCTTCAGCACCGCTGCCATTGGTGCTTGCCTCATGGCTGTTTTCATGCTATAATTGCATTTTATGTGTGATTTTGCGAATAGCGCCCTATGAGGCATTGGCGAATTGGTGATCTGTGGTTTCCACTGCTACGAGCCGGCCATTTTTAATTCTTCTGAACGATCCTTTTATACATACATAGCTAGAGCTCGATTGCACTCCCGCGCGCCTTGTAGAAGGTAACGGGAAAGACAATTCGCCTCTTTTCATACACGGTATTACTTATAATTACGGTTCGCATGGATTACTCGGGCTTGATGTCCAGCAGACCACCGGCCGCTGTGGTGCTTCGGCGAATGGGAATGATTCAATCATCGGAACGACTAGTTGCACGTATATGGAGTTGAAGAGACGATACCTATGCGGAGGTTATTTGGGAACGAGTGATATATATATATGATTGGGCGGGATCTTGCACGCTTTCATGGCTGTTCTACCATTCAATGCATGATACCAGGACGTACAGAAAATATAAATGTTCATTTTGCAATTCAATACGCGTTTGATTTGTGATGTTATTTATGCTTAAGTTATTTTTATAGTTAGATACCCACCTTTATGTACAGTTAGATATAATTTTTGGTATTTGTTTGTCTATCGCTATATTTCAAAGGAAGAACAGATTCGTTCATGGATTGGGATGTAAGTGTTGTAAGGAAAATCCTTCACTGGCTCGGCTACGCTTGGCCATGATGGAGCTCATCAAATCTGAGTTCCATATAGAGGGACTTATCTAGCTCTTTGCGGTATCGGCGCGAAGATCGTTTCGCTATGACTTAACCACTTCCTCGAGGCTTGAGTGTGAGCCGGTCGATCCTTAACTAATAGTTCGGTGGATTACATACATACAGCGCGAACAGCCAAGCAACGGTAAAGTGAAGATCATTTCATCGATTTTTTTGCTAAAGACTTGGGCTCACTTGTAGTAGGTGCTTGGCTGGGTGGAACGAGTCGGGAGAGAGAGAGAGAGAAAGAGAGAGAGAGAGGTTGGAGAACAGGTGAGAGTGGTATTGCTCTCTCTCTATGTTTACATGGGAAAGTATCTCCTGAGACTTATCACCGTCGGAGAAGAGGTCCCATCGGAATATGACAAGAAATATCTTTCCTTGACGTTAGCCTTTGTACGACTTAAACGTCCATTTAGATTAAGTAGCGGGCTTTTATTTTACCACGATATTTTAATGGTATACGTTTTCATTGGCTTTAAGTGCAATAGCTACAATTTTTTTTTGGCTTCGAGATGCGCATGTATACCTTGGTCTAAACTCAGAAAACCCTGGCACCTAAACAGTTCAACCCGCTTGAACGAAATCCTGATATTGAACAACTTTGACATTTTCCCTACCACATCCTGTGTCTTATGGCATACTTTCCTTCAGACTTACTGCCCAAATCGCACCAAATGATGCAGTCAGTAGTACCGAGCAAGTCGAGAATACTTTACCGAATTGTTGACTGTCGCCAGCGACTAATAGTGCTACCACAACGAACACATTCAACGGAATGCGTAGGACACTGTAGACTTTGGCGCGAACATCGTCGTCTACTAGACGCCCCTTCAAGTAGCCGGTACAGGGCCAATACATACCAACGCACGCTTCAAAAAGACAGAAGAGCCAGAAAGTAGCATCCTCCGTTTTGTGACCAGCTAATTTGACGAAACAGAAATTAGCTGCTAGGAGGATCCCAACAAGAAGGCGAGAATATTTGAAGGGCCGTTTCTGCATGACTATGTTAAATACCAATGCTGCTGCCATCGATGACGCCATGAAGCTAGAGAAAATGTAGCCGTAGGGAAGCTCCCCCGCGGATTTCTGTACGGATTTGATGGTCGGTGTCCAGAAAAAGACGAAGAGATACATGGACCCTTCGAACATGGTCGAAGCAAAACCGAGGGCTAAGATAGATGGCTGCTTCAATGTGGACCAGAGCCTAGATGCTTTAGGGTTTTCTGAAGACTCTGCGTTTTTAGTACCAAAGTTTTCAACCTATTTATATGTTAGCATTGAGATCCAAGTCATCAAAAGCTGTATTGCGTACCCAATGGGCCCAGATGAGCTGAAGAGCCTGCCAAAGGAGGACAGAACTGAGCAGAAACGGTGCCTTTTTGGTGCCAGTGACCCTCACCAGCCATTCACTGACCACCCCGCTCACAATCGCGGAAAGGCTGTTGACGATACTGGTGGTAGCATAAGTCCTGGATAGGTCGCATCCATCTTCGACGAGTTTACGTTCTCGGAAATTTGTCACCATCCAACTATCGAATACACTAAAGAGGATGCTCGTGCCGATACCACCGAGGATACGCCCTAGGAACAGGAATCCCACGGACGGAACGACGGTAAAGAAGCAGGACATGGCATACAGGAGGCAAAATACCATGCAGACCGCCTTGCGGCCATGCTTATCTGCTAATGCCCCAACGAAATATGCGCTGATGGCACTGGATAAGAAGCCCGTGGCGAAGAGAGCAGATACTAGGCGCTCAGATACGCCGTGCTCGTCGCGGTATAAAGAATACAAGTACGGTCCCTATGAAGGACCCAATTAGTTAATAAAAGGAGATATTTTTCAGCATATGGTTTTTTTTTCCTTCACGACATACTTGAAGCCAGTCGGCGCCCATAACGAGAGCATAAACCTTGTACCAATTCGCTTCAGGATGGCCATCGTCACGCGAAACCTGCTTGCGCGAATCTGCAAGCTTCTTCAACTCATTCCGCCGAGTGGGCTGGGAGGCAAAGAGACCTGCACAGAGGGTAAGCAAGCTATAGAAGCTGGTTTCGTAATAGCCCATGTTGACTTGGATAGTGCTATGCCCTTAATAGGTAGATAATGTGCCAAGATATTGATCAATAACTTATTAAGTGGTTAAGTCAATGGTAAGTACTGTAACTTGACACTAATTCGACATAATTATTCAGATATAACACGCGATGTTGAGACAGATGACACTCTGGCCACTCTTTTATTCTTACGAGAACGCGCAGACAAGAAAGCGAAGAATTTGACACTTGTCGTTTGAAATTACCCGGAGTCGAGGGTCGAGCGCTGCGGTGCTGCGACAAGACGCGTTCGAGAAGACTTGCGAGTCTGTTCCATATTGACGAGCATGTTGGCTAAGATTTACAGGCAATATGCAATAAAGTAGTAGGCATAAAGGATGGGGTGTAGATCTTGAAACGAAATGAGGCTCTATTCAGCCGGTTGTGGTATCGTGTACTGTAGGTTAGTGAGCTTGTCACGAGTTTCTTGAAGAAGAAGCGCTGAAGAAGATCCACTCCGGCCCACACTAGATGGCCGAAAGAGGAAATACGGGGAAAGTTCTCGGGGCGAACCCCACAGCGTCAGAGCGTACAGCAGCACCCGTGGACGACGTAGGGTACGACGTGGTACGTACTTAAGCACAGGAGCTAAGACTTGAACCGGGGTCCCTACCTAGATATACACTAAGCCTATCCTAGGTAAGTTCGGTACGCCCAGGTACCTAGCATAATGTATACATCATAGAACGCGTGTAACGTGTGTAACGTACTACATGTAACATCTTCATCTCATGTTTGTACCTTCAATTTTAGTGTACCTATAAGCGGGGAAAAAAAAAACAAAAAAAAACCCCCGCGTTGCAAAAGACTTCGGAGTGAGCCGGCCTCCCACTTTACCACACGTGGTAATTCAGAAACAACTTTGAAGCCAATCCCGTCTACCCAGGATACCAAGGGAAAGGGAATTAGATCACCTCTACACGTCCAAAACTCGAAAATAGCGGTGATACAGTTTTGATTGCGTCCATCCTAATAGATAGGCAGTGCGGTATTTTTGAGAGATAGGTATGTTTGCTTCTCGAGGCGATACCGCATAAGATGGAACAGCATAGTGTAATATTTCTATAGTGTATTACTTGACGGACAAAGCATACCTACAAGCTACATGTTACCAGTGGAATTACTTACATAGAGGTACATTAGGTAGCTTACATCATATAAGTAAAGGCACGGGATATGATTGGGTATTCATTGTACGCTAGTTTCAAATCCGATGATCGGTCCGGATACTGTATACTACCTAGCGTATATCTTTAAGTTACCTGTGTTGTTTAGGGAATCGCTCGAGTCTTTAGGTTTAACTGGGTCTTAACTTCTAATTTAACTTGAAGTTGTTGATGTGAACAGTGCGTCGTAATTATTTGTGGTAAACATCAATCTTAGATAATTCCTTTCTTTTTTTTTCCGATTCACCAAATTGTCAAACTACTTCACAACTTTTCTTTCTTTTCTTCTTTTTGCGCCTGTCCATAAGTACCTTATCCATACGTTATCAAGTCAATCACTTTACATTTTCAATACTCATTACCTCCATTAGAGGTACACATACTTCTTAATATTCGTCTTTCGTTCTTTTCTACCCTTCTGCGCAGTAATTTGTTGGCAATCTACCGTAGTAGCGGATATACCTAGCTTGCCATCTTAATAGAACTTGCATTGCATATGCTGCACGTTACTTGACCTTCCATCCTACTTATTCCCACCTAATTAATACTACCATTTCGTAATAGCTCTTCCTCATCCAGTCATCCAACCGAGTTGGGACCATCGAACAGCCTAGCCAAAAGAAAGGTCTGAGACTTGCTTGATCAAGCCACACATCCTTCCATTCTTCCGCCGACATTTTTTTTTTTCGTCAAACCAAAAACCAGGGCTCACAGTACAATCAAATCCAGTGCGACAGTACATATTGACATACCGACGGTACATCCATTAATCTATCATACAAATCCTCCATACAAACTGCGCGCCTTGCGTTGTATTCAACCTGTGTACGACCATACCTTTCAAGTTCAAGCCATAATATCCACCAAAAATAACAGACCTTCCGAGATCTGATACCCGGACACCCCTCCCCCCCCCAGCTGCCTGGCTTGTACACCGACGGACGCACCCACGCCCACTTGGGCAGCTGAACTGCTCTGGCTGACAGACGGAATCTGTTCATAGGCGCGAATAAGAAAATTACATTGTACTATGGCTAAGGATAATGACAATTCTGCCGCAAATGCCCCCCAATCAAAACGGCCGCCTGCCAACCGCCATGACAGCGATTCTCAAGTTAGCGACCATACATCGCACCAACAACACTACAAATCCAAACCCCAAAAACATGTTGTAGGTGGAGGAGCCACTGGTCGATTTCATCCTCGCGTGGCCTCGTCTAAAGCCTTACAAAAACATCACACGTCATCCACTTCTAAATTAACACGACGGCCACCTTCCCCCTCTCCTGAGCGCGCGCCTGCGGCTACCCAATCACACTGTCGCTCCAACTCAGACGCTAAAATACAGCGCGACTCCTCACCCTCCAACCTTAAAAAGAACCCCTCGCAGTCGAGTTTGAAGCGCAACCGTTCGCATGTCGAAATCGGAAAGCGACCCAAATCTACTACGGCTCTCAAGCGATCTCCGTCGCACAAAGACGTCAATAAGCTAAAAGGCGCAAAAAGCCAGGTCCACTTCGACCTCGGTAGTGACCAAGAAGACGAGTGGGTTGATGCGAGCGCATCCGCCTCGCCCTATCTGTCAAGACGCGGCTCAGTTGTTAGTACCGAAGGAAAGGCGCCACAGAGCCGTGATAATTCCCGACCTCAAACCCCTCACGAAGATACGTCAGTTGGTAAGAAGGAGTCGCCGCCACGTCGCGAAACTGCTCAGCATAATCAATACTTAACTTCCCGACTACTACAACGTACGCCTTCTTCTAGCGCTCCTCCCCAAATGTCCACTGAAACCGTATCGGTGCGCCATTCGTCGGGCTCGCCTGAGTCCCAGCTCAGCCATGGCCAATTGAGTCCGTACGGGACACCCAAAAATACCGCTGTAGTTGGGAGTGGGCAGGAAGAGCTCATTTCTCGATTCGTTAACGGATCTGGTCCTGGATCCGGTCCTAATATCGAGAACGGAGGTTTCTATCCGTCGACGCGAAATCCAGGCCACCGTTCTGAGGCTGTACGACGACCTCAGTCACTTGGAAATCTGAACGAAAACTACCGAATCTCGATAAGCGACGACGAGACCGACAGCGCATTAGCTCCTCGGACAAGAAAGACGGGTTACAGACCTGCGCCGGCGGAAAAGTCGCGAACGCAGCAAAAACTAAACCTTCAAAGGGCGAGCTCATCTATCGAACCGGCGCAACCGGTCGGCGGTGTCGGAGTGGGCGTAGGCGTAGGTCCCCTGACTAGCGGCTATAGCTACGACAACCGAGACCCGCGCATGAGTAAGTTACTTGAGCGCACGGGCATGGAGTACCTTGTTGTTAGGCGGTATCAGAATCCGATCGCGCGTTCGATAGCAAGGCTATCGCATCTTCCCAACGCAAATAAGAGCCAGCATATACCCAATCAGAATGGAAGCAACGGAACTGCAAACGGAAAGAGAACGTCGGGTATAGGTGGTGCAAACCGTCTTGGCTTAAGTCAGAGTCTTACTGATAAGGCAAAGTCGAGACCCGCAACGCCGTCGCAGGGGGCATTAATACGCGTGAACGGGGCGAATTCTGGCTTCGAGGGCGACGAAGAAAGACTCCACGAACGAATGAGCGGGTCTAGTTACGTTGATGAGGAGGATGACGGCGTCGCAGGTATACTGCGGAATCTCTGGGACAAGAGCATGGATCTTAGCGCAAGTCAGGACTGATGTGGTATCATGATATCATTGGGAGGCGTTTGAGTTCAAGCTGGTTGGGAACGGAAGCGCGAAGATATTATTTTCACCTTAGATTAACGAGACGATTCATCAAAAGTGAATTATAATTGGTAATACTATTTCCCCGGCGTTTGTGTGTGTGTTAGATGGGGATAAGATAGGGGGTCATCCATCGTGTTTAATAATGAGTTGTTCATTCTGCACATCATGTATAAGGAGCATGGGGCTTCTACATCTGAGGAGCGGTTCAAGGCTTGCTATGTAACTCTCCCATATACTGTCGGATATGGGGATTCTGTATTACCTATGGTCTATTCAACATGAGTTGTTCTAAGTGCGCCTGTAGCAAGGATACCAAATATTGTACAATACATAATATAACCCAGCTAGCTGGCTAAGGAGTTGTTAAGATTGATTACCCCTAAGTGATTGGCTTTATGGACGGTAGCTACGCCCTGAACCATTGCTCTCTCGTAAGTGTTTTGTTCACTGCCTAGTAGCACTTCGGTTTGCCTTTTAGGAAGTCTGTAGCCGTGGACGACAAGATAGGGGATCGCAAACCCAGCGAAACGAATACCTACCTAACCTAAGGCAGGTACAATACCTAGTGTACATGACCTCGGGGATGTAAAAAGTTCAATACTACACAAGTATTCACGCCATAAATCATATAAATTGATCGGCTACGCTTTTGGATATAGAAGGCGTTTCATAGCAGGATTTGGTTAGGTAGTTGTCAGTATCGTATGCCTAGAGTGAGATGCTCCCTGAGAACTAAAAAACTAATATAATACTAGTCAATACTCGTGGCAGAAGGGATTGGCAGTGGAACGAACTCTACTCCCATGAGAAGATGCGAGCAAAAGATAGGCCGGCCGAATTGGGACGCCATTAAAGAGAAAGTTGGGTTTACTCGAGCTCTTTCGAAATGAGAATGAGCTCTTGAAGATTACAGGAAATGATAGAGATACATACTTCCGATTTCTATCATAACATGCAATACATTTAGGTAATGGTAACTTGAAGGGGTTTTGGATTGACTCTTTACGTGTCCTGAAGCATTGAATTGGCTACTCAAGCTAGTTGGGGCTGCCATAATTCTATTGTCAAGTACTTCTCAGTTACTTTAAAAGCTTCTCTTAATTAAGGTAATATCTATGGTATTTACCTGTGCTATTAACTCATTACTTATTAGTGCTTCTCTAGACGACATGACACTAACTCATATCTTAGAAACAACACTATGTGAAGATGTTACTGTGGGAGACAGTGTCATGAGACTAATCCCTAGGCTAGTTAAAAATAATGATATTGAAGGCTGTATGTTTAAATCCTAGTAGTTGCTGTAGAAGAGTTTCAGTTCACTTTAGCAAGTTGATGCTAAAGACTTATAATAACAGAAGCGATTTTGGCCAATCAGATTGCAAATCTTTCATATTGCAACATTTCACGCTCTAGAAGAGATGAGACTTTATTTCTCTCAACCTCAGCCTATCTCCTTTATCGCCACTTACTCATTTCGTTAGTCTGCAATACTACCTTATAGTAACGATGTGTTAAAATAAGTTAAGCCCTATTGGTAATATCCAACGGAACTATCCATGATAAGAGAATGAGTGAACCTTAATAGGATTCACTTATTAGCCTACATAGTCATAGGTAGTTGATGCAATGGAAGTCTCCTAAAGGTACTTACTTATGATTATTAATTCAAGATTCAGATGGGCCGTTGGATCATACCCTCATTCGTCATCGACAATTTCCTCTCTGTCATAAACCGGTTGAAAAACCATCCGTTCGGTTTAGGGTTCTTGTGATTTTCATCAGCGTGCATGGGACTAAGAGATTGACATCTCATCCCGATATCTGATTGCCGAGAAGGCCAAGGAATCCAAGAGATGGGCCCGGCCGTCGTTCCGTAGAGATTTCGGCAACGGTCGCGCTGTCGAATTGGGGGGAGGAGGCAGGGCAAATTGGCGTGGTAAAGTGACGACGTCTGATGATTTGGAGACGGGAGCTGATTCGACCCTTATAGGCTGACGGCAGCCAACGCTGCCAACGCCCATATGCACCCCACGAACATAACCATCAGAGTTTTGTCGTGGCGCGATGGTGGACACATGCGTATGTACAAAGATGATAAATCATCCTGAGGACTTTTACCGATGTAGAAGGTTCGCCGTTGCCAATGCGGAAATGACGGACCGGTAGACATTCCCATGGGTTGCTGATATTGGAAACCGACCCGTCTTGCATCGACTCATGACTCGGAGCCGTGGTAGTTGTGGCATTGTCGCACATGTGAGCCTCCTTATTAACTCGATATAGGTATGTAATTCGACATATCTACCTGAGATACCTACCATACCTGCAGCACCAAGAAAAAGAAAAAAAAAAGCAATATTAACCTAGGCTTGAGGCTTTTCCGATTCCCCACCAGCATCACGTACCTGAGCGCCAAGAGGCTCTGCGGACATGGGTTGAGGATAAAATGTCTCTACATATTTCACCACGACGTACGTCGTACATACATACCTAACCTATGTAGTACATGCGTATATCTATGTATGTACTAACAGCGCATCACGCACGAGACAACGCAGAAGGGTCTAGTATCTCGACGGTGATGCAGGGGTTATGGAGACGACACTTTTTTAGGTCGAACCCTGTCTTTACCTGTTCTTGTTATACACGATACTATGGGTGTTATGCACGGCGGACGCAATACCTACACCCTCATACATACTGTATATAATCGTATACTATTATATGGTATACCTAACTAGGAGGTATGTATTGTATATCATATGTTCAGATATATGCCCCGCGGCCGGAGATAGGTTAGATAGGGTTAAGCTTGGGTCGAGCTTGGGTTGAACTAGGTTGATTGATACGCGGGGAGAAAGATCATAGGCGGAAGATAAATAAAGATGGTGGCTGATAGTGAGTGGATCGTGGGGGATAAAAGTCCAGGGCTGTGAGGCAGATCAAGGGATGGTTTAGGGATGGTTTGCATACATACCATACTACCTATGTAGCAGTAGGGATGTTTAGAGATAAGTCATTTTCTAGTTTCTTTCGTCCCTTTCCCTCTTCCTCTACTCTTCTCGTTCCTTTTACCGACGATGCGGTGACGTTCCAAGAAAGCGCCATGCCTTATTAGGCCCAAGACGGTGACATAATTGCATTCATGCCTGTCAGACGCTAACATTAGGCTTCATTGGCTTTGTCCGATAATGCAGCCGAATCCTCCGGAAACGAATGCTTGCTGACTTGCAGCCGATAGAAGCTCGTGATGAGTGGGAACAGAGACAAGGAAAAAAAAAAAAAAAAGAGGACAACATACGCATGTAAATCTTGGCTGCGTATAGGCGTTAAGAGTTCTTGTTTTTATTTGATGCTGTGTCACAATCTTACCGCTGTAGAAATTTGTGGCATGGGTTTTACTAAATTGGTTGACCTCATCAAAGAAAAAAAGGAAGATTATTTGTCTATTATATACCCTAGGTACCTTAAATAAGTATAGCCGTATAAGTTGTATGAATAGAGGGGCATTATCTATGATAATATTTACCCCACTACAGCTGCATAGAATCTCTTATACCACAATACATAATTTGCCTACCTACCTAGGTATTAGATAAAAATATAGTTGAAAGATAAACGATACTTTTCTTCCTTTTTGTATATGGAACTAACTGAAGCACTTCCTGGATTTGTAATAAAAGAGTCTCCGATCGGGACGGAGTTTTTAGCTGCGGCATACACATGGACACAAACAACACAAACACACAGACACACGCCCGCTTTGCACTTACATGGCACCTCTCGTCATGGCCGAAATCGAAAAGGAAAGGAAAAAAAAAAAAAAATAAGGTTACCCATTGCCAATCCCTAAATTCCCATATTGTCCCACTTGTCGGTTGTCCTTCTTATCCAACAAACCCTGCAACGGCTTGGCGTAGTCGAACGATTACGTTAAATATATTAGGACAGCTAGCTTGTATTCCACCAAAGACATCTTTTCTATTTGGTAATCGTAGTGAAATCTGAGCAGGCTTTGGCCTGTCCCTGAAATTCCCCTAATTTATGGTTTTTTTTTTTCTTCTTAACTTAGAGGCACAGATTAGATCAGTGTGCATAAGTACCCTGTACATTAATAGTACCCTGGATTTCAAAGCTAATGTATCCCCATGTGGGCTTTGTCATACCGCAGCTACGATACCCCTCTATCACCTAGGTACCTACGTAAGCTACCGCCTCGCCTCAGTTGAGGCTGTCTCTCTTGCATTCAAGTGTCATCCGAGTACCGTATACCTTGCACAAGCTAGCACGGGTAAGGTACAGGCTCTGATCTAACTTCGTCGAAGCGTTTCCCAAAACTCTCATTATTACGATTTATTTTCTGTCATTCGATCAAAGATAAGATTATCTCTTGGTTATCAATTGCTCCATTATAATTCGCCCGTTTGTTTTCGTTCCCAAGCCTAATGACAAGTCACTCACTTACTTACCTTGTTTTTCCCTTGAACCTAGAGTTTCTGAACCATACTATCTATGAACATGAACCCCATACCTTTTTCTGTAAGTTTACTTGGATATATTAAGAATTGAATGAATTAAGTTTGGCGTTATTTTTTGGGGGAGAAAAAGGAAAAAGCCAAAAAAGAGAGAGAAAAAAAAAGGGCACGCGACTCCGATCCATTTCCACTCTTCCCTTCTACCGCGCTCGGAATAAGGAACGAGATCCTAAATAAGATCTAGAAGAAAACATCCCCAATAACAAGGGCTAGTTACAATCTGCAAGGCCGTCTTCTTTAACTAACGTTTGTCCGACCCGCCCTGCCCTTGTACAACTTATCATCATCTTCGCCCTTCATGTCCACCTACCTAGTCTGATCTTCGCTGCATCTTGCCGGCCGGCATTATATGGTCTCTATGATCCATGGTCCATGATCCACGGTCCATATGTCCATGTCCATGTACATGTATTTGGTCATGTATTTGTTCATGGTGTCTGTCTCTACCTAATTACTTCATTCGATCTCTCGTAGATACACTCTTCCCCCCTTCTCCCTTCTTTTCCTCCTATCAGCTTACCTTAACCGGTTCTTCAATGACGAAAATAAGCCAAGCTTATTTGATACTCGCGTCCATCATTACCTAGTATCACACAGCTTCGGCACCCGGAGCAATTATATCATCATACTTATCCTATCATCATACCAGTCATCGGTCTGACCTATCGCACGGCGGCCTTGCAGATTCTAGGCCACCCCCCCGTCCCTTGACCGGAAGAATCACGAAGTTGCATGCGCCATTTGGAACGGCCATTTGGAACTGCATGCCGCCTTGTATCTAACGATTATTTACTAGAAACCGATAGGTCCCAGCCTTAAGGTATCTCTGATTTCCCCGGTCTCTCATTCCGTCGATAAACCAGATCCCACCACACTGGTGCCGGATTACCTGAAGCAGGCGGGAACTCACGTGGGCTTAATCTGCGTCGCTTTGACGCTTCCCGTGCCACTAACAGCCTTATCTACCCCCAAGCTCTCCCTTATCCCCTTATCACGAATACTTCAAAGAGGCTTTTCCTGGGAGACAGTGGGGAGTTTGTCTGCAGAGATCAGCGTTCCTCGCTAACTAGGTACCTACCTAGGTACGATTCCGGGTTGTACTTGTACTGTGGCAGCAGACCCTGCCTCTTCTCTCTTCAGCATTTACCACGGACTCTGGGTATTCGGCTACCCTAGCACATCCCCCCCCTCCCCTCTCTCCGTCATTGGATATCCAGGCGGGCCCCGATAGTGACACGGCGAGGCCGACCTCAGCCAAGCAGGAGATAGCGGCGTTTGTGTGTAACGCGCCTAATATTTTCAGTCATGTCCAACCTTGGCACCGTTCCTAGGACGGCTCCCATTGCCATTGCGCCTAAACCTTCTCAACTATTTTCTAGTCGCCATTATAGTATCGACGCGTCTTTTAATAATATGAACGGTAATGATTCAACCGATTCGGATTCAGCTGTAAGTGGAAACTCAACGCCTTGTGAATCTTGTCTGAGAAGGCGTCTCAAGTGCGTTATTGGAGATGACGACGACGGCTGCGTATCTTGCCAAGTCCGGGGGATTTTATGTTCTTTAAACCAGAGCCCCCAGCCTCGTAAAAGAAAGCTAGCGCGTGACTCGACCGAGGGGAAGAGAGGGTGAGTGCTCACCGATATTCTTTTCATTCGCTGAACCCCCCCAACCTTACGTTATCACCTTGCAGCGTGGTCGACTGACGCAAAGAAGAGGAAAAAATCGCTGACATACGATTGGTCAATGTAGTTCCCCTGGCAGGTCTGATAACAGAAGACAGCGGCAGCGTCAAGCTAGCTTGTCAAGCACAACTGCTAGCACTTCTTTAATCGAAGAGATGGCTAATTTTGGTGGTCCAACTCTTCTCAAGCGCACGCTTGGTCTTCAAGATGACCGGTATAGTCAGTACATAGGCCCTACCACTGACTTTGAGCCGTCCTTGATCAACCTTTCTCCATTTGATCCTCAAGATGAGAGCCTTCTCGCTCGAGGTACTCTTAGGAAAGTTAGCGATCACGATACTTTTTTGATGTTACCCGATAGCGCGACCCCTGGTCACGAGCATCAATACGAAGATGTCGACGAAATTCAACGACTTGTGGCTCCTTACGGCCGCAAACTGATTGATCTTTATTTCGAAGTTGTTCATCCCGCATTTCCTATCCTCCAGAAGAATGTCTTCTACGAGAAATACGCTCGAAACTACCGGGAATTCTCGCCGCCGTTGCTCGCTGCTGTTTACATCCTTGCCATCAACTGGTGGGATTATTCCGAAGAGCTATCCAAATCCCAGCGACCCAATGTGCGAGAGCTCGAGAGGCTAATACGATCTTCCTTGGCGGATGCTATGTGGCGCCCAAAGCTATCGACCGTACAGGCCGGACTTTTGCTCTCGCAACGACCCGAAGGCGACCAATGGGCCCCGACCGCTCAAATCGTGGCGATTGCTCAAGAACTCGGCCTTCACCTAGATTGCACGCATTGGAAGATTCCGCCTTGGGAGAAGGGACTTAGGAAAAGACTTGCTTGGGCTTTGTACATGCAAGATAAATGGGGAGCTCTGGTCCACGGACGGCCATCACACATCTTTAGCTCTAACTGGGTTGTGCAGCCTTTGACGCCAAACGATTTCCCAAATGAAGAATTAGACGAGCAGAATCAGGAGGAAAAGATGGATATCGAAAGGGGTCGGACATTGTTTGTTCAAATGGTTTATCTCACTCAGGTGCTAGCCGAGATCCTCGAGACGTTTTATACGCTCGAGGCTATGCAGAGCGTTACCGATGCTGGACCACAAGGTACTCACCTTGTTCTGGGTCTGGCGAAACCCATTCAGCTTAAGCTTAAAGAGTGGTACGCCGCACTCCCCAGTGTAATCCGTATGGATTCTTCCTTCCAATCAGGTTCTGTCGCGCCCGCCGTCGCACCCACCCGGCTGTCGAGCATCGGATATTTGCACCTGGCCTACTTCGCGACGGAGATCACGCTCCACCGCCGGATTATTCGGTCTCTGGAAACAGATTCGCAGGCCGTTGACCCTTACGTCCAACATATTTGCCGGAGTGCTGCAAAAGCCCGTCTGATATCAGCTATGGACTTCGTTAATCGACTGACGCCGCAACATCTCCGATCCTTCTGGTACTTTGCCTCGAAGACCAACTTTGCTTTAATCGGCACGTTTGGGTCCCTTTTATGGGCTACATCTCCGGGCCGCGAAGAGGCTGACTGGTATCGACGTAGACTTGGAGAGTACCGTTGGACACTAAGCGTTAGCAGTAAACCTGGAGAATCCAAAGGCCTGACCGAATTTGCGATGGGTATGCTCGATATATCGACCGGATTGTTGAAGCAACTTCCGGAGAAACCGGAGTTGAGCCGTAGCGGAAGTGCTATCGAATTTGAAATCGGCAGGCGTCAGAGTCTCTTTTCCATGGGTATGAGCGGTGCCTTGGGAGAGCAATATAGCAGCATGGCCAGTGCCGACATCAGTAATATCCAGAGTCCCGAGAGCCAAATAGACAGCAGCGATGAGGATTATGATACGTTTGCCCCAATGGCCGGGATGGCTCATATGGGCGACTGACGAAGCCACGCGGTCAATTCTTATCCCATTTTCGATCTTTTAGCTTTTTTCTTTCTTTTGTTTGGTGTCATGGTAGAATGGGGTATTGCAAATGATGTAGGTATAGAAAAGACTGGGATGAGGCAAGGTCACGCCATAGGCACGAAATCTGACGACTAACCGGATCCGTAGATAACTCCATTGTATATTAGGTATACAATGGAGTACGGACCATATCTTGGGGATGGGTTTTGGCATCTTACGTCTTTATTTCTTCTTCTGATGTTTTGTATCTTGTCGTCTCTGATACCCTATCTAGAGATCATCTGCTTTACATTTGCTGGATACCGTTCGATGGTGTCGTTACCTGCTGGATACCTTGCGTCACAAATCATGTTGAGCGACTGGGTCGGGGGCGATGTCTTCCATGGAGAAGCACAATGCATTTGCGAGTTTGGATGGATGGATGGATGGATGAATAAATGAATGGACGATGGACGCATGGTTTTGGGAAGACTGTTATGTAGCAGCGAGCAATCAATTGAACTTGTTCATCTTATCCTCCCTGTTGAGTTGAGGCATGGTACTGTATACTCGCCGTGGTAAGCTTCCTTGCTCTTCACTACTCGTGGTTTACTCTGACGTTTATTAGATAAATGAAATTTGAGCCGCATAAAGAAGAATTCGCTAATTGAGTTTCGATCACACAGCACAAGCAAGTCATTTGGTCAAAAAACGAGCAGTTTTTATTAATTGGAACACGAGTAAAAAACACCTCTTGTGGTCTTGTTACACTTTTACCTCTTTCGGAGTTATTATGTTAACATTTCAATCTAGTCACCAACGGCATATGCCAAGCTTGTCGCTTAGGTACATATTTGGCACATCGAGGCACATCGGGTAAGCAAGGTAGGTAAGTTGGTATATACGTGTCACAATTTCAATTATCAGCCAAATTATATACTTGAAAAAAAAGAAGGGAAAAAAAAAAAAGAAGAATCCTCAAAACCTTAAAAAAAGTATGCCTGCCTATAGGCCGAAACCAAGGGAAGCGAGGAGAGAAAAAGGAGGAAATACACTATTCCCGGGAAGAATTGCCTTGTCATGTCGTAACGATTTTAGGGGCCGGAGCTGCCGACGAGCGAGGGCACGCCGGGTTCGGTGCCGAGGTCGAGGCTGCAGACTTTGGCGCAGCGGGCGAAGCGCGGGGGCTCGGCGGTGTTGTTGTAGATGAGCTCGATCCACTGGATCTGCATCTGGGCGCTCTGGCCGGGGGGCATGGCGCCGCTCCAGCTGCCGCCGTTGGACCAGACGTTGAAGAGGAGCGTGGCCGGGTCCACGGGCGCCTGGAACGCGTTCGAGGCCACCGGCTGCCCGTCCACGTACCACGTGCTCAGCCCCGGCGTCCAGTCGTACCGGTGCGTCCGCCACGACGTCCAGGTCCCCGGGATGGTGACCTCGCGCGTCGCGTTCGGCCGCGGCACCCCGCGCGCCGTCGACGGCTGGTTCGTGTAGTGGATCTTGTTGTTCGGGTCCGACGTCCGGATCTCCATGTCCGCCTCCTGGACGTCGTCGGCCCCCGCGCCGCCGCCCCGGTACGTGAACATGGCGGCGACGGCGCCGGGCGCGCCCCGCGTGCGCGAGTGCATGCGCACGGACAGGAACCGGTAGTCGGGGGAGACGGACTGGACCTCGGCCGAGGACTGGAAGTTGCCGGGCCGGTGGCGGTAGGTGCGCAAGGTCAGGGCGGTGCGCGAGGACGCGTTGCCCACGTCCGCGTTGCGCCCGATGTAGACCTCGTTCTTGGAGTACGTGTTGTAGAGGGGGCCGCGCGTGTCGACCCAGTTCTGGATCGACCAGGTGGTGGTGAAGTTGGGGCTGGTGAAGTAGGGGTGCGTGACGGGGGCGTTGGTCGACGCGTTCCGGTCGTTGATGGGCGCGGGTTCCCGCGGGTTCGCGATGTCCCGGAAGTCGAAGAACTTGTGGTTCGCGAAGTACTGCGGCGACGACCCGTTGATGAGGTAGCACTGGCACAGGGCCGGGCTGGCGGGGGTCTGGGCCGCGGCAGGCTCGGGTATTAGGAAGGACAGCGCCGTGAGGACGGCTGTCCAGAGGGGGGTCTGCGAGAGTAATATCATGACTCCTGATAGAGGGTATATTTAATTGGTATAGGAATGCTCAGTGTTGTGGTGAGGAATGCTCGAGCATGATGACAAAATCACTTGGCCGGCCATCCCGAGGCTCTTCTATATACCTCCAATCCGCTTCTGGGTCTACGACGGCATTGCTGTTAAATCCAGGACATGATATGAAATATTAGTGACGTCTGTTAGGGCCCGGGATACTTGGTTCGGAGAAATTAGATCGAGACAGTTCTTTTCGAAAGGCGGACGATACCTACCTACACACTAACCCGAACTGACTCGCCCGACTACGACATCAGCAACTGAATTCTACGACTTATGAGCTTTCCTCCCCTTTTCCCCCGCTCTAGCTTATGACATATGCGTTTTTTTGCGCCCTAGAGGCTCGAGGAACTGAATGAAGCAGGACGCGAGTCAGTTGAAGGCCACCAGCCGCGAATAATGGAGCTAACGCCGGCACACTAGAAATAGCTCGTAAAGCGGCCGCAGCGGTCAGTTTAGATTCGTTCACTTTTTGCGGACGATGATGTCTGGCTTCGAAATGTCACGCGGCGCCCGTGTTTAGTCGCAACCGCTTAGGGGCCGCATGGAGGGGGTTTTATGTAATACGAGGTATATTGAATGACGAATGGAATGGGGTAGAATAGAGGTGCGTTGTATAGAGGCACCTGGCCTAGGTACTCATCATACTAAAGGCTACATGGAGGCTTACTTGTGCGTTCAGCTGCTCGTTTCAGAGAATAACCATCCTTACCCCTGTCTCTTTTTCAAAGCGTAGATCAGCTGCTGTATCTTGCATCCTAGACACCTACTAGTTGAGATACCCGCCGCGTTTATGTGCGGAGGGCTAGACGAGTTTACATACATCAAGCAAAATAGTGTCACTTATAAAAGGCCACGACCTGCTGCATCATGCCATCTCCAAACATCTTTTACTGCAAATGTCAGGGATATGTGAATATGTGGATACTACTACAAAGGATATATCCTCTATATAAAGAGTAGCCATCTCCCTCGAAGAAGGTGAGAAGGCTAGGTGTTACTAGATCATCTACAATATATTACATATTAGCCCGCTCTGACACTCGTCACTCCGTATACGACATCCATCACGGGCACTGTCTGACAGCGAACTAACAGGTAGAAAACATTGTCCTATGATAGCGAGTGGAAAACGTCGTTGGACTTTTATGCCTACAAGTGATGGAAATTCCTCTAAGAAAACATTACTAAACGACGACGAAGGGGTCTGAATTACTAAGGGTCCAGGCGCTAGGAAGAGAGTCTCTTCTCATTACGGAAGCAGAAAAAAAAAATGCCTGAAATCCAAAAGAGGACGTCCAATTGCGAGTCTAACAAGGTCCTAGTTGGACTATTTTAGGCTGCGGGCTCTAAAGAGGTAGTCAGTCTGCCAGTCCAATTGATCTATTAAAAGGCGAGGATCTCGGTAAGAGGTTTAGATAGGTACGTACCTAAGGTATGGCCACCATCCGGTAGGGCAGCCAAGGATGATATCTGGCGATCTATGCTGATGCTGGGGACCCCGCTTGTTGTGACCGTATTTCAGGGGCAATACTAAAGGTATCCTCAGATCTAGGTTAACCCCATAGACTACCTCCTATGTAAATGTCCGTATCAATTGGACGAGAGGGAAGTCAGTCATGGGACTGGGGGAATATCACTGCGGGCGCTTGGCGATCCTGCTAATGGATCTCATGGTGCTGTTTATTAATTTACATTGGCTATTACATCAAATTGAGGTCGAATGTTATATACTCCGACTCATCTGGATATAAGTTCTATCAGGTTTATAATGTATGCTCACCCAGCCAATTTCTTTCGGTTGTGCCGTGTGATGGCTGATCATCCTATAACAGGTATGTATATCATATGAAGGATTTATCTTAATAAAACTTATTAGTTATTCTATAATCGCCCGTTTTCAAATCCTTACCCGTTCATCTCAAAAATTCACCTGCCAGGTACCAGGTATTCTTGTGATTCTTACTTGCCTCGAGTGCCCCCGTTGCTGCTACCGAAACGATGCTTCTGAATACGAAAGAAGTATCATTATTCCTTAGCTTCAATCCTAACCATAGACTCAACAATATCTCTACTCAATAATCCTTCTCTAATTTTTAGTTATTACCATGCGTGGTTATATATCATGTGAGTTAAGTTAGTTTATCAGTTGAGATGGTTCATTTTACCCCTTATACACGACTTATAAGAAGAGTTAACATCTCGATTAAAATATCATAGTTAGAGAAACACTTTTCGCATGTGTTACATTCAGCTGATCAGGCACCCTGAGCTTCTATCTAATAATAACTGAACAAATCAATAGAATATATTACGATATCAATCTGATGCAGTCTATCAAAACATTCACGCCTCTAACCAAATTCATCGGCCTGGCCATACGATGATTATAAATCAAAACCGACCGATGATAATAAGGCTCTTGACGCCCGCTATACGTAGGTAGGTAGTATATAAAGTCGGGGTTAAGGTGAGGAGTATAACTGGCCGGCACCGGCCTAAGTGCCATTGCGTGATTCTGTACGAGTTGTCGTCATTGGGGGAGGGGAATCGCTTATATTAACGAAATCCTTATAAACAACCAGACTCATAGATATTTCCTAAGATACCTTAGGTAGTAACATTATTATCTGATCTTTGGGTTTACTGGAAGATCCGGGTAAATAATCAAAAAGGAAATTCAAGATGCCTACAGAATTCATCAGCTTGACGTTTCCGAACCCGTCTACGGAGCTTAACCCGCTCCCAAACCCGTCCATCGACCCAGACTTCTTGGCCCGGTATGCCCGGAACCTAGATGATTACGAGTTCAACTATACTCTTGTCCCGTACGACTCGTCGTACTATGACCCTTTTACCACCGGCGCTACCATCGCCGCCGTGACTAAGAACCTCAAAATCATCATTGCGCTCCGCCCAAACACATTGTACCCCACGGTAGCGGCCAAGGCGCTAGCTACCCTAGATCAGCTCAGCCGGGGCCGGGCTGTGGTGCACTTCATTGCCGGCGGCAGTGACGTCGACCAGGCGAGGGAGGGAGACTTCCTGAACAAGGATGAGCGCTACGCTCGACTTGAAGAGTACATCAAGATCCTGAAGCGCGCATGGCAATCCGCGGATCCCTTCGACTGGGACGGGAAGTACTACCAGTTCAAGGGGTTCAGCAACAAAGTGCGCCCCGTAAACGGGACCAGCATCCCCATCTCCGTCGGGGGTTCGTCGGACGAGGCGTACCGCATCGGCGGAAGCCTGGCCGACATCTTCGGGCTCTGGGGCGAGCCGCTCAAGGAGACCAAGGAGCAGATCGACCGCATCTACGCCGAGGCCGAGAAGGTGGGCCGCACGGACAAGCCGCGCATCTGGGTTACGTTCCGGCCCATCGTGGCCGAGACGGAAGAGCTGGCGTGGGCCAAGGCGCACCGCATACTCGACGCGCTGAACGCCAACCAGGCCTCGGGCAACAGCGGCAATTTCGCGCCTACCAAAGCCCAGCCGCAGAACGTCGGTTCGCAGCGGCTTCTCGAAATCGCGAAGCGCGGTGAGGTGCAGGACCGCGCGCTGTGGTACCCGACTGTGACGGCGACGAACGCGCGGGGCGCGTCGACGGCGCTCGTAGGGTCCGTGCAGACGATAGTTGACTCGCTCCTTGACTACGTTGACTTGGGTGCCGATTTAATCTCCATCCGAGGTTACGATAACCTGAATGATGCAATCGACTACGGACGGTACATACTACCTAAGGTACGGGAAGTACTGAAGGGAAGGGAGAACAGCGCCAACGGGGCTAAATGAAGATTGTAAAATACTTGAATATAACGATAACACATATATCATGATTATTGCTGTAATCCATCCCCGAAGCCGTGTGCTGCAATTACAGTAAAATCTTAAGAGGACCAAGCAATATGTGAGAAACATGCGCTTAGGGGATTCTGGGGACAAAGGTTGGCCTAGTCGCCCTTTACCTGAGCTCGAACGCGGTTCTTCAAAATGTAAGCCGAGGTCAGGACCAGACAATCAGCTGCTTCGACCAAGACAGGGGTTTTGGAAAGTTCATAGTTAACCACCAAGGCAGATTATACGTAATGAGTGGTACGAAGAATTCCGACATTATGCGCCTCATCACGGGTTCGGGACTTAGGTAACCAATGTCTGCGAGTTCTGCCTCGGGATCCTGGGTTTGTTGAGGGTTTTCGTCATGAGACAGCGCTGGTTGAGGATGGTACTTGTTCTATAGACTTAAATCGCGTTCGCACCGACCATCGGCCGATTTAAAAGATACAAGTCGATATAAACATGCCTAAGCAAGCTAGGTGGATGGTTAAGTGCAACGGCGGACCGCCTAAGACGGGCTTTTCTTTACTCTGTGCTTCTATATTTCGTCTCATGCGAACATAAGCTCGATAGCATGGCCAAATATGATATGTCCCAAGCGCAGCTGCGAGTAGGCGTGTCGTATGAGCGGGATAAGTAGGGCCAGAAAGGATAACGAGGCAGATGAGGTTAGTTGATAATAACAAACCGCCGTATTGGCGCAAGATGAGCTTTGCGGCGGTGTCACAGCCGGGTAGTTGTTTTTCTGGGCCGAATATAAATGATAGGGCTGCCGGTGTCTCGACAAGTATATGTACGGCAAATGGTAGTTTGGCTAGTATCATTGTTAGGGATGAATTTTGCTTCTTGATTGTGATAATTATTGAGGTGTGGTAGTGATGAGCTTGGAATATGTTTTTTCTTTCTTTTTTCTAAATGCCTTCTAATCCGTACTATGAATGGACCTAAATGGTAGGCTAACAGATACTATAGTAAGGTACTTGTACCTACATATCCTTAAAGCCGATCGTTCCTGAATTCTGATCTCAATCTCAAGCTTCGGAAGGGGGCAATGACGCACGTGCATTTGAACGATGCATGTGAAAATGTCATTTGTGCGAGCCTTAATGGATTACCCACCCCCTGCATAAGTCTTGTACTACCTCAGGTAGCTGTCCTGGCTGTCTAGGCCAGCTAGGCTAGGTATTAGTCTAGGCCCCTAAGCGATGGCTTAAAGCCCTGTTTTGTTAGCGCCAAGTAGTTCTGTAATTGTATTTTTGGAACATTCCACCAGCATGGGAATCTGACCTACAGCATGTAAATGCCACAACACTTTTGGGCGTTAATGATGATTCATGATTTCTTATATGATGAAGTTGGTGCAGATTGTATGTATTCCTTTTCTAAGCCGAGGTTGTGAAGATTCCGTTGGGAATTTGATGCAAGTACACCACATATGGCACAGGGACAGGCATATGTCATACCTTAGGTACCTCTATGTGACTTAGCGGTTATGTACGGACGGGGAGCGCGATTCGCGAGATGCGGGTCCAAAATAGGTTATCTTGGGATATCGTCTAGCTAGCTATCCCACTTGCAGACGTTGTACCTGTATCAACATATTACCTACCTGTTATCTCGTAGCAACCTCAAAATTCTTGCTCTTTCCACCGAGGTTCAAGAGCTGGGATACACTAACGGCCACACTAGTCCTCAACATATGCAGGTAGGGGTAGGCCCAGATAATTAAAAGAAAAAAAGGTAGCCTAAGTTAGGTACTTACCCGGACTGCTGCTTGCTTTGTTGTCATGCTGCCTCGTTGTTACCATCTGCTATCTCACCTGCCCCAGGTGTGTCATGATTGTTTCAACTTCGGGCGTTATACCTAAAGTAAATGGCCCTGAACCCTACCTAGTAACCTATGAGGTACCTAACCTCATACTACCTAGGCACCTAGGAGGTACCTAAGTTACCTTTTAATTGTGCCTCGGGTTGTTCTGTCCGACAAAACACCAGACGCTTTAAAGTTCTCTTACCAGGACTTACCGAGTGATCGGCTCATCCAACTTTCCTTCCTTTTTCCCCCTTCTTATTTTAACCCCGTCATCTACGTAGTATTTACGGCATACCTGTGGCGTTTCTGTTTAAATTTCTTGGCGTCTCACTCTCTTTTCTATTGCTATTGGCTGCTTATCTTCTTTAGCTTAATCCAATTAGGAATAACTTACACGAGCTTCGTTGCTATATTCCATTATACACCACTTATCGTTTAGCGTTACTGTGTTGACAAACGTTACTGAGACTAGAATCTTGACTTACGTTTTCCCATTACTATATAGCTGATTACACTGCTGGTTCTATATTAAGATAGAATCTAACACCTCATCAAAAAAGAGAAGTCCGCACACGACTAAGAGCCAAGGCAATGGCATCGTCAAACTCGTTCGGAGAGATGGGCCTCTCTATCATCGGCTTGGGGGCACAATACCCTCCATATTCTCTTAAGTCAGACGAGGTTAACAAAATCGCAACTAAATACTATCCTGATTCTCCTGCGTAAGTCTTCCTCCAGAACCAGACGTTGACATGTACTAATAAGAATGTCACTAAAGCATGCAAAAAGTGCTTTCAATAAATAAATACACGGGTATCGACACGCGCTCATCTATTGGTACCTCGGATCACCCTTCAGTGAACAAACCGGAAGCGCCATCGATAGCAGAACTTCACAGAATTTTCATGTCAGATGGTGTTCCACTTGCGATTGAGGCGTCTAGAAAAGCAATTCTAGAAGCTGGAGTCGATCTGTCCCAGATTACTCATATAGTCTCTACAACGTGCACTGATAGTGCTAACCCCGGATTTGACCATTTTGTAGCCAAGGGTTTGGGCATTACGCACCAGGTAGAGAAGGTTTTGCTACACGGAGTTGGTTGTGCAGGTGGGTTAGCAGTACTACGCACTGCTGCCAACTTGGCTTTGGGCCACGCGATGAGGCGGAAGCCTGCCAGGATTCTATGCGTTGCTCTTGAAGTGAGTACCACAATGGTTCGCAGCGAGCTGAACAGCATTGAAGAGCTCCAAGAAACGCGTATTGGAGCTTGCTTATTTTCGGATTGTGCGTCCGCCTTGGTCCTCAGTAACGGAATCGGACAGCTAGCAGCCGAACCAATCTACAAGTTACTAGGGTGGGAACACAAAATCATTCCCGGGACGGAAGGTGATCTTGGCTTCGACGTAGACCCGGTTGGTTGGAAGGTTGTGCTCTCACCTCGAGTTCCGAAGCTAGCAACCGAGATACTACGCCCTAGTTTTGCCGATTTGTTGGAAAATATTTCTGGTCTCCCTGCTGAATGCAAAGAGGCATCGGATTTTGATTGGGCCATGCATCCAGGTGGCCTCACAATTTTAACGGGCGCCGAAACAGCGATGGGTATCTCTCCAGAGCATATGCGCGCGAGTTATGACCGATACATGAACCACGGAAACTCGAGCTCAGCAACTATTTTCAGCGTGATGGACCGCCTAAGGAGTAAGGACATGGATGCACTGGCCCCCGGTGGCCGGGTTCGGGAGTACGTGGTAGGGTGCGCCTTCGGTCCGGGAATAGCCATTGAGATGTGCATGCTTAAGCGCAATATGAGATATCGCGGAACTGATATCGGACCCGAGACAGACAGTGAGGCTAGTAGAAGCGAGGCCGACGAGGAAGCTGACTGGGTAAGCATTGAGTCCCGGGAGTCAATTCCCGGCACACCTGGTTCCGCGAATATCCAAGCCGAACCAAAGCCTACGCTTGGGGAAGATATGTTCGTGAGAGAAGCAATTGCCAGCGTCGAATTGGATTGAAGACATTAAGCCGCGGGGTTGCATGTGCCATTACTTATACCCATGCCATATTTGATGTACGCCCAAGACGCCACTTTTACCACTTGAAAAAGTTGCTTACGGGCTACGTCCTATGAAGTGATTCACTATAGAAAGCGGAAGCAGATGATCTGAAATACCTCTGATGGATTTAATCTTAGAAAGAATATTATCACGTATATATGTAATAAGTAAATACGATGGAAGTGTAAACAATTCTAAAAATGAATGCTTTGAGAGAGATATATATAATTGGTCTGGGCCAGCAAATAAGTGAAATACAAATGTGGTATGACAACTGATATGGTTCTCAAATCAATGGTGGGGACACTTCAAGGGCCTCTTCTTTTCAATTGCCACGGCGGGTTAGCTCGATGTATGACTGCCCTATCAACAAATGATAAGGAATTGGAGAAAGCTTGGCCGCTGGAACATTGCCATCAGGTTAAACAGTAGGATGTCTACCAACCGTGGGTCGATATTTTGTTGTAATGTTGACCGTTCCTTTGTCCAAAGGGGCCGCGTTGCTCATTAGATTTCGATACCTCATTCCGCTGACCCTATGTTTAATTATCACGATGACTCGCCTATGTCAAATTGGGTTGGCAGCTCCCATCGCTTGGTTGTCAGCGTCAGTTTTCACTTCTTATGGGCAGGAGATAGGCAATTCACCCAGCCTACCCATGGTCATTAACACTTGGGGAGGCCCTTTTACTGCAGCTACAGATGCGGCATACCTATCTCTCCTGGATCCGAAGACATCAGCCCTTGATGCTGTCGAACTTGGGTGTTCTACCTGCGAGGTCAATCAATGTGACGGAAGTGTGGGCTACGGCGGTTCTCCAGATGAGAACTGTGAGGTGAGAAGGTCATCACGTAGGTATGTCTGGTTTATCATGCTAATTCAAATAGACAACTCTAGACGCAATGATAATGGACGGCACAAGCATGAAATCAGGAGCCGTCGCAGCCCTCCGGCGCGTCAAGGAAGCAATCTCGGTTGCGAGGGCGGTGCTGGAGCATACGACTCACACGCTACTTGTCGGCGACTTCGCGACCGACTTTGCGGTCTCAAACGGCTTTGCGGTGCAAAACCTCACGACGGAGAATTCCGCCGCGTCGTGCGGACAGTGGAAGGCGGCGAACTGCCAACCCAACTACCGCATCAACGTGTCGCCCGACCCGTCGGGCTCCTGCGGCCCTTACGCGCCGCTTGCTCTCAACGCCAGCTCGGCCGCGTATACGTCGCAGCTACTGCCGTCCGGGGACAAGCCCGAGGGCCACGACACGATCTCCATGATCGCGCTGCACGCCTCGGGCGCCATGGCGGCGGGCACCTCGACCAACGGCGCGAGCCGCAAGGTGCCGGGGCGGGTGGGCGACGGCCCGATCACGGGCAGCGGGTCGTACGTCGACGGGGAGGTCGGGGGCTGCGGGGCGACGGGCGACGGGGACGTCATGATGCGCTTCCTGCCGTGCTACCAGGCCGTGGAGAACCTGCGGCGGGGCATGGCTCCGCAGCAGGCCGCCGAGGACGCCGTCCGGCGGATGCTGCGGAAGTATCCGGACGTGCAGAGCGGCATTGTTGTTGTGAATAATAGAGGCGACCACGGCGGCGCGGGGTCCGGCTGGGGTTTTACGTATGCGTATCGCGGGGGCGGGATGAGTGAGACGGTGGTTGTGAGCGTGCCGCCTGTGGTTGCTGTTGCTGTTGAAGCGGGTGATTTGCGATGATGACGATGATGATGGGTGTAAGTCAGGTTAGGTATAATACAATACCTTGCCTCAGATAGGTATTTTTTTTTTTTTTATCACGAAGTCAAGAATTATTATATTGCTATATAACAGGTTGGGAATTGAACTACGAAATACCAAGACATTGACTCTACGATTATCTGGATTAGTAGGTGAGGTTACCACTAATAAGTCTAATTTTGAACTAGTGCAATCACGATGATGGTATCAATACAGGAACCGTAACCGTAGAAAGGCTTCAAGGGGAAGTTTATTGGGTTGTATTTTTAGGTATTGTACGGTTTACACTACTGTACAGTGTAAATTGCTAAAATGCTTACACAAGTCCACTGTACCTACCGGGTAAATACACCAGATAGGCACCTTCTACGGCACTGTATGCATTGTACTACTTAATCTGGGCAGAGACTCCGCGTTCTTGCAAACCTTGCAACCTACAACAATATATCATAGGCATTCTTTCAAGCGCCAAAGAAAAATATAGAGTTTGATATACCTGATATCTTTACACAGCCTAACCTGGCTTGTTCTCTTCTCTCATAACTCATCAACTACCTGTAAACAGTATTTCTCTCATATCCCAACCCACCCATCGTCATCTCTTTCGCCAGTATGTCTTCATCGTAAACACATTAGCCTTAAACCAAGTCCTGCTTAGACCACCGTCTACGCCTTTACTTCAACAGTACCACCGTCTAAATACAGCTTCGTTAGCTCATCTTTCCACTCACCAAGAGATATCCATAGCTTCTCTCCAGGCTTGGCATCCGGTAGAGGCACCGAACCCTTTGGTATGTCTTCATACAACCTCGCATCGAAACCAGGCACTTCGATGAAGGCGTGCACCTTCATGCACCTTAACCCCTTCTTCTTCAGCTCGCCCTTTTTATGCCGCTCGTAGCATTCTCTATCGAAATGCGTTTGCCCCAGGCAATCTGCACACATGTACAGCGGCTCATCCGCTACCATCCACTGCTTGTCGCAGCCATCACACGAGAGGTACGCAGCCGGCTTCTCGAAAGCTTCAATAACCTCGTCATCGCCAACTTTCGACGGCGTGAGTGGGTCGTGCACCGCATTCTTGCTCTTTTGAAGCACAGTGTCATGAGCCTTAGAGTTCGAGTCACCGTTTGCTATTGTGATAGCCGGTGTATTGACAGAATTGATCGTCCAATCTTGCCACATAGTCAACGCATAATTCTGCGTCGCATTTTGCATGTGCGACACAATTTGGGTATGCCTGGCATCCTCGACAGTGGTCAGTAAACGATCCAGCAGCCAGAAGGCCATTCCATCGTTGTCCACGTCGTCATCCGAGAGCAGCTCGACGCATGTTCGCACTATTCTTCGGATCCATTCCTTGGCAAGCTTCGAATTACTACTGCGCTTATGATGGTATCGTATCAAGCAACATATCTTGACGTTATTCGACCAGATATCTATCCTATCGTCCGTGACGTCTGGTAGCAAGTCGGCGATGCGAGCGCCATAAAAGTCAATCTTATCAACGACCAGGCCTGGCTGAAATGCTTTACGCAAGTAGCTCTCGGCGAGGGAATTGCTCATGTCGTCAATTTCAGACCGAGACAGCTCGTCACTAGGATGAGACTTGACATCCGCAAGAGCTTCCTCCTGGATGACAATGACTTTATCTTCCTGTGATCCGTCTGCGGCCTCTGCGAATGTCTTAGCAAAGCCGTACCGGAGAAGGAATAGGAGGTCATGATTGTCTCGTTTTATGCCCATATCTAGCGCTAAAGTGAAAAGTGCTTCGATAACGTCCCAACGATTGGTTTCGTTCGCAGCTTGGGCTAATTTGTTAGGTTGGGAAACAATTGTCAACTCATAGACGAAATGGTGAACCAACTCGTCGAAATACTCGGCCCAAATCTGGCTAGTTTTGTTCAAAGTCTCGATAAATGCAATGAACTCGGGGAATGCCCCGTGTTCCTGGTAACGAGCAAGCACTCCTGTATAGGCTGTGAAACGGACGTACTCGTACTCGAGACTCTCTCTGTGTGTACGTGCAGCGAGCTGATAGTCTTGAGACGCGTCCCACAGGCGGTCTCCTAGGTCTAATGTGATGCGTGCAAGCAGCGCTGAGTTAGAAGCATCCCTGATCCAATCCGGGTTTCCGCTGCGAAGCTCGTCGATTTCTTGTTTAGCCTGCGATAGCAGCTTCACTGCTTCCTCATTGCTAGTGCTGCGTTGCTTGGCGATGAAGTGGACCGCGTGCCAATTCCGGGGATTAAGATCAACGGCCTTCTGTGCACGCGATCGATAAATCTCAACGGCGCCATCTTCGGAACCGCATAGTTGAAATACAATAAGTGAACCGTGGATCTCCCAGCTTGATTCCTCTTCCGGCGACTTTTCAAGTACTGCTGCTGCGAACTCCTCAATCTCATTCACCTGCTCAAGTGGGAATTGCCAGCTTTCGAACTTCTCCAAAATCTCCGAGTTGTTTACTCCGGTATATTCAAATGAGTCATTTAGCATCTGGGATGACCTTTCTGGGTCAAGCTACATAAGGATCGTCAGCTGAACGCCTTCTTGCTTAACGTCAAACCGAAGCTTGGGAACTCACCCGTGATAAATACCCGCGGATAAAACAGCTTGCACAAAAGAATTGGCGAGGGAGGAATTCCACACCACGGAATAGGTGGTCTGCCATATGCTTGGCAGCAAAGGAGAGTACTGTCTTGTGTAGATTGGTAGAGGCCTTCACTTGTGCGACAAATGAAGCACCTGCGTCAGTGGTAATGCGCTTCGTCACTGAAGAATCATGCAGCCAGAGAGAAACCTCTCGGAGGCCGTTTGTAGAATAAAGCCATTCGATTCGAGCCTGGCGAATGTCACGGCACTCGTCGTCTTCCCAAGTTTGTTTGCTCACATCTAACTCAAAAGGCCAGAATAAGGAGTCAATTCCACATTCCTCTGTAAAGAGCTTAACAAGAAGCGGGCCAGCTTGAGCCTTTAGTTCCCGATCGGCAGCCGAGAGGTCAACCCCTTTCATATGGCTGTATAGCCAATTGATCGCATACTGACGGAGATCACGATTATTCCTCAGCTCTTTCTCCGTAAGTATTGTCAAGCAGGCTATAACAGCTTTGATCTCCGCGTTGTCGGGGTCAAGACAGATATACTCTTTATGCTTCGCGCCGAGCTTCGTCTGGAAAAATTGCTCGAATTCAAACCTCTGATAAAGTTCAGGGGGGCATACATTGTTGAGGAAATGCTGAACAATGGAGATTTCAGACTCCTGAATTGTTTGCGGACCCGAGGCCGCGACGTCTAGCGCAACATTTTGGTCGGAACTTTTTGACGGAATTCTATCTCTAACCTCTGGAGAGCGCCAACCGACGAACCCTGAATCCTTTACAGCGAATATCGGATATTTCTCTGCTAACTTTTGAGCAAAAGGGAGTAGTGATATGGTAAGAGTTGTTGGGGCAGTCTCAGAAATGCTCTCGGTATTTGGCGAATTCGTCCTCCGCCGCGTAAGTGGGATAACACGGCCTCCGGCCTGTGCGACAGAGCTATTCCAGTATTTTACGGCCAAGAGGTTTTCCATTATTTCGGTTGTGAACCAGCGCCGACCAGTCTCTATCCAAAGGATAATCTCGTTCATTTCTTGGATCTCTTTAACAGTGCGAGAATTATTGAGGCGTCGAATCTCAGCATCTACCTGGTCAACGCGTGTCCTATCGGCGTCCGCAAGTACCTCGTTGATATCATCAATCAGGTCGACCTTTGAAAGGGCGTGGAGACTTGTGTTTAGCTTGAAATAATCGCCAGCACACTTGAAGCGCAACGTCCTTAGGATCATATCTCGCCACTCAGAAATTCCTGGGCGGCTAGTATTTTTGAGGATAGGCATATTGTCCATTCGAGATATGATATACTTTTCAATGTCGTCACTGTTATTTTCGGAAATTGGGATTACACTGTACTCGACCCTCTGCTCTTTCTCGAGCCATTCTGAGACCGTTTGCGGTTGAGCAGTCAAGAAGACGCGAGTTTTCTTCCACGCGGATTCGGAGGTTAGCTTCTCGAGAAGCGGAACAAGAGTCTTGTCGAAATTGTCGATAAAAATGAAGACTACTGTATCCGGGTTCATAAGCTCCTTGTTGGTAATGAACAGCTGTTGCCAGAGTTCAAGCGAACTATCAAATTCAGAGGTTCGCTCGAGGGCGTTGTATACGGATTTGGTCATGGCTTCGTAGGAGGTCGCAATCTGCCAAAGCAATGCTCGCGAAACCACCTCCAGAACACTACTTGTGTCCTCATCGTCGGATTTCTTCTTGTCAGTATCTACAAAGAAGTAAGGAGTAATGATTCGAGAAGCGGGTCCAACCCGAGTTACCTTCTTCAGATACCTCATAGTATTGGCCATCGCTGATGTTCTTCCAGAGCCATTTCTGCCTTCCAAGACCATCACGGGTTTTCTGAAGGATTTTGGGTCGGTCCATTCCAAGAAATCCTCGTTTTCTAAAATCCACTTGCCAGTGTCCTCTACAAGCATGTTCTTGCGAGCGTCCAAAGCTTTTTGCCAAGACGGAATCGGCTCCCCGTCTTTGTCCAATGACGCGGGAGGAAAGCCCAACGCCTTTGCAATGGCTAACCTCCATTTCTTCAAATCTTGTTCCTTCTTCTGCTGGTTCTGACCGTCGAGTATCAACTTGATGTCTCCAGCGCTATCGCTCACTATTTTATAAGTCTGTGCATTGACTAGAAGGGCTTCTTTGCTGTTGAGGCGATCCATATAGCTGAGCAAGTCTTGGATACCGTTGTCATTCAAGAATAACTGTTTTGTGAAAGCAAATAATTTGTTGTGCTTCTTGCGTAACCTCATCATGCGATCACATATCTCGACGAACAGTTGGAGATTTTGGACCGCGACAAGTGTAAGCCTCTTGTCCATCCGTCCTTGGTAGGACTCTAGGCGTTCGAGGAATTCTGTACATTTCTCAAGCAGCTCAGCGAGATTATCGAAAATACCTTCATAACCCTGCCATGCTTGGATGACGAATGTGAGTGCGTTGTAGCACATCCCCGCTGGGGCAAAGACCTTTTAGTCTCTTGTTAGCCAGTCATAATAGGCTTGCTATTCGAAACACTTACGGTTGAGAGACCACTGGTAACTATTCCCCCCACATGGTTTATACATTGCAAGGTTTTATGGACTACGGTCTTGAACGTTCCATACTTCTCGGACTTCTTTTTGCCTGAGGCCTGCACGTCATCGACGTACTTGAGAACAGCGTTGATGTCGAGGGTGCTCTGTACCCTTCTCGGGTCCCCACCGGCGAGCTCGACTACTTTCCTGTAGACATCTTTCCAGATTGCTTCAATTTCTTTTTGCTCGGATATATCTGTTGCTTTCTCGATGGGAGATGGAGAGGCTATGCCCGATGCGCCAACCGAAGTTCGCAATGTCGGCAGTGCCATTTTTGGCACGTGCGGTTTCGTTTATTGTCAATACACGTGTTTCGGGGGAACAAAAGTCTCTCGACAACAATAGGTTTTATGTCATGGTATGTTGATTTATTCCATTGTTCGCAACCAATTCCTACTTGAGCGGAGGGGACGCTCGATACCCTTAAAGTATTTAGATCCCCCCTGCGGCTTGTCTCATGGGTCCACATAGCCCTAAGTTACCCTGATATGGCACAGCCAGCTCAGCTGAACCGGCCTACGAATCCGTACTTTTGAGTAAGTCAGACTTTAGTTAAAGGCGATGGAATCCTACGAGCTTAAGCTCGATATAGCAACAAAAAGAAGGGAGGTGATTGGCAGGGGAATGTCGCTTACGCATTACCCCTTGTCCCATCGAGGCATTTTGCCCCACGGAACCACTTCTATGGGTCGAGAGGGAGTGCCTACCTAACCGTCCAGCCTGAGCAGCCCAAGGTTCCAGGTAAGAAGAACATTATAATAGCTGCAAGGAAAATTCGATTCGGCCAGGAAGGCTGAGAGGATGGATCGTCTCATTACTCGACCGCGTCAGTTTTCCCTTGCTTCCCCGCATGCTAGGATTTGTCAGGGACAAACAAATCCTCCAGATATAGAAACGTTTAGAGTCACAGAGCGGCTAGGTAATGAAACACTAGGTATTTTCATCCGTCCTTTCGGAAGACGGTAGAGGCTCGTTCAACAATCGATAACCACCGCATCTTGAGTCCTAACAAACCGATTCGAAACTCGAAGTTGGTCGCATTTTTTCGGCAAACACTCCTTAAAAGTCACACAGATACACGTGATTCGGTTACATGCAGTTTTCAGAATGAATCCTATAGTATGACCAGTCATATTAATGAGTTGGGCTGGGTCAAAATGCCGGTGGCTTATTGGTTATTGGCGGCTGTCATATATTTATAGACCTGCAAGGCTATGGTCTACCATATGCATAGGAGAATATACCAGGCAGCCAATCACAATTCTCCGCTCCAGAAGCAATACCAACCTATCGCTTTTCACGGGCGACTATTGCGTTAGTTCGAGTCTTCGCTTCAACTAACAGGTAGGTTAGTTAAGTTAACACTTGATGACCGGGACGTTTCCAGGCGCGCTATACGGCTTGCCGCCGTTGTCGGGCTGGCCGAGGGCGCCATAGATGTTAACGACGATGCTCGGGTCGCTCTGCTGATAGGCCCCCGGGAAACTGACGGTCTGGCTAGGGGAGAAGGTGCCGCTGCCGCCGACCTTGAGCTGGGCGCACGACATGTAGAACTGGGCGCCCATAGGCGACTTCGCGGAGTGCAGGGCCAGGATCTCGACACGCATCAGGTAGTCACCGGGAGCGATGCACTGCGGCAGCTGGAAGTTCACCCACCCCTGGTTCGAGATCATGTGGTCCACCCCCCACTGCTTGCTCGACGGGTCAAACGTGTCCTCCCAGATCTTAAACCACTTCAATCCCGTCTTGCTCGCCGTTGCGGCGTTGTCGACTTTCGCGAGCCAGGCTGTGACGGGGCCCTTGTGGGATTTGGCGATCTACATATGTACACGCGCAGAGGTTAGAATTGTCTACCATCGCGACCTTGGATTAGGAAGTCGGGTGAGTTAGGTAGCAAGTAGGTGACAAAATGATTTGCAGACTTTGTACTCCCTTCACATATATGTGTCTGCAAATTATTTTGTCACACACTTCGGCACTAGAGGTAGGTAGGCAGATGGGATAGTCTTACTGGGTTGTCGGGGTCGTTGGGGAACTGCGCACCGCCGACGATGTGCCCGAAGTAAGCTCCTAGCTTGTCTCCCGGAGAGACACTGATGACTTTGTCGGACGTGTGGCCTTGCTTCTGGCAGATGATGTCTGGTGGAGCGACGAGTTAATTCTCGAGTCTCTTTTGGCGCAGCTACTCTCGGACGTTTCTTCTTACCTTGGGAGCTCACGTCATATACCGGGTTGTTGTCGTTCGGTGCGCGAAGACCAACTAGAGAGCCTTGTTTTTGGCCGTTGACTGAGAGCTCCTAAGTGGATCACGATTTCGTCAGCTATTGAGCACTCTACATGTTGTAATATGAACCTAGCTTACTTGAAAGATGCAGTGAGCCTCAGCCGATAGGACGAAAGCCGCAGCCGCGAACAGGGAGAACTTCATCTTGCCGACGATGGGTTAGCGAACCGTATGAGAGAGACAAGGGCGATGGTAAGAGCGACCAGGCTTGAGGTAGCGAGTTCACTTTCTTTCCATCCTAGAGTTCCATCGCGCCGTATATATAGATGAGTACGCAGTCCCAGGCTAGGTCGATACGACTATATGCCGAACGGAATAAAGTATTGTAGGCAAGGGAGACAATGGATGCCGATACTAGCGAACCCCCTTTCAACTCTATCTCCGTAACGTAGCGGGTTTGTTCAAGCCATCGACATCAATCAATACTGGACAAGCCGTAAACTTACGCATACAAATTCTTCGGGCGCAGATTAGCTTTGTCCAGATATTGGACGAGATTGTGGTAACTCCCGGTGGGCCTGGGGTAATATAGCCGGTAAGAGCCAAAGTTCATATGTCTAGGTCCCAACCGATTGGCTGCAAAGTTGATCAAGGTTCGAAATAGGAAGTTCCGTGCTTAGAATCCCTGGCAAGGGCCGCGCCGGGTTGGGAAATGGGTACGGGGAAATAAAAAGTGCATAAGGTTAGGTACCTCCTAACCTATTTCACCTTGCATATGGGGAAATCTGGGGCGCATGAAGAGCGGACGGGACGACAGCCCTACGTTCCGAATGCCAAGCGGGTTCGTCAGAAGTATAGGAATGGCAATAAGGGAGATGAGATATGACGACTTGTTGCGTCGTGGGAAGACGGCATTGGCGTGGTAAATGAGGTGAAGGGGTGACAGGTAGGTTGGACCGTTATGCGTCAGCTGAGACCGGTGTATATGGGTGTGTCTAGAAGTAATAAATAATCTTAAAGCCGAATATATTCCAACTGCAGAATTATTGCTTCTATCTACTCCCGGCGCTGAAAGGGCCGATTCGATTTGGAATAGATTCAGCCCCCCCCCCCCTAATATTAACGTCTTGTAACATCTTGGTCAAATTTCTTGGGGGAAATGGGTCTTTGCGAGAACTATTGAGGTATCACTCACTTATTTGTTGGAGGTAGGTTAGTGCTCATCGCTACTATCTAACCGTTGAAATTTGATAAGAACGAGTTATCGGGTGGGAAATGAATTTTTAGACAGAAGTCAACCGCTGTCTATAGAGAAATTCCAGCAGGACGGGGAGCAATCATAATATAAACCTAACGTACATCGTCCCCTCTACGAACAAAGTTCACCTCTTCTGCTTGGGCTGTAGGCTCGTATGGCCCAACCCCCTCCACAGGAAGTCTTCATGGAGAGAAACATATGTGCGTAGCTTCGAGAAACTCGAAGTATCACCTACCTTAGGCAACTACCTAGGTTATCGAACGGTGTATTCGATAGTACTAAAGCTTTAGGTAGGGTTTTAAAATATATGCCGTCAAGAAAGGGTATTTCTCGGCATCTTATCTTCTACTCTACTCAGAGCTGGCTGTCAGCTTCTAAAGTCATCCACCCCCTTAAACACTCCACCGGGAAAGGTAATACCTAAATCTTAAGATAGCCATCAATATAGTAGATAACAGGACCTTAGACTCTATATAATTAGTCCAGGTACATAAGAAGCAGGCAGGTAGGTACCTTAAGTATTTAGGATGAAGATGCGTAATGGTGATAGATTATACGGCGGTTCCTTCTATGGTCTTCATGTCCACGTACGGAGAATGCATGTTCATCACGAAGATATAAATAGCCGGGAAGAAGAAAGCATATATAACTTACCTCCTACTATATCTCGATATTATATTCACCAGAATACTCCCTGAGCTTCCTACCTCGAGCGCTCTTCTGATATATCTGTTTCTTACCTGGCCTTGCCGGTATCCGAAAAGGAAAAGGGAGACGAGATCTGCCTGTATTGGGCCGGTAGTCGTACATGATTTAGCTCGTTATAGTTACATCTTATTTCCATTTGCTATGTATAACAACATTTAAAAGTATCAGTCGTGAGACAACGCACATGTACCTGTTTTGCAACTCGCTCGCATTTACTTAAGACACTTGGTGTGGCATCCTATAAGGTAAATTTACCTTTTCGCTGTTTATGATTCCAAAGTTAGGTGCCTAAGGTATTAACGGAAACACGTTTTAATAACAGTCTCCAACACGACTGAGAGCAATGTATGGAGATTCAGATAGTTTGGACAAGGCGGCTTGGCTATAAGTTACTCAAGAACAGGAAGTATATTGTGCTTATAAGCCCTTGACGAGCCAGGCCTACTACTAGTATTGACTATCTCCTACTTATGCCTTAGGTACATCGGACCTTCGATATATACCTAATGCACCGAGTTTGTTAGAAAGGCTGGTGGGAATTTGAAGAGAGTGTGACGACGTGAGTTATAAGTGGGAAAATGGATTCGTTCCACGAGGTAAAGTAGCATTGCTGAGTTTGTTCTAGCAAACACTTGGGTACCTAAGGTAGTTGTCTATAAAATTAGGTATAAACAAACATTCCCACCTGATAATTCCGCAAAGTTTTATGATTGTGGAGGGACATGTTGAAAGGGATGATCCGTTCGGAGTGGTGTCGTGGCAGTGCTGACAATTCGCCCAGGTAATAGGTAGGTACCTAACATAGAGGTAGTGCATAGAGATAGCACATGGTGTAAATTCTTTTGTCAAATATACTCCTAGTATAGGAATCTTGGTTTCCTCACAATTTAGCAAGCTCATGAGCTACACTAACTGTTAGGTATACCTGCTCAAGGAAGTCAGGCTTAGGACTATCAATATAAACTTGTTAGGTATATTATTTTCGTTAGCCTTTAGACAGGTTATTGGGGATAGAGAAATTTTAAGCACTATACATTTCCATGAAAATATATTATGGATTAAGTATTGTATAGATCCTTTGCGTCAAGTTGGGGGAAGTGCTAGGTATAGACTTAGGTTAGGTCCTAATCGTAGGAAAACGTGTATTGCTATCGATGACTAACTTCTACAACGCGGATGAGTAAATGAATTTTACCTTTGCCCTGGCAATAATCGATACGAACGAGTCACTCGATGAAAGGTATACAGAGGCTACGGCATCCCCCCTTTGGACCTGACAGCGCATGCCGAACAAGGTGTGCCAGCTGTTGAATGTTCCGGGTTTGGCTTTATGCAAAGCCAAAAAGAGTCCTTGCAGAGGGTAAAGTGGGTTGTCCAGCTAGAATTTTGTGTTACTGAAATGATTCAGGGGCTGGACTTTCAACTAACAACTTATTGCTCGGTGCTGATTTGAGTAGAAGTCCCATGCATGTTTCGAAAGTAATTTTATAGACATTGATTCGCATGGCTGGTGGATTGGTTATGTGATTGTACTGCTGTATCCTTGCCTTCACTTGCGCGTTGATGCTCGTATTCGGGTTCATTTTGGTTTATCATGTACTGAAATGTTGGACGTATCTCATTATAAAAAGTAGGTAATTTGCAATGCTCAGGTACCTAGGTACCTAATGTATTCTCTTCTCTAATAGTTGTCTTCTAGAATTTCATTCGCAGCTTGTATGCTGGAGGTCTGTCAATATGAGGCAGTCTCAGGTAGGCCAGAAGTTCCTGTTTCAAAAAAGCTTCTAGAAAGAAAGCAGCGTTCGAGTTAGGTAAGGTATTAACTACGCGAGCCCTATGGATGTAGACGTAAGCCTAAGAGTGGCGTAGAGTCCAGACCAGGTCATGTTGGACGTTTCTGAACCGGGACGTACAAGACGAAAAATAGCCAATCAGGGTAATTATAAGCCGCATTATTAAGAGGATCGTTAGGTCTAGTCGAAAACCCATGAATTGTAGTGGGCATAGTTTAAAATACGCATTCACGCCGCCCTCTTTCTCATGCTCCCAAGATCTCTTCGCCGGCATTTGTTCGGACCCAGTGGGACCGTTTTAGCTTCCAAGCTGGCATGTTATTTTTAGGATGGTTAGGATGGTCTTGATACATTACAAGGTTAACCTGGCTGGCTCCCCAGCTCAGCTGGTCTGATGGCTCGTGCGATAACGTTGTTAGACGGGGTATTTATGGGCCTCGAACTATCACTCAAAACAAAGTACCTAAATGCTCAGGTAGGTAAAGTATGTTCTTAAGCTGATGAGACTTCTCCATACAATACTACCCCGCTTCCATGACTATGGTTCCAGGTTTCCACTCACTACTTCAGTATGAAATAAGCACTAGCATAACGAATGGGAGCAGCCAGGAGTACTGGGAGTGAGCAAGTTCTGTGACTTGGCTAAGGAAACGGTGGTCTAAGAGACACTATGTATTAGTTATTACCTAGTAGAGGTCGGTTGCGAAGTCGTATTCGTTTACAGGCTAAGAGTTCAAATGCAATACAAATAATTGGCTCATACCCTGTTGTCGGGACCACAAATACCCTCACTTTTATGTCGCTGGTAAATTAGTGGAACGGGAAACCTCAGTCCCGGTTGGTAATGAAACCCCTTTCACCTGTGACCTACCCCATCGTCCAATCATGTTTGTCTTCTGTACCAGTGCTGCAGATCACGAAAAGTCTCAGACATTGAAAATCAAAATAAAGAGGGACCCGTCGGTTGTTTATATAGTAGTACATGTCCTCTCCACGTAAGAGGATGGCGACCTTCGTAGTCGATCTTCTAAAATATTAGGTACTCTGTACGGACAGGGTTGACAAAGGAGAGAAAAAGAAAAAGACAATGGATGTGGTTGCAAGTTTCCTCGAGGAACGAGGACCTGTCCTTGCATCCATCGCTATCATCTTCACCTCCGTATTCCTCGTGAATATACTATTTGGCAACGGCAGCAGCACAGCGCCGCTGGTGGGCGAAGAGTATGGAAGTGCATCAAAGCGAAGAAAAGCGTTCGTGACGCGGGGTTTGGAATTTTACAAAAAGGGTTACGAATCATTCAAAACTAAGGCATTCAGAGTGACTACTCTTGATGGTAAGGAAGACGCTTCGTTCTTTAACAGATCAACCAAAACAAGCTGACCTTGTTGGACAGGCGACCGTATTGTCCTGCCTCGAAGACTTATGGAGGAAGTGAGACAGCTGCCGGACGATGTTATTAACATCGACAAGGCTTTCGATGTTGTACGATAATATCGACAGTCTTAATCCATAATTCTAGTTGCTAACTTTTTGCAGATCAACGAGCACCACCTTCTTGGTATAGGTAGACCACAGGTTTCGACTCTGGTATTTAATGTCGTTCGAGGAGACCTCACCCGCAGTCTAGGTGCGCTTTTATCTCAAGATTGTACTGAAATAGGTGGTTTAACTAACTTCTCAAGTGCGTATCAACCCCCGACTCTCGGCGGAGACTGAGCGGACTATTCGCGAGGAGTTGCCACCATGCGATGACTGGACCTCCGTGGTAGTCTACCCGACAATTCTGCGTATGGTTGCTACAATATCTGGTGCTCTGTTCATTGGTCCCGAGCTGTGTCGGTCGGAGGAGTACTTGAATGCTAGCATCGGATATACGTTAGACTACGTCAACAGTATCCAAGGGCTTAAGAAGTGGAACCAATGGTTGCGACGGGTCGGCCGATATTTTACTCCCGAAGTCACTAAGCTCTATGAAGATCGCAAGAAGGCTCATACTTTTCTGCAGCCTGTTCTCGTAAAGCGCCGTGAAATCATGAAACAAGGCGGAGAAGTTTCTGACGATGCTTTACAATGGATGATGACGAAGGCCGACGAGTTGGGTTTTAGCGACGAAGTAATCGCTGAAGCGCAGCTAAACCTCAGCATGGCCGCCATTCACACCACCTCGCTCACGGTTACCATGATGTAAGCTTGAAATCCCTCATCCTAAGTATTCTGGCTAAAGAAGGTTGCGTATTAACCTTTTCTATAGCCTTTACGACCTTGTAGTCAGACCCCATATAGTTGAGGAGCTACGAGAGGAGATTAAGACTGTTCTTGCTCGTCACGACGGTGTTACAACCAGTCACGCTCTTTTCGAGATGAAATTGCTTGACAGTGTCATGAAGGAGTCGCAGCGGATGAACCCTGCTAACCTGGTCCGATTCACACGATATGTCCAAAAGTCTGTTACTCTTAGCGATGGTACTTACCTCCCTGCTGGCTATTTGATCGAATCGCCGCACGCGCTAGCTGTTATGGATCCCGAGTTATACCACAACCCGGAGGTAAGATTAACCCAGAAGTGTCACGGCTCTCATTCTTTACAACCCCGGAGAGCGGCCGTGTCCCCCCTAACTAGACCAATATCGAGAAGTCAAGAACTGACGCCTTTTCTAGGAATTCGACGCTCATCGATTTTTAAATCTGCGAAATGGCACGACGAAAGATACTCTGGGATACAAGAACAAGGAACAATACCAATTCGTGACGGTGACCAAGGACTTCATGCATTTCGGATACGGCCGTCACGCGTGCCCGGGCCGCTTCTTCGCCGCCAACGAGATTAAGCTGATCCTCGCGCGTATCCTTCTCGAGTACGACTTCAAGATGCCCGAGGGCCTTACGGAGCGCTATGCCAACATCAACATGGGCACCGACGCTCTTCCTGACCCGACTAAGGAGGTGTTATTCAAGCGAGTTAGTGCTACAGCGTAAAATGGAGTAATATACTGTAGTATTTAGTCGTGTTACATTATCTCATAGACCTGATTGATTCCGTGTTTAAACTAGATATAACTAGCACAGGATGGGGAACGTCAAGCGCAATGAGAATGGAAGGTCTTGCATTATATAGCCATAGATGAGACATGATTACAGACTCATACAATATGTGTATATTGATAGTCGGATTTGTCTTAAGCGGTTACTGCCAACATGGCTGTCAAAATAATATGGAATAGATAACTAGGTTGATATAAAGTCTGAACATCCATCTGCGCTCTCCTCCTATAAACTGAGAAAAATTTCCTTGAGTCCCTAATAAGACAAGTAAATTACGGTTTCCATCTCCAGTCAGGGTGCTTCCACTCAAGGCTCTCGATCTGCGCTTGCGATAACCCTTCCAGCTCCTGATTAATGTCGAGCTTCTCGCGTCTCCTGTTGTCCGCTTTCATCCATAACAAGGTTGCCGTAGTTACGATGAAGAGCAAGCTGGAAGCAGCGAGGTTCAAACCGTTGCCGATGGGATAGTCTGGTCCGTCCCAGGACAAATACGACCAGGTAGCGACGAGGCCGCCGAGGGCCCCGAACGTCATGTTCGTCGCAAGACTGACGCTGCGCGCTGTGTCGCTGACAACCTGCGCCGCGACTTGCGCGTTGCTCAACGCGCCCACGGCGAAACAGCTGACGGCCGTGAAGAAAGTCGCTGCGTATCTCACCTTCGCGTCGGTACTTGCGAGAAACATGATGTAGCCCATCATGGTCAAAGGCGCGGTGAGGATCATGAAGACTTGTCGCTTGTCCATGCGCCAGCTCAGGAGCGGGATGACGACCTCGAACGCAGCGCCGACAACGTAGGGTGGAACCGTATATAGCTGCTTTTGGACCGTTGTGTAATGTGGATAGATGCTGGCTACGATCGTCGGGGTGAAGAAGGCTAGACCCTGGACAGTGATGCTACGGGTTTTCAAGTCAGTAACCGTGGCGATACAAGAGGTCTTCAGATCTCCTTTTTATGAAATACTTGAAGTTTGAAGTGCAGTTCAACTTTCCTATCTTGAAAGAACAAAAAAGGATCTAGCAATGAGATGTACGTACTTATTGAGGAGGAAGACGAAACTAGTCGATAGGACAACAGGGTTCCAAAAGCCCAACCAAACCTTCCTGCGATCCGCCTTGTCGAGAACCACGGTCTGCGCCAGACGTTCCGACTTGACACGGGCGATGGCTAAGGCCTTTTCTTCCGGCGTAAGCCAACGCGCCGTCTCGGGGCGGTCGGTAAGCGTGATGAACGAGATCAATGACAACCCGATCGTGATGATGCCTTCGACGAGGAAAATCATACGCCAAGCCGTAACACCGCCGATGTGGGATAGAGTTAAAACACTATTACACGAGTTAACAGCTGTTCTTAGATATTACTGGCATCTTAGGGGATTTATTCATATACGTACCCGGAAGCGATCAACCCTCCAAACGCGCCGGCGAGCGGCGCCATAACGACGAAGAGAGAAATCCGGAACACCAATTCGGAGCGGCGGTACCATCGGGAAAGGTAGTAAGACATGCCAGGCATCATACCGGCCTCGAAGACGCCAAGAAGGAAGCGAACGCCGCAGGCCGCCGGCAGATTGTGAACGAAAGCCATGCCAAGCGAGGAAACGCCGAAGCCGAGACAAAGAGTGGGAATGACCCAGCCGGGACCGAGCCACTTGCACGCCAAGTTGGACGGGACCTCGAAGAGGCAGTAGCTTATGTAGAAGACGGAGAGGAGCACGTTGTAGTCGTTGCCCTTCATGCCCAAATCTTTTTCGAGCCCAGCGAGTCTTGCATTGCCTGTGGTTGGTAATCAGTAACGGAACGAGCCCCCGGGTAGGTAGGTACCTAAGGTAAGGATAAACGGCAAGGATCTAGAGTAAACAACGTAGACGTACCTATGTTTGAGCGGTCGATGAAGCAGAATAGATATAAGACAGCCACCGTTGGAACTATCATCAAATCTATCTTATTCCGGAGCTTCCTTTCGGCTACGCGGTCAAACTCCGTAACAGACACGCCGCGACTATGATCGAAATTAGTAAGTACGTGCTCTTTAATATACCTTAAGTAGGTACGAAGTAAGGTCAGGTAGCAATATCTATATCACCTCACCTGTCGGTTGCTGCTACGCCCTCTTCGGCAGCGGTATGGAGGTCCTTCTCAACGTGCTCCTCCTGAGAGATGTTTCCCTCCTCCTTACCGGAAGAATTACCGTCGAGAGTCGCCATGTCGTCGCGATGTCAGGGCCTTCTTTCCTGATCCAACTTGCTTTGGTAGGAGGTAGTTACGTTGGACAACGAAAGGAAGAGGGGAGAGGAATAAGGGATTGATTAATTGACGAAAGGGAAGGACGAGACTAAAGAAAAAAAAAGTGTCGTGCAGATTCTGAGCTATTGGGACACTGCTGATCTATCGGAGCAATCTATTTGTCGTTGCAGAGATACTAGGCTACGTATGTAGGCCGGTAGGTTGCTCTGCAGGGCATGGGTATGGGCATCCTGGTCGTCGGGGAGGATCGTCAAAGAGTTCGTCTTCAGATATTACCCCTACCTTAGGTACCTGGTACCTAAGATGTGTAAGTTGGTCGTGGGGTTTTTAATAGCGTGTTGACCATGACAGTTTCCCTAGAGATACCTATATACAAACGTCTATAGATCTGGGTTGCTATAGGTATTGTATCTGGGGAAACCAACGGGCGAACTAGCTCTATAGAAGGTCGAGCTTCGTTGTTAGAGAGCTACCTACCTAATCAAAACTACCAATTATCAAAGGGGAATGGCGAAGTGACATATCAGAACTGCCGGGGTAGCCAGTTGCATTCGGCATTGGTACACACTGGAGTCAAGAATGAGGGTGAAGTTTACCCCAACCGTGCTAACCTACCCCTTCTCTTCCCTAGATACTAGGTAATACTAGACTAAAGTACGAAGTACTTGGCCTTGACCAATCATAAATAAGACTAAAAAGATCCCTTTTATTTGCTTCAGGTACGGTTGGTAAAGAAACGCCACTCAAAAGCTTAAACTAATTAGACTTCTTTATTCATATCAGGGGGGTTCATTACCTGGTCTGAAGTTTGGTCTGGACCCCCGGGAAGCTCCATATGTCTGTGTTATACGGGTCGGATATTACGCAGATCGGCGTTAAGATGACTCAAAGACGGATGCTTTCTTTTTTTTTTTTTTTCAGGACGGGTGGCGCACGGGACTTTATACCGTAACTATGGCATCTCTTTTCAAGGTAAATAACAAACACCTACCAAAGCAAACAGGTAGTTACCTTCTAAGGTAGGTACTCAGAAACGTGACACTACTCCAAGGCCTACTACGAACTTTCGTTCATATATTGTATTGTACATACATAGTATAGTACACCAGCTCCGGACAGTTCATTCGGATATGTTAATTAAGTCTGCAGCGGCCCGCCCATGCCAAGCTTTCAGGCTTCAGGGGCGGTGATGGATCTGATCTATAATAACTAACCTAAACCAATAGTATATAATAGCGAAGCTAAGTTCCACCGCATTCCTGGGGGTGCTTGGGAATAGCTTCTACTCTAACTTCTGGAATTAGTTACTTAGGTAGGTACCTACCTAAGTTAATAGGTAGATTAAGACGTCTCCCGGGAGTGGGAGGTAGTGTTGCAGTTCTTATTTGAAAAGGTGGGATGTCATGATGTTGTTACGGTTGGATCGGTATAAATGATGGTCGTATTTAGCCGCATCCGTACGAAGTACCTGGCTGTCATACAAGATAGCCAAATCGCCTTAACTGGTCGCATTTCGTCCGAGCTAGCTTACATCGATTCTCGGGAATGTGCAGTTAACTTAGGTACCTAGCTACCTACCTATCTATGTCGCCTACGAGCAGCTCGATCCCGTTTCCGATGCGGGCCGTCGCCGTAGACCAGGAAAGCTCGGAAGTTTCCCGTAATCCGACAGATATATTGCAGATGACTCTTCGGTGCTTGTTCAGTCGGGTTGAGCATCGGCCTAGGAGATAATTCTAATGACTAACACTTGAGCCGACGGGTAGACGGGTAGACGTGTCAAGACGGCCCTCGAGAAAAGCAAGTTGCAAATATTAAGTTCTGCACCGTTACTCAAGATATGTAAGTTATTCGTTGTGTCAAGCCGACTATGTAGGAGGTACCTATCTACTAACTGGCCATGATTACTTAGATGTATGTACTATATGTCCAGCATCATCATAGCAAAGCTCATTCCTCCTCTTCGGCTTCACCTCTTCTTTAGGTTCCCACCCCAGGATTTCTATCTGCGGGTACCTCCTCATCCAATGCACAATCCACTGCTTCCCCAGCCTCCTCCTACTATTATTCCTACTCCTATTCCTATTCCTATTACTACTCCCATCATTGTCATTATCTGACCCCTGCTTCCTCAGCACCCTTTTCGCCAGCCCGAACACCTCGTCCTTCGTCGCCGGACACCCCAGCGCCGCCCACTCCGCCAGCAGGCCTTCTTGCCGGAGCGTCAGCCGGGACGTCTCGCTGCGGAGGTTCCGCGGCGCGGGGCTCGCGCCATGTCGGCTGCCGAGTACGCGCGGTATTTGGCGCCGCTGCGGGGACGGGTTGGCGGTGCTATGAAAAGGGGTATTTGCATGGCAGCCGCGTCGGAGAGATTCATTGCAAATAGGTACCTAAGGTAGGAGGTAGGTACCTATGCAGGAAATATTATCGTAGAAATGGGATAATCACCTTGGTCAGGTAGGTAGGTGCCTTACATGGTGTGGACAAAATTCTTTGCTACGAGATAGCGACTGATCGAGAACCTATTCTGCTCTGTCGTAGTGTTTGAAGTCGAAACAGGTATGTTATAATGCCGATGATCACATACTAAGGGAGGGAAAGTCCGGATACGTGAAAGTCCGGATACGTGAAAGTCCGCATATGATGGGGTTACATTGTCATACATCCTCAGCTCTTTTCCCCGAATTTCGAGATGAGAATTCACGGGAGTTATCCTTGTGATTTCGTAATTGCAAGTTAAGAGAATCCAGTTTTCTCGACGCTTCTGCTTATTGTAACCAAGGGCAAGTGGTCCCTCCTGTAGAAATCGCAATAATAGTGTGTAGGTATGTTTCGTGATATTATCTGTTTAACGCTGCAAACACGGGTAGATGGCGGGAATAACACTCCCATTAATACTAACTCATCTTGCATAATGTCTGTCTCGTCTGTCTCACGGCCCCCTTCCCCAGGACTGCTGTTATCAGCTACCAGCAACCGAGTATATTGCCTGCTGTTATGTAGGATATGATTGATCTACCGTGGACCCATGCGGATTGAACTTTTTGTCTTTCCGCTATCATCGATCCTCGATAAATGTCTAGTATTTAAACTTTTCTCTTAACAAGCCAGATACCACTTCATGACACGCCTGCCGCCTTGCCCAAGCTACCGGATCCTCGGCTGCTAAAGATGCTCATAATACCAAAGCCGACGTAGAATAGCATTAAGGGGTACGCCACTAAGGCCCTCATCTGTTGCATCCGTCCTACGGCGCAAAACAGACCACTTGCACTTGTTGTGCACCAAACAATTGCCGCACTGGTCAAGATGTAGCCGAGTGGACCGTCCATCGGTATGACAATACCAATCAGACTCGTCATAACCAGTGGTAACAGACAGTACCCAAGCACGCTTGCGCTCCTCGCAAATGTCAGGGTACTGCTCAAGTGTCCCTTGGAATCGTCTCTGCCGCCCGCGTTGGGATCGCCGGGGTAAGAAGGGTCGGACGAATATGCTTGGGCGGGTGATGTGGCACTGGTGCCGTCGGGAGACATGAGGGATAAAATCGTGTGCAGCGCGACGGACCCCATAAGCGCCAATCCGTAAATGTACCCAAAGTGTACCTTGCCGCTGAAGAGGAGGAATGTGCCGAATAGGAAAAAGAAGAGGATGGGACCGCCGAGATCTGAGTCGTCCATGATGTGCTGGTCTATGCGTCCGAAGGGGTTAAGGACTGCTAAAGTCTAAGAAAGAGGTAGGTTGTTTAATATTGTTTAACTTAGGTAGGTACTTGAGCAATGTAATTTCGAGCTGTCCGAGCACTTACCTTGGACCAGATGTGATCAAAGTTGATCCCTAGTTCTTCCAGCAGAGGCGGTTCCCCATCATATCCTTCCGTCGAGAAAGCGGCGAGCCAACCCGTCTTTAAGCCACTTTGTTCCCCCATCCTCCCGCTTACGCTAGGCGTAGCCCCGAAGCCATATCCGCCAGGGACGGGCGTCGGGGCGCCGTAGCCGTATGATTGCGCTGGCGTTCCTTGGTTTGGTACACCGGGAGAATATGTCGAGGGGTAAAATTGAAGGTTTTGCGCCGCCGCCGCGCCGCCATATTGGTTTGGAGGGGGCGCGCCGTAGTATTGCGACATGATTTGCGTACCGGTGTTGGAAGAAGTTCCGAGGTTTACTCCCTTCGATTTTCTGTTTAGATTTCAAGTATAGGAAAGTTGGTTGAAGTTAATACAAAGGATGAAAAAGGTGATAAGTTAGAGAGAGAGAAAACAGTTGGAGTTAGAATGGGCGTAATAAGCCGTGTAGACTTGTTTCGAAGCGTTTGTGACGACGTTGATTAAAAAAAAGGCGAAACTTTAGTTGACGGATCGCCAAAAATGAATCTGTCCAGACTCCAGACGGGACTTTAGCGACGTGGCTGCGAAGCTCAGATCCAAGTGCGACGTAGCTATGTACGTAACCTGCCGTAGCTTACCCTGGTATTTGTGGCTAGTGAAGACTGTGGCTCAAAGCTACCAATGTGAAAAAATGTAGGTATCAATACATGTACCCCTGCGATGGAACCGCGGGGATTACCTATGTACTAGGTACATGTATTTGGTGCCGGAAATCCGGAGTCCCAACTCCCGATGTGGGCTTCGAATCGTTCCCGCTATCGCGACAATTTTCGAACCTCGGGCGATTTCTTTTCTTTCAACAATATCGATCAATTATACCTAGGAAGCACATCTTTAGCGACTCGTTCGCTAATCCCCATATACAGCTCTACGAATCCCCAAAATATACGGGATCCTGTCGCTGTGCTTTATACCCCTATAAATCTAGAGCTATAATTATGGTACGTCAACGAAAGATTTTCTTTTCTTTTCTTTCTTTTTCTTCTTAAAAAATAAGAAATAAATAAATAAATATATATATATATATATATATATATAAATCCCGAGACAAATTCCACATTTGCGCCCCCCCGACAATTACCGCTAACAGAACAATTGTAACCAGGCGCACCGCATCATAACACAGATCGTCCTAGTAGGCAGCCGAGTGCTCGGCCGGGCCTTTGCCGAAGCCTACAAGCAGGCGCAAGCCTCGTCGAACTACGCCCGAGCGCAAGCGAAGCTGAACCCGAACGGCGCGGGGGCGCGGGCCAGCCTCTCGAGCGGCATGACGCTGGACGAGGCGTGCAGGATCCTGAACGTCAAGCCGCCCCAGGGCGGCCAGGCGAACATGGAGGAGGTCATGGCCCGGTTCAAGAAGCTGTTTGACGCCAACGACCCGGAGAAGGGGGGCAGCTTCTATCTCCAGAGCAAAGTCTTGCGGGCGAGGGAGCGCATAGAAGCGGAGCTCAGACCGGCGATGGAAAAAGCCGCGCAAGAGGCCGAGATAAAAGAGGGGTGGAAGCCAAAGGTGTATAAAGATCGGTAGTGAAAGAGTGATCTTGGCTTAAAAAAAAGGAAATACTTAGGTTAGGTAGGGATTTGACCCGGAGGGAGGGATGAGGTGTTCGGTGTCGCTGATGGATTGGGACACGTTTTTCGCAACAACAGCAGCAACAACAACGACGACGACCACCATTTTACGAAAAAGAAAAGCATCTTCACTCGACTGTGGCATGGCCTGGCGTTATCATTTGGGACTTTTTGACGCATTCATGGACTTGGTCCGTTTCCTGGTCGGATTTAGACGAGAGATGAGCGCTGCGTGTACTATTGCAATCACTGTATATTACCTTTATCAAAATGGGGGGGCGGCGAGACGTAAGGGTTCCTCGCGTGTTTAAGAGGTGCCGGACGACGGGTGGGTTCCTTGCAGGCGAATATATGAGAACTTTCTGTCGATATACCTTCATACTTAAAGATGTTTATATGCAGTTACGAATCCGCAGTGATCTAGATGTTTTTCATCTGCCATCTCTATGTACTTTATATTAATTACCTTACCTACCATAACATCGCAGGTCAAAAACATACCTACCAAAGGTATCTACCTCCTAACCCAACATAATGCTCAGAGTGATCGTTCTCCGACGTTGAGGCAGTACTTAGATTTTCCTCTTCACCAATCCCCTAAAGAAATCAAAACTATTTTCATCGCTCTGCAGCGCCCATATCTTCCCCGTCGGCCGATCGTCGCTTCCCAGCTCTTCCGCTCTCAGCATGCCCCAGTCGCTAGTAATACCCACGATCCGGGCTCTCACACCGCCTTGAGCCTCGAGATTGACGATCTGGCGTCCGTGTAGCCAGTGCGCGTAATACGCGCCTTCCATATCTCTCGTGAACCCTCTTCGCACGAACGTTTTGTACAGAGCCTCCAGGCGGGTGAGAATGCCCGCTACGAGCTTCTCGATCCGGAACGGGGCGAGGTGCGGCGGGAGGAGGGCGTCGAGGGAGGTGGTGGGACGCCCGTTCGTCGCGTTGATCCCGATGCCGAGGACGATCTGGTAAGCTCCCGCCGAATAATTGCAGTTCGACAAGATGCCACCGATTTTCACGTAAGACGGGGGGGACGAGGAGGGCTGTCTGGGATCCCGCGCGTAGATGTCATTCGGCCATTTTAATTTTACGGGAACCTCTTCGTAGCCCTGATCGTAGTTCTTCACCGCTTCGACGATAGCGATCGCGGCTAAGTACTGGATGAAGACGATGGGTCTGCTGGGCGCGATATGAGCTGGGTGGTTGATGACGGTAGACATTATGAGCGATCCTGCAGGTGAAACCCAAACGTTATTCCCACGCCCTCGCCCGGCGACTTGAGTTGTTGCTGTGAGCGTAAACCCGGATGGTAGTTTAGAAAGGAGTTTGAAGTTTTTCTCGAGTAGCGTGTTGGTGCTCGTGACGACTTCTCCATACATTAGGAAATCTCCCCATTCTTCGGCTTCGGGTTCTGACTTTCGATAGTCTTGCAAGCTAGAATAGAATGCATTGTGATTGAAGTACGGAGTCGCCTTGGCTTCCGGCCAGGCTGTCTCATGCGTTACTATATGTTTCACAATCGTGCTGTAGTCGACCATGCCCTGGCTACTCAGGTCAGAAGACTTCTGATCCGAACTGTCGTCGGAAGTTAGTGCTTCTTTCAAACCATTGACGGACCACATAGTTTCGGACTTCAGTAAGTGAAATGTGTCGTTCTCCGCTCTAATGTACTCCTCGCCATCTTCTTTGCTTATTATGTCTTCCCAACCGTGTAATAAGTCGTCGACGTCGCCGCTAGAGATAGATGACAGATGAAGTCGAGAGAGGGATGGCACACCTGATGTTTCCTGGCTGACTTCCAGTCCAAGCTTGCTCAAGCATGCCTTTAAGAAGCCTGTCCGTGCATCGTCATCGGCTTTGAGGGCAGCGATGAGATCGTCATACCCCTCGACATCATTTTGCGGGCTGAGATTTACGGCAGCAAATTCAGGATGAGGTCCTGTAAGAATAGCAGCCCCTTGTCCTACTTTACAGTACACCAGGGCTGCCTTCTCACGGCCACCATCCACATCGAGCTCGTCTGCATAGCTCGCTAATATTTCAGCACCACTATCCCCACCCGGTGGGATGATGAAGACGCCGCCGCCATTGTAATATGACGTGAATACTTCTGGGACTAAGCCGGCCCCCCTGAATGCATCCTTCACGACGTTTACTCGGACTGCTCGGGCGCCTTTCTCGCTGTGATATTGAAAGTCTTTGAATGCGCCACCCCTGCATGTGCCGGGAAAGAAAGCCAGTTCCCTCGACCCAACCACTTCCATGGCCTTATTACCAACTTCGAACTCGCACCTCTTTGATCCATAATAGCCACCGGCGCAGAAACCCAAGTATGCGCCGCCACGACGCACATACTGAGATATTATTGAATTGCCTTCCCCATTGAGAACACGGCAGTAACCAAGATCAGCACCGCCGGGGAAAACAAGCAATGCGCAGGAAGGGGCCCAGGGCTCTTTTAAGAGAACGGTTTCAGTAATAGGGATGACTGCATAGTTCGGGGAGAGAAGACGACGAAGAGAATATATTGCGTGCTTAACTGATTCGACGGTAGATCCCGTTCCTGTGTAAACGAGCACATTGAGTTTTTGCGACGTCATTGTTGAGGTATATGTAGTCTTGTTTTGACTTGAGGCTTTATGAATTAAAAGGTAGCATGGGTTTTGTTAATAAGTGCGCCGGCCGGCATGGGGACGTTTTAGGTAGGTAGTGAGGCAATTCCAAGAACCGGCTCGGATGCCCCCGAAATCCCACCTTTATAGGCAGGTATTGTACCTACCTAACCTAGAGGTAACCTAACAATACCGCCCTCTGGCGCAATTTATTGTAGCTCTTTTAATTCGCAACACCAAATTACACACCACATACCACACACCACTTAACACCCGAAAAAGGAACTCTACCGACGACGATAACACCCAGTTTGAAGCCGGGAGTTATAGATATAATGTCCAAAAACGAGAGCACAAGTCAGCAGTCAAATACTGCTCAGGATGATGATGAACCTGATGAGTGGTAAGAGTTACCTAAACCAGCTGCTTTACATAATTGTCAGCTCTCTTAGACTAGATAGACTAACACTGGTTTCTCGTATGATGATTCAGGGATAAGAGAATATTTAGTACAGGATGTGCAGGTAAATAAATGCCGAAGTTATCGCTATTCGTGTTTGTCAAAACGTGCTGAAGGTACTGACCAAACTACCTAACCTAGATGAGAATGCTAAGTTGACCGACTGCTATTACGAAAAGAAAGATTGGCGGGCGTGTAGAAAGGAGGTATGTACCTAAATATCTGAATTATTTTAAGGCATAGTATAGTCTCTTTCGAAAATTGCTTTTCGTGGTAATTTGCTAACGGACTTTGCCAACGACAGATGGAGATCTTCAAGGCTTGCTGGAAGAAGCATAATAACGATCAGAGAACATCGATGAAAGATGTATGAAAAGATGTATGGACGTGAATATTCAAATGCATTCTAGATTAAGAGGAAGCGAGTATACGAGTACCTAGGTACTGTTTGTGACAACATGAGAAACACGATTAGGTAAAAGGTGTTTGAGGTATTAATTAGGTACCTATTATTATACTAATCCCGCTCTTCAGTCATAAAATATATGTATAACTAAAACTAGGTTATATTTTGCGTAACACAGTTTGCGCGGTTCCTACCTTAGTAGGTAGAGCTACACATACCTAACGATTACAATGCATAAAGTTGTAACCAAGATCAATTGATTGCGATTTCTAAGTGGGGTGTCTATCGATAAGCACCCGCGCTTCCCTAATTTTAGTTCAGGTGAAGAAAACCCACTTTGTTACTAGCTTTTGCCGATAACACAGGCAAGATCGATTGCAACGCCCAAAAATTTACAACCGCCTTATCGAACCCCGTCCCTCTTCGAATCATTTTTCCCACATACATTTCCCTTTCCTCTCCTTAGGTACGGAATACAAACCACAACAACTCACAACCACAAACAATGGCCTCAAGAACGTTAGCGCCCATGCGCGCCGCAGCTCGACGGGTACGCACAATATCACTTTCCCAAAATCAGACTCAGCCATGCATCCGGACTTTCGTTAGCACTTCCAAAACGATGGCTACTTCTTCGTATTCCAAACCTTCTACGGGCACTAGTACTACCGCTTCTTCAACACCGGCGGCGAAACCCAGCGCAAATGCATCGTCGTCGCTCCCCTCGGAAACCCGAATCCCCATCCCCCCGGTCTCGGGCGAACCCCTCCCCGACGCCATAAGCGGCGAGGAGCCCGCGACCGGGAAGCCTATCGACTGGACGCAGTCGTACCACGGCCTCGGCACCTCCGCCTTCTCGCCCGAGACCGCCGCCGTCCTCCAGGCCCGCCTCCACCCCGACGACATCGAGGTCAAGCCCGACGGCATCATCTACCTCCCCGAGATCAAGTACCGCCGCATCCTCAACGCCGCCTTCGGCCCCGGCGGCTGGGGCCTCGCTCCCAGAGGCCAGCTCATGGTTCACGAGAAGCTCGTCACGCGCGAGTACGCGCTTGTCGTGCACGGCCGGTGGGTTATTTATTTATTTATACCTTTTCCTCTTCCTCCCCCTTTCTGTCTCTCTCTCTCGTTTTAAGAAAAAACCCCCCCAAGTCTAACTGTCGAATAGATTCGTCGCCCAAGCCCGAGGCGAGATGAGTTATTTCACGGAAGAGGGCGTCTCGACGGCAGCCGAGGGGTGCAAGTCCAACGCGCTGATGCGGTGCTGCAAGGACCTGGGCATTGCGTCGGAGCTGTGGGACCCGCGCTTCATCCGCAAGTTCATGAAGGAGCACGCCATGCAGGTCTGGGTCGAGCACGCCGCTACCAAGAAGAGGAAGCAGATTTGGCTTCGTAAGGACGACGAGGTCCGCTACCCGTTCAAGAAGGTGTAAGAGTTTTTTTTTTGCTGGTATAAAAAAATAAAAACCGCCCGCCGAAGAGGATCATATGCGTCCTGAGATATAAAGACGTTGCCTGAAGTAAAGCGTCGGGGTTAAGTTTTGGGTGGTGTGGTGTGGTGTGGTGTGAAGAGGGAACATTTGTACGATATCGAGAGGTGGGAAAATATACCCCGAAGAATTATACACTCCAGACACCAGACACGGGCAGGGGGAAATAGGCTGACTACCCAGGTACCTAACATGGTCCTCGCCCTAAGCCAGCAAGTGCATATATGGCTCTACCATGTCACGTATATTATTAAACCTTCACATGAATGAATAGACGGTTGGCAACGGATATGATTATAAAAGCCGGATCGTACGCATCGTGCCGCTCTCAGTTACGCAGAGCCTTATAACTCCGGGTAGGAGAGAGAGAGGAAATCCTACGCTCTAAACTCCTTATTCAAACCGCGTCTACCCCCAATTCCTTCCCTACCTAGGTAGGTAGTTATGCAGACCAGTCCCGAACCAAACCCATTAACTCCGTGCGGTTAAATACCATGTCGTTCGTAGGTGCAGTAGTTTTTTTTTTGCCTACCTAACCTAACCTAATCTTAGGTACCTACTTCTGGACTCCGGAGCTGCGTCCGGTCTCAGGCTGATTAGTCTGCTCTCCCGTACCCGTACCCACGGTTCCCCAGCCAAGGAAGCTCCAGCCGTGTTTCCCAGCGGGATTCTCCTCGGCCCCCGTCGCCGGAGCCCTCCTTCGTAGATTATTGTCGTCCTCGGCGCCGCTCTCGGCGTCGATCTTCTCGAAGTCGACCTCGCTCCGGCTCTTGCTCAGCCCGCTCCACACGCTGTGCCCGCTCGGCGGCCGCGAGATGGCGCCCCCCTCCTGCCCGTCCAGGTTCATGCTCCCGGTCCTCTTGCGCTCCTCCTCCGAGATCTGCAGCTGCCGAGCCTCCCTGTCCAGCGCGCCCATCATCAGCGCCAGCTTCTCCCGCTGTGCCGCGATGAACGTCATCTTCTCCTCAGCGCCCCCGAAGGTCCCCGGGATCAGGCTCGCCGCGGATATCATCGGGTCGGCCTTGGCTGGTATCGCCGACCCGCCTGGGGTTCGGGAGCCGCTAGCAGCAGCAGCAGCAGCGGAAGGGCCGCCGACCGCGTTCGCCAGCAGGTTGAAGAAGTCGTGCCCTGCGGTGCCCGTGTTATTAGACGCCCACCGAGCGGCCGGAACGCTAAACCTAGCGAGCAGCGCCTGCGTGTATCCCTGGGGAGCGGCGGCAGCAGCAGCCCTCGTCTCCTCGGGCTCGGGCTCCTGCGGGGGCATGCCGAGGACCTGGGTGCGGAGGAGGTCGATAGCGCGCTTGATGTAGGCTATACCGGCGGACTTGAGCCGGTCGTGGGAGCTAGCGATGAAGTCCTCGATGGCGGCCTCGTTCTCCTCAAGGTACGGGTGGAGGTAGGTCTCGTAGAGGACGCGGGCGCCCTGGGTCTGGGGCAGGACGAGGTAGAGCAGGAAGAAGAGGCGCATGTAGGAGTAGAAGGGGACCCACCAGAGGATGAACTCCAGCCAGGACTCGACGAGGAGGGCGCACGAGAGGACGGACCAGTACATGAGCCAGGGCGTCAGCTGCGTCGGGTCCGAGGTCTTGAGGGCTTTGTAAGAGGCGAAGAGGGGGAAGAGGAAGGATGCTATAGAGCTGTTTGTTGGTGGTTAGCGATGATGACTGAATGATATTATGTATACCATCTTTTGGGGAGGGGGATTGGGAAGTGTCGGACGTACGAGAGGAGCTTCGGAATGAGGTCGAACATGGCGGCGAAGGTTTTGCAATAATTTAAGTCGGATATGAATAATAAACAAGTCTCTAGTTAATTATTTTTGTCGGTTTCTTTTTGGCGTTTAGACTCGATATTATAACGACTTATTCGAAGTTTGAAGACCAGGTTGAGGTGAGAGTTATAAGCCGGGTTCGTTTAGGTCGAAACAGGTTCCCAAGGTAATCTTGACTGACTAAAAAGAGGTACGTAGATGATGTACATCTACCTGTTACCGTCGCAAAAAGAAAAAAAAGTGAGACAAAGAAAGATGGGGTAATATCTCCAAAGACGTTCTTGGAGGAGATTCCTTGAAAAAAAGGGTAGTAGGGTAAGGTAAGGTAAGGTAAGGTAAAGGTTATGTAGGAGGTAGGGAGGTAGGGAAGTCGGTTGTTCGGTAGGTCGGTAAGTATTTGCGAATATCGGCGTTGGTTTGAATTCACCTTAATAAGAGGTAAATATTAGGTACCTGTTATTAAACCTGGAAACTCAAGAATACGTAAATTTCTCGAGGGATGGTCGTTGAATGCAAACGTAAATCGTTTGTGTAAATGTGTAAAATGTGTAAATGCGAGTAAGTTTAAGTTTAAGCTAGAAGCTTGTTAAGGCTGCTAAAGGCCGGTAGATGACGACCGAGAGAAGAAGATCACGGGCAAATGACCCCGCCAGACGTCACAAGCAAGCCCAAAGTTTAATCACCTGCGCTTGGCTGGCAGGCTGGCTGGGAAGGCGGATAAGCGTTGGTGCCTTATTTAGTCGCGTGGGGCTTTGCGGGGAGCTAGCCGGCCTCGGGTTTCGGGGGTGCTGAAATACACTGCAGGTATTGTAACAATACAATGCCTTATATAAATGGTAATGTAATTCCCTATAGGTACCTATATACAATCCTAGGTACCTACCTAACCTAGGTACCTTTTATTAGCCCGAAACCCCCCCAAGACTTAGGCATCAGCTGTTAGACCGTGAGCAAATACCACCTTGTACTCGGGAGAGGTACACAAAGTGTTGCTGACTTACATGACTTACATGCGACCGAATTGGTATGTAACAAGATAGGTCTAGGTAAGTAATACGATGTACGGCGAAATCATATGAGCCCATTCGGTGTGCTATTTAATAAACTCCAAGTCTTGCATGGACACGTTGCAAATCCGAAACTCATACTTGTTCTATGTGTTACTTCTTAGGTCAACCTCTTTTATGACTCGTATTTCTGACTTTTCTTTCTTTTCTGCCTAAACTCCATTTCTCTCGCATTGGATGAACTGTTAACACGTTTCCATGCGATCATATTTTTGAAACTTATGGTTACGATATCATTCTATGTGGCTTCAATCAGTGATAACAATGGAATGCTGTATATCAGTAGAATATTGGCCTTCCAGCTGGTAAGAATATGAATAAGGGAAGATGGAAGAAATTATGGAAGAATCTTTCGAGGTATCACTTTTTTCCAGTCACTTAATTTAGGTACCTAGAGGTGCCTCATATGTTCGGCCTTGTGTTGAGTGAATAGGAGGCAGATTGGTATTCTATTATTATATTCATTTAGTACCTCTTATTTGGCAACTATTGACAAGTAACCTTGACCTCATGTCATATATAGAGTACCTAAGACTAGAAGCACTCTGTTGTAAGGTAAGTACATAGTAATACATCAGGCCCTATTTTAGAATGACTTAAAGCACGCCCCTTTAATACTCAAAATTGACTGATTGCAATATTTCACGGCTATCCAGCACTTGGTATGCCTACCTAAAGCAGAAACTTGCTTAAATTAACATAAAAATTGTCGTACAACGCCTTGATTGCAATGTGTAACACACGGTTCTTACTTTATGGCATACCGAGAAGTCTTCTCATTTGTTATACTCATAAACTTCTCGATACGAGCTGTATAAGCTTTATTGATGTTATCTTATATTGAATGAATGAAGGCATTTCAATGTTCGTCTAGAACAGATTCGAAGAGCGTAATATCAGAGTGCCCCTATCCCCGTTATCCAGTCATATCCAATCCCTTATCCAATCCTAGAACCCAGCCCCTAACCCATCGTCTAAGTCGTTATTCTTTCAGTCATCATTTGCCGTTTGTAGGGTCGTTAAAGGAGAAGAAATCTGGCGGCGACACGTATGCCCCTGAGCCGCCCCCCTGGCCAGATGAGCCACCCTGGCTTCCGGATTTGTCCTTGTTCGGGTCCTGAGTTTTGTTAGCCTCCGTATGATGCATATCCTGGTTGGGAGCATACCTTCGACTTCCCCTTGCCGTCCTTGGGCGAACTTTTGGAGTGGCCGTTGTTGTCTTCACGAAGGTTAGCATTTAGTTCTCTGCCTGACATAGGAGGTAGTTAACTGGTCCTTCGAAGACTTACTTGATGATCCACTAGCAGAATCTCCGAAAGCCATGGTTTCAAGGTGTGTTAGATAATTTCTTGATGTCTTTTGTCTTTTGATGGGAAGCTGTTGTTGGTGAGCTCATCGATTCTGTTCTTTTGCTCACCTTTGACCTCGTCCACAGCTTATATAGAATGCTATACCACGCCTCTCCTATTTACAACGCGTATCCTTATCTTCTTCCGTGCCTCTACGGAGTAATCCACTGCCTCAGGTGTGTGCTTCTCTCTTTCTCATGATGGTCGTACATGTGCCTATCAGCTCGCGGAATGGGCCTCCTCTCTAATTCAGAGCTTGAGGTCATAGTGAGAATCCCACCTTAATAAAATTGTGTCGATCTGCGCCATCGTCATCTCCGTTCATAACACGTGAACCTTTTGGCGTGATGTCCCTATAGGGAAAGTTACTTGTTAAAAGAATCTGACTACCTAATTCCGGTCGCTTTCGGGATCGCAATTTTGAACCCTTAATATCGGTTGTTGTAGCGTATGCCTTTCGGTATCTAGTAAAAGACGGCACTGAGCCGCATGCGTCATGACTAATGTCGATCTGGGAAAGCGACGCTTAAACTAAATTGAGACGGGTGGCCCGAAAAGAAAAGGCTTGACATGCAATGCTACCGTAGATTCCTTAGGGCTGGCATTACCTACCTTGACAGCCCTACCGACGGCTGAGCCGCTTCCCTATGAGATAGATGTGTCGCATTGTGGGATGGATACCTAGATCAAGTATCTACACATTGAGTACGCGCGCATTCCTCTGCGCCAGCAAATCGGGTCAACTACAACCGTGCCACCATGAGGTCAGACCGCGGCACATTGCCGCGCCTGGCCGATTGCCCTCTTCGGAGGCTTATATGGAATCATATGAATTTCTACCGAGGTCCCTTAGTTCAATAGGTCCCTATCGACTTATAACGTCTCATCCTTTGTATGAGAGGTATTGATAGACATAGGTATGAAACAGTAAAAGCATCTACATCGAAGTCCTTTACGCTACCGATTCTTTCCCAGCCGTGTTTTTTTTTCTCGTTCATGTCCTCCATCGAGTTGAAAAGGTACTGCTTACTAAATTCTCGTACTGGCTACCTTGTATTTGGTTTAAATCACCTTCTTGATATTCCGGGATTGGGCCTTCATATGCCGTAAGGAAATTAAAAATCGGACACTCGATCGGCCCGTTGAGAGTCTCCATTGGAAAATGGAATGATATTAAAGTACGCGAGCGCGCTTAGTGCTGAATTATATATTGCGCCTGTTACCATGCCTCACGGGAGCATCCGGGGTCATGAAAAAACCCCCCATTTTACAAACGGCCGGGGAAGCCCTGGATGCACCAAACCAATGCATGTTACCTAAGATGCTAAGATTGACTTATGTACATCCGGAAAGTGCCAAAAGGAATCATGTAGGCCTAAGCGCGTGTGTGGCTGAGATACATAAATGATTCCTCACGGCCTGCAGGTGGTGTGCATCTTGACCTCTTTCACGGCCTCTGACAGGTTGACGGTCCCGCCCAATGCAACCACAGAGTTCGAGTAGCGGAGACTAATATATATTCCTATAAGTTCTGTACCACCCACCAATTCCGGCGCGCTTATGCCATGTTTGTTGCAATAAACCCAACTACCAGGAATTTTTTATTTTTCATTTTTCATGTGATGCCGGCCCCGTGGAGTGTTGCACCGTCGGCACCCGGCTCTCGAACTCCCCGGAAGGAAGTATCGGGGCCCAGTCCGTCGGGTTGGTAGCGCCTGCTGGGCAGGGGAACCCGAGTGCCGAACCCCTGAATCGGTTACAACAAGTCACCTGACCTATTCGACTGTCTACACCTCAAAACTGTGCCGTTCGGGGCTGTGCACCAGGACTTTTTACTATATTTTTTTGGCCGGGTACGGGTTATATATGCACACCATTCCCGGATGGATTTAGCTTTGTAACTGCGCGCCGGAATAAATTAAAGGAAAATATTTGAACAGTGCTTCACCATGATGCTACCGCGGGGAAACGGTTGCCAGCCCAGAATCTTACGAAAACTTCTTGGTTAGGTATCTTTATCGCCTTTCCTCCTTAGGAATGTAGAAAGCTCACGAGCCTTGTCCCCTGTTACCTTGGCGGCCAGGAACAATTCATACCTGGATATTCCCCCCAGCTTGGCAATAAATGGTGGGCCAACGACAATCCAGCGATATGCATCATCAAGATTTAGATCCGAACTACCGGATCGAAGCACTCGGCTCTCTTAGCTGTAACTTCTTTGTATCCTACCTAGTCCGATTTAATGGATATGATAATAAGCACACTTAGGGTACTGCAAGCTGTTAGTGTTATTATTTGAAGTAGATAGACGTAGTTCCGAAAAAAAAAAAAAATAGAAATAAGATAAACAAGCCAAGTTATCTATCTCATAAATTTTGAGATAACCTAATAGCAGAAATGAACCCCTTGCTTGAAAGACGCGCAACTACAATAACCTATCAGTCTTATCCGCACACTCCACTGTAGCCTCACCAAAACATACCAACTTTACAAAGTGATTATAATATCAAAATAAATCGTAAAAGTATAAAACTTTGAATTTTATATACAGCTTTGCAAGGCCACCATATAAACAGTGGTTATTATATAAAACAATATGTATTGTACAAGACGTGGTGCAAGTGGAGGAAAGTATCGTTTCTAAGAAATAGTTGAACTTTTTGGTGGAGAGTACGTTCTGTTGAATTTACTTCAACGTAAAACTTGTACAACGATTCATATTAAGATTATTAAGTCGTAAATAGTAAATATAAGCATCAAATTCTATATTTCAAAAAGTTTTATATTTTTACTATTTACTTTGATATTATAATCGTCTTGTAAAGTTGGTGTATTTTGGTGACGTTATAGTGGAGTGTGCGGATAAGACTGGTAACTGTACCCAACCGCCAGAAGCATGATACAAGACCGGGTTCATTATAAAGGCAATTCTACGAAACCAAAAATCTTCCACATAAAAGTAACACTTGAAAATTATAATTAATGAATTATTTGGCTCCTCCTACTAAGGGTGTAAAGTAAATGAGCACGATTCTTCGACATGACATCGCAAAGAACAGCGAGCAATTGTTGCAATTGGCTCAAGGTGTCCCGATCCTCCGCAAGGTCGATACCGTCGACGATGCAAATCATTTTCTTACTATCAAGTTCTAGAAGAGGTAATGATTGAAGTATTCTTAAGCCGGAATCGAAGCACTCGGTACCGCGACTTATGAACATCTTAAATTCTTTAGTGTGCAGGCCTTCAGAAGCACTAAACTCCCTAGAAACAAGGGCAACCAAGCTCCAGATCAGCGAACCAAGGATATGAAGCAGCACTTCTCTTGGTGGTTCATTTCGATTCTTCACATAGATCCGGAGGACGATAGCACTGTCGCGGTTACGTACACGGAAGGACTTGGCGAACTCCCTCCCAAGATAACTCGCTGAGTAGTTATAACCTACGCCGTCCAGCACATGTACACTGGGCGCATCTGCCATCCATATCTCTATGAGCCGCTGCTGAAGTCCTTTTTTATATAACTCGGACGTAAACTGCTTGGCGTAGTCATATCCTCCTCTGTCCTGGAGAGATTCAAAGTGAGTTACGCAGTTGAACACCTCGTCCAATCCATTTGCCCTCTTTAAGAGCTTGTCCTTGGTCATGGTTTGGGACCGGAATGCTTTTTTTACAGATAGAAGTGACATCTCGAAAACGCAAAGAAAGATTTTGCCACTACAAGGTGATCTGAAGGGGTTGGTAATTAATGAATAAAATGATCAATCTTCCATGTTTTCAAGCATTCTCCGGACTGGTAGATATAGAATAGAGGTATATACTAAAATCAAAAGAAGTCCCCTTTGTGACTAGTCGTTAATCATTTCTAAAATTATTATTCGAGTCGTAGTGCATAAAGAAAAACACAAAGCTTCTAAGTTAACAATATTTATATATCAAAAAGGAAAGACTAAAAATGATACGAAACTAAGGTAATCGGCAGAGAACTAGAGTTGTCTACGGTTATTATTGGTAGAATACCTTAGGTTAGGTAGGTACCTCCTATGTCAAACAATTTTAATGGCAACTACAAACCACCCGCTTGATGTCATATGAGTCAATCGAAGCAGGCATTGCAATTGCCTAGCTTGAAGCGAGCTTGGGTGTTTGTCGTATAGCAGATATGATAGTGGAAAGTTCAACTGTGATAAGTCATAACGACTGGGCATTAGGACTTGCCAATTTTGAGCTTCAGTTTGCACGTGTCGAATATATGTTGTATGACCACTCTCAACCTTAACAAGGCCATTTGAAACCCAAAGCCCCCCCCCCCCTTTTTTTTTTTTAAAAAAAAAAAAAAAAAAGCCCATCGTTTCTTACAACAAGGTGAATTATACGATCAAACAAGAAAGTGGAAATTTACAAGATATATCCCACCGAGCATCACGCCTGAGAAAGGTCGCATTGCTTTAATAAATTCGATCAATTAAAGAAATCGAGTCATACCAGCGCAGGAGTATTTTTCTATCCTACCTCTTACCAGGTACACAGACTAAGAGAGCCATACCTTAGGCTAGGTACCCATCATCATGAACCACATGGACATGCATCGAGAATTGATCCTTCCATACCCTTTGGAGGCGACAATCCCAACTGGCCCTGATCTGAAGCCAGAAGTTTCAGCCAATTCTGTCGAGCACCAGAAGCATCATTCGAAACTGACACGCAAGCATATCCGCACACGCGAAGACCCATATGCGTTCCTTAAGCACTTCGACACGGTCTTCCTTATCGATGATTCCAAATCGATGGAAAAGCACTGGAACGAGGTTGGTACGCTGCTCGAAAAGATCGCACCGATATGCACGGAGCGTGATCCCAACGGCGTAGATATCTACTTCGTGAACCACCGCCCGCGCGGGTACTACATGTATGCCGCATTCAGCCTTGACGCAGATCGTTCCGGGTACCTGCACATTGGACAGGCAACCGGAGTACCAGGTATGCGTGACAATGTCGCGGGAATCTTCGGCAGGATTAAGGAGCTTGGAAGTCACTGCCGCCTCGACCGCCGGCTTAGCTATATCCTGGATCGTTACGTACACGACTACGAACGAAGTCGTAGACACCACGGAGCGGAATTAGGAAGCACAGCCAGGCCGCTTAATCTTATAGTGATCACGGCCGGTATAACGGATGATAATCCTTACGACACGCTGATTCGAACAGCCCGGAAGTTGGATATTTTAGGGGCGCCACCGTACCAGGTCGGTGTGCAGCTTTTTCGCGTGGGCGACGATGAAAGTGCACGCCAGGCGTTTGACGTCGCGGACAACGTTTTGAGCGACGCATTAGACATCAGAGATATAGTAGATACGACGACGTGGAGTGGGAAGCTGGGTGATTTATCGCCCGATGCTATGCTGAAGGTCGTGCTAGGGGCTGTGGAGAGATCTATTGACAAACAGAATGAGTAGGGTCGAAATATGTCCAACCTGCTTATCCTGGAAGCTGGGTTATCTAGATTTCGCTTTTTTTCTTTTGTGCGAGAGGGGATGGCATATAAAATTCTTCAACCAATTGCTCATATTTCTGAAGCGACTGCATAAAAGGTATACAGTCAAATATCCCAGATAACCAATGCATATTCTGTCGCTTCTAGAAATTGAATCGTACGTAAGAGCTGAGATAACGAAGCCAAGGTACGTCAGGGTAAGTTGATATCAATAAACGAGTCCTAAGCGGTAAATGTTCATTATCGCCAAGTTCAGACGGTCCTAGACAATCTACTATCTTCAGCCGTGGGTGAAGTGTCTCAATCGATTTGGGGTCGTCAACCCCCCACTTGAAACTTGCACCCGTGGCTACTAGGGTAGCGACCTGGCCTTGTGTATAGAGTGATATGGTGCTGATAAAATCGATGATAAGCTGGCCCGACTTGAAGTGGTCGACAATCTGCCGTATCATGCGCTTCCCGGACTCTTCTTCCAAGAACATGGTTAACCCCTGGCAGACGATAACAGTAGGACGGTCAGTAGGGATCTCCTCGAGCCATGCTCTGTCTGTTGCGTCTGCAGCGATGAGCTGGTAGTCGCCCTTTGGACTGGGGATGAGTTTGGCCCGAAGCTCGACAACGTCGGGTAGGTCGAGATCAATCCAGCGGACCTTGGTCAGGTCTGCTTGGAGACGACGCAAACGGTCGTCTAAGCCACAGGCTAGGTGAACGACTGTCGCCTGGGGATTTCGTAACAGAAACTCTGTAACCCAACGATCTAAGCATATCGTCCGAGTACTATATAAGGTAGCATGTGCTTCATTGATGTGGAATTTGTCAAAGTCATGGTCAATCTGATCCATAATTCGAATGGCGTTTGTGTCGTGAAGGATAGACTTGGCAGATCTTGCGTCTGTGGCTCTCGCTACCAACGTTCCTATCGACGTTTCTTGGGACCCTGTCAGACCGATCTTTAGTTTTTCCATGGTTTAATCCAGGCTAGACGAAGGTGAGATAAGCGATGATTTTAGGAGTTGAGTGAGGTTAGTAAAAACGCGGAAATCATTGAGAAATTAAGATGTCCTCAAGTTGCCAACTCTAGGTTAGGTAGACACGATGGAGTCAGCTTACCAAGATCTGTTCAATGAGAATTCATTGAAGTCTAGATATGTCCAATCAAATTAACCAGATTTCAAGTTTGCTCCACCGTGTCTAGTTAGCACTTGAGGATATAGGGACAGCATGTTTCTACATCGGACTTGGTTCGCGACGCGACAGATATGAAAATACTTGGTACCTCTTTTATTATGATCTTAGGTAGCCTGTGCAATAAAAAGTTGATGGTAGGTACCTGGATATTTTAAATCTAAAAATAAAGGGGCACTTTAGAGGTACATAACAAAGCTCTGTCCTCTAAAATGCCCTCTAAAAACCCCGAGTTTAGGCATTGGTTAGGCGCCTATTGTATTAGATTGTAGGGATGTTGCACGACTAGGTGTATTTAGAGTTCGGGAGAGTTTGGCAAGTGTCGGCCAGCTGGTGTAGGCCGCTGTTAGTCCTGTTAGCGTGGATGCCTATCATCTCTCCTTCATATTCTTCATAGTTGTTTCTCTCTGTCTCTCTTTTCTTTTTGAAAAAAGAAAAATAAAAAAGAAAAATAAAAATTGAATGGTTGGCCTAAAATATATTCTAACCTAGCCAGGAGGCGTGTTTGTTTTAAACTCACCGATTCTTAACAAGTCGCCATGTTTAATCAGACAACTTACAAAATCTCGAACCGGCACTCCGTAATATTCCAAGCTACCACATAGCAGCCGCCATGTCAACCTTCAATGGTATCATACACGAATTCCCTGATATCAGAGTTGATTTCTTCCGTGGGTTCAAATGCCGCCCCCCACTAGCCTGTTTCTTAAGCCATGTCCACAGCGATCATCTCGTTGGGCTTGATACGCTTAGAAGTCCTTTGTAAGATACTCAGTATGACAAACACCTATCCATTGCCCAACTTACCAACTATGATGTTGTCGTATCTATTGTTCAGCCGCGACTAGGGAAATCCTACTCCGACTTGAAAAATACCCTTGCCGACTAAACTACGCCAAGGGTATACTCGAAAATCCATGGATGCAAACATACAAACACCTAGCTAAAGTATTAAAGCCCATTCCTTTAGAAACCCCTACAAAGATCGAGCTAGATCCCAACCAGGTTATACAAGTTACACTCCTGGATGCAAATCACTGCCCTGGTGCGGTTATGTTCTGTGGGTCGGCCCCCTACTATCCTCGAGTCAAAATTAATTCAGTTCGCAGTGATTGAAGGCAATGGCAAAGCCGTCTTATATACAGGAGATATCAGGAGTGAGGCTTGGTGGGTGAATTCTATAGCAAGGAGTCCTGTCATGGTCGAGTATTCCATGGGCCTGAAAACACTTGACCGCATATATCTCGATACCTCGATAGTAGATGATTTCCCTCTACAAACCAAGGCCGAGGGGCTAGGTGAGCTTCTACGGAAAGTCGCACGCTATCCAAAAGATACCATATTCCATGTGCAAGCATGGACCTACGGGTACGTACCTAGGCAGGCAATTCCATTAATGTACTATAATCTGATCTTTTCTCGCAGGTATGAAGAGGTTTGGGTTGCCTTATCAAAAGCTTTGGGTTCCAAGGTACGATGCTTTCTTTTGGTTTGATAGCTTCACTAACCAAGCTATAAGATCCATGTCGACAAGTACAAAATGGGTATCTATAAGTCTCTTGCTATTAAACCATCTGACAATCGCTTTGCCGCTCAAACTTATTTGACTACGGAGGCCCCCTATCTTGTGGGTTTCACCTGTGATAACAATCAGAGGGAGGGGTGCTTGACGCTAGACGAAGACGCGAGAATCCACAGCTGCGAGAAAGGCATAAGTTGCAAAGCCATGGAGACTAAGCCCATTATATGGATTCAGCCAATCGTTGCACATCTCACTGATGGGCGAGACATGGTTGAGGTGGGCATTGGCGGAGGCGGAGACGATCTCACACCGAAGCCGACCCTGGAAGCAGAAAGCATTCAAGCTTTGTTAGAATTGTAAGGGTTACCAGAAATATTTATTAATCCTCTGGGATCTGACAAAGAAGCAGAATCGAACAAGAAGGCGAGGCACTGGGCGATTTGGGACGTACCGTTACACAATTCCTTCAGAAAGCATTGGCCGTTTCTAGAGGCGTCGACCTTGATGTTGGAAGGGTTGATTTACCGGGAAAACATTCAATTACAGAAATAATCAAATAACTTATCGAGAAAGTTCGAAGAATTCGGGATCCAGTAGAAAAGATCGAAGATGATAATCCCGATATCCTCCCAACCCGGATTACATTCCCGTATGCTAGGCATTCTTCTTTGCCTGAGCTTCGACATTTAGTGCGGACTTTTAAACCAGCTGATATTTGGCCATGCACGGTGGACCCCAACTATTGGGCAGAGCAGGGCATTACTATAAGAAGGCTCTTCGGAGATATTTGCACTCGTCAAGTTTTCGAATACGATGTGCTCATGTGCCAGACATTGGGACTGGGAGGTAAAGATGGATCACGGGAAAATGTACCTCGAACTCAATCGACGATTATGTCAAATGAAGGAGTTCCCTCTAGTCCAGCCGTCTCCCCAACAAGGAGTCACTTGGAGCATCAAAGCTCTGTAACGCTGTTACATCATCCGCAGGCCTCTCAAGTGCGGGTGACATCGGCCTTCTTCTCTTTGTCTCACAACTTGGCCCAAGTTTACCCAGCGACACTATTCGAAGAGGACAAAGGAAATGATGAATTAAATTCCCAGGATTCCCAGACTTCAAATATATCCGCTTATAGGTACGAGACTAGGTTGCGAGCATTTCTAGCAGCCTGCGCAAATATGGAAGGTAACAGGGTCTAGAATACGATAAGTCTCATATCAACCACCGATAATCATAGCACAATTGACCCCGAATTAGGAGGTCGTTAGACGGATAATATAGGTGGTAGATACCAATCATATAATTGGTGCTTATGGAGATAGGGGTGATAACCCATGAGTACATGCCTCATCGGGGGAGATACCTTTTTGATTGATAGAAAATGTAAATGCGCTCAGATTCTTCTTTAGCCCTTGGGCCAATTACATTCTCGCTTGCTAACTATGCTCGTCCTCCAATGCTATGACAACAGGTCGCTTTATACACAAAAAATCCTATTCATATCGAATCTACATCACCTGGCATTTCATCAGGCGATGTACCGCCTCCTCCCCTATTCTGCTTTTTCGAGACTCGAAACTTGCCGCCTAAGCAAGTTTCTTGTCAACCTTGACGAGGAGCACACCATCGCTTTCGCGGCCCTCGTTATCAAAGAGATGCACGAATCGGTATCCACTGCGCAGCCGGTCTAGTCGAATGCAAGCCCAAGCAGCTAAGTCGTCGCGGCCGATTTCGTCGTCTTTGATTAGGAAACGTACGAAAGATAGCTCCGGCACAACGCCAGAGACGCCCTGAGCCACGGCTAGCGTCTCAGCCTTAAAATCTGGGTGAATTCCGCGCTGGGTCTTTGTGCGGGCCTTGTACTCTCCTTCCTTAGCCCTTGTTGAAGTAGAACCTGGGGCGGTACCTGTTACGGAGAGATGTTCCTCGTGAGGCGGCTCTGCGTGTAGCTCGATTTTGACGTACGGCTTGAATCTGCTCTCCTTGTCGTCGTCCTCGGGCAATGGTAAGTTTTGCGCCGCGAAAACGGTGATGCTCAGGTCAAGTGTCTGGTGTAGGATAGTCTCGGATGCGGGAAGGGGGGGTGCCACCTTCACTTCATTGTCGACAATTACGGGTTTCCGACCGCGGTATCCTTCGGGCTTTAACACATATCCGCCGGTGCCGGCAAACATACCCTCGTTAAGCATCATTCCTTCGTCCCACTTCTGCCAGTTGAGTGCCACAATCTGGATACCCTTCCTCCAGAACGGGGCCGGATCTAGGTTAGAAGACCCAATACGCATGCCCGATGGGTATGTCCTCATCAAGTACTCGCGGTTATGCTCAAAAAGTTTTGCTGCTTCGTTCTCGTGGACCTCAACTACACCACCTTCCGATAGCGAGAAAATATGCGTCGGCATGGTAGCTTCTGGTTGGGATAGGGATTTAAACGATACACCTCGAGTATAAACACCCAGGGCCGATAATGCCTGAATAATCTTAGAGGCTTTTTTGACCTTTTGTTGTGTGGTGGTCTTCGATGACGGATCTGAGGCGGTGCCGGGCGGGAGTCGATCTTCGGACTCCACATCGGCTGCCGATGTGGTAGCGTCAGGCGGCGCGTACTTGACCTTTACAAGGATCTTGTGGCGTAAATCGCCGGGCGCGGGGAGAAACTTAGCGTCTTCTTTTGGTGGAGGCAACAAATAACCGGCCCAGACCTCATTGATGATACGGACCATCGCCTCCTGCTGCTCCTGAGAACAGTGAACTTCGAGACTGACAATAAGTGGTAGGTCCGTGACAACAAAGGCATTCTCTCTGATAGCCTCACAAACTTCGCGGAAGGATACTTCCTTGGTAAGCGTGTATCCATGCAGAACTCGGGGTTCGACTGCGATTGCCTGCGGACTCAGCGTCTTCTGCAGAGGGGCTCCGATAATGGAATCTCCTTCCTTTGTTTCCGTCTTAGAGCCAGTATCCGCAGTGTTCTTCCCCGTAAGACGCTTACTGAATCGGCTAGCCAACGATCCAGGGAGTTTTGAGGCGATCTTTTCGCTGCGGCTTTTCTTTCTTATGGATTTCAGTTCTCGGGTTTCATCATCATCAGAACTGTCCGAACTGTCTGAGCTATCCGACGTTTCGGCATCCGACTTATCACCATCCCAGACGTCAATCTCGACACAGCGACAGCCGCGCAGCAAGACACTTCGGTACGCATCCGCATCGGAATCGCTGTTTAGCTGGTTTCCAGTTAGGTAGGTGTTGTGGCTAGAGCTGATAAAGTAGCTAGCCAAGGGCCACGATAAATGCAGGGGGTCTGAGACTACCGGTGCCAACACGTTGGAGGCGGAGGATGTCATATAATGCAAAAAACCAGCAAAGTCGACAGCGTCCCGAGTCGCGATATCGCCCGAAGAGTCTGTCACCTTATCGGCCTGTACATGATGCAAAAATTCGATAATTGAGTCCTTAACCCAGTGTTTCTCGGTGGGGGAGGCATATGTGGTGTAAATCTTCTCCAGGTATTGCAATGTAGATGTTCTTATCTGCTTGATAGTAACGTCTTGGACAGCAGGTTGACCGCCCCCAGCTTGGTGGATCGACTCGCTCGGCGGGAGGGGTGCTGTCTCTGCCATGACGATTTATTTACTTAGTACGCAATACCGGTCAAAGCAAAGACAGGCTCACGTCCTATGGGAAGAAGAAGATGATGGATCTACTTAGTTATTTCAAGGGGTCAAAAAGAATAAAACGAAAAAAAAAGATGCTGATATTCTGACGGTGCAAGCAATACGTGAAATACCAGAAAGGGGAAGAGAAGTCAGCAAACAACAGATAACCCGCATTATATTGTACTCAATCGCGTGGTGCTAACGCTTGTGACGTCTCAAAGTGGTCCAGCGAACCTGATTCAGCCCAAGAAATTAGCGAGTCAAAGTGCTGCAAAAAACCCCACCAATTGTTTAGTTTCTTTTGGTTTCTTGGTTTATTTTAGTTCATCTGGGCTTAGCCAAGGTCCAGATCATCAAGAGCAGAAGAAGGGATATGAAACGTCACTAGCAATATCTTTTTTTTTTTTTTTTTTTTTTTTTTTTTTTTTTTTTTTTTTTTTGTGTTTTTTTTTTTTTTTTTTTTTTTTTTTTTTTTTTTTTTTTTTTTTTTTTTTTTTTTTTTTTGTGGGGGGGGGGGGGGGGGCCAACTAGCAATCAAGAATGGA